TATTTTGGCCACATTCTTCTGTGATGACAGTTTTTAGAATTCAGAATTATTATTTTTCACTCTAGATGTGTATTATTATTCATCCGTGGTCGTTCATCAGTCGTAGTCCGTAGAGGACAATGACTCAACAATGTCGTGAATGTCGATATGAACCGACGACAACAATATTATTATACTAACCACAACCCAAGTAGACGCCGACCATTATATTACTAGGCACGTTGTTATGGCTGTTAAAATTTTGCTTTGCTACCACAATTTGTGCACTGGCTTACAACAAGTACCCGGTACCAAACATAGTTAAAATTTACAATATGCTATTTGTTAAAATTGCAACAAGACACCCAACACAATAAAAAAAATTCCAGTAAAACGTATAAAATGAAATATATTGTGTTTAACTACTGTCTGAAAGACATTTTGACAGCCGCAGTTGTTCTGAAAAACATGGTAGTAAAAAAGGCCATACTATTATACAAAATGAATACATAGATTTAAAATTGAATTTGGTAATTAATTAAAAACACAAATTTCATTCAGCTTAACAAATTCTAGTTTTTCTCAGTTTAACAGCAAATCGATTATGATTAAGTTTTTTTTTTGGTCTACGCAATTATTGACATAACACTAATTATTTTCCTTGACAATAACACAGTGTATTCACGTTGAATGTGTACAAAATATTTCTGGTACACGCAAGTTGTATAAAGCTAACTGGACTCGTGTGCGCTGTTATGTGATGTATATTGCATTGTAAAGAATTTGCTTACGTTATTTCAAATCGAAAGGGAAATAATAAATACAAGACTTTTTTTTGGGGGGGGGGAGGGAGGGGTTAATAACGCCAATACTTAATTAACTGACACTCCTGGTGGTGGGAAGCGTTTTTTTTTATGTTGTTTCTCAAATGGACGATTAGAATGTTTTTATGAACTTTTATGTGTTCTCGGATAGACTGTAGCACATATTTGTTTTTTTTTTTTTTTAACCATCTGCTCCCTAAAGTGAGGTTTGTTGACTCGGTATTAAAATTTGAATTTACAATCTCATCTCGAGTGAACGAGCAGTGTACTATTAATTTTGAAACAGGTCTGGAACGTCGTGCACGGCAGTCGGTTTCCAAATTTGTCGGGTAAGATGATTTTCGAGCTTCGAAGATTCGCCGCTGCGTCTTGTGCGGACAGTTAATCGACCGACCGAGCCGTGTCGTCATCGTCGAATTCGAACCGTCTTAGGTGTTTAATGATCCGGCATTCCGCGATACCCGTTTCCGGATACCGTTAGATTAATGCCAGTCAGTACACCGGCAAAGCCCGTAGGGAATCGTCCGGACCAAGGCACACTCGCTGTCCGAACCCAGCAATAATTGTACACATATTAATTATTATACAGCTATTACATCGAGAGCCCACAAACGTCTTGCGTCTCCTTGTCTTATCCGCTTGGATCTCATTCAAGTCGTTAATCGAAAATTGAATCTCGGCTGTGGGTTTTTGTTTTCCAATTACAACAATGATGCGCCGGCATTAAAACCGAACACGGTGCGTATTGTCTTCGACCCAGGATCCGGTGTATATTATTTAATTAACCCTAAGCAAAAATGAACTCTTGATGTATATATTATATATTTCTTTTTAACCTGTCTCGCTGATCATTACATAATGTAAACAAACTGTGATCAAGTGTCGTAGATAGGTCGAGTCAGGTCGACAATCATGTTTATGATTAAGCGTTCAAATCGTGCAGCTAATTTTCTTTTTCGTTTATTATACAATATACTTTACACGATCTGAAATTAATTATTTTTTACAATTAGTGTACATGACGAGTGATGTGTAGTGTACAAAGGTCTCGATGAAAGAAACCATCCATTGATTGAACTTTCATAGTGGATCCAATTAAAATATAAGCACAACATTTTGCATACAATTAATCGGCAATTCGCGTAGCTTTTTATGGTGTAAAATTTAAATGGTTTTAAAAAAACCCAAATTATTATATAAAATATCATATTAACGTGCGGCATACATATTGAATGTTAAAACGATGACTCGCATTTTTTTTCAACCGTATTGATTGTTTGACTGTACGAAGATAATAATGGATAATGATTTTTAGCCTCTAGCCCAAGTAATATTGTATTATTCATAAATAATACAATATTGATATTATTAGATTCAATGCGATTTTCCATATAGGTCAATTTTTTTTCTACAATGAAGATATTATTGTAATAAGTAGAAAGTGCATTATAATCAAGTAAATTTAATTACAAGCAACATATTGGCACGGAAGAAATATTATACATATATATGATTATATTATTATTGTTGTTTGTTTACAATGGTGAAAAATAATAGTTTTATTCGAGAAGATGGTTGATTCAATTATGATTTCCTTTATAAATAAGTAATTCACATATTATGTATAATATGATTTTAACTATTTAATTATAAGGAAATATTATACAACTATCGAATGTATGATTGATTGATATTGAATCCAACTACTATGTACTAAATAGAATGTATACTAAATAGTTACTGACTACAACATTTATATAATAACTTGATAGGTATTAGGTATTATTTTTTTTTAGTTTTAAATTGATAGATTCAAAAACATCAAATCATATAGGGATATGCGAAAGAACTGAATGTAAAAAATATATTTTTTGATACTTTGACATTTATTAATGTTAAACATTGTATAATTATCCACTGTAAATCTGCCTCTGCGTGCAATATCTACTTATATCGTTGTAAATAACCCAGATAGCAATTAAATATTGTAAACACGTTTTAAATATATTGCTTTAAATATCATAATATTGTGTAAATATGGTCAAAAAGTTTTATTTTTATTTTTAATTATTTCAAAAATATTGTGACAAAAACCCATGGCAGCAAAGAAAATATTGACACAATATGGTCTTGAAATAATTCTACAATATGTTCCATAATATTTCAAAAATATTGTTCTTACAATATTGCTTCTACATTTTAATATAATGTATTAAAAATATTTTATAATTATTATTGTGTCAATGTGTGTTATGAATATTGGAGCAACATTGGACAAGACAACATTGCTGTAATATTTCTTCAATCAATATAAATATATTATTCTTAGTCTTCACATTAAACATTTTAGTCTATGATACAACCAAATATATTTAGTTTTAATCAAACAAATAGAAAGTAATTCAAGTAATTAAAGAACTGTAATTCAAAACTGTTCATGTACATCATAAAATGTACTTATATTTATTATAAATCATGAATTATTAAAATTAAATTATATTTTATACAACCTTAGTATAATATACTAAAATTTATTTAGTTTTTGCCGAAAATTTTATTTCACAAACTGATGATATTAAATAAAAGCCGAAACTTTGTACGATTTAAAATTGATAGGTTACGTAAAAATGTCTATTAAAAAAAAAATTTTTTAAATGCTTATTACGTTATACATATATAATTTAGATACTTTATACTTGTAAAAGATAATTTTATATATATTTATACGATGCGACTGCAATATGTTTTATTAAATATTGCAAAAAACATAAAAACAAAATGTTGTTAAATTATAATAATGTTCTAATTGCTATCTGGGAAGGGTGTATGTACAAGTGTATATTTTTTTATTACTGTTAAAAGTATTATAACTAAACGAGAGCCTTTTATACAATCTAAGTATTTTTTTTTTATCATTTGTCGTTTATTTAATTTTTTTTTTATCATATTTCTAACGTTGGCTGTTAAATAACGTTTATGTGGAACTAGAAAGTTGCGTTCATTTATACTTTTATGCTGTAGTGGTCAGTAATGTGGTTTGAATATAGTGTATTTTTTTTAAACAAGTAGTGTGATTATTAACTAACTACATATTATGCGGACAAAAACCTCAACTAACAATAATGTAATCAACAACATTTCATATTATCGTTTATTTCTATCGCTATTTTCATCAACTGTACATAACCCCGTGATGATCCTTAGATTAGTTAACTGTCAATGAGTCTCGATTACAGTCAACTTAATTTCGAGAGCCACAATTGTACCTAATTGAGATATTGAATTTGAATTAATTGCATTCCAGCTACGCATGGCATTTATTGCATGGATTTCATATATTCAATTAATCGTTATTATGAATAAGTAATGGCTATTAGGTCAACTCATAAAATTACAGAAAAATAATGCCACTCTTAAATGCTCGTAAACTATACACCGAGCAGCTGTTTTCTCAATGAAGTAAAATTTAATTAAAGAAATGCTATAGGCAACGCGTAGAAAACGATTATTATTTTTTCTAAGCGCTAATGAACGATTCATCGTGGAGTTTCTCTTCTTGTCTAGTTTTGTATGGATTTCTGGTCGCACAACATAATATTTATCTATACCTAAGCGGAGTTTGTGTGCCGGTAAGATATGTATTTATGACGAATCGATTTAATTGATGTTACAGGGGGAAAAAAATAGAACTGTTTTTGCGCTTAATCAACGCTAAAATATACCGAACGACATGCATTTATGGATGAGTGCTCAAAGAGGTAATTGCGTGGGAACTCGATAGCCGAACACTCGAATGTCTGTACCGTACTTGGGTTATTGAACGCGTTAATCATATTATACATTGTATACATTACGTTACAAAGTAATTGCAAATATATAAGACTATAATAACGTCGGTATACGGCCGATTAATTATTATACTTAACTGCTTGGGATTTCTACAATCCTATACAAGATTTGTGTGTACCGACGGTAAAGAGAGGTGGCGATACTCAACCGATATTCACTCTAACGAGCCCAGAAGATTCACAGCCGTCAATTATCCCCGTCGTATAGTATAGCACATACATCATCATCGTCGTCACTAGAAAGGAATAACACGATAATTTTTACTTTACCCACCAGTAGACCACCACGCCCAGACCGAGTATAATATCATATTGGTAATAATAGTGTATATTTATTGTTGTATTTCAGCAGATTGATCATGCGATGGAAGACGGTGCTTTTGATGGCGCTGTTGACGGTCGCCGGCAGTCCGCGTCTGGCCAAGACGATGACATGCGAGGAATTCCAAACAGAGTTCCGGTATCCTTGCGCCTGCGAAGAATTCCGACCGATCGGCGGCTTGGCGTTAAACTGTGACGGTGTCGTGTACTCGGGCGACAATGTCGTCATGCCCAAGGATGCGCCGGTGCTGGTGTTCACCCAGAAAAACGCCGGCCATTATTCGGTGCCCTCGCAACTGTTCCCGTCGACCGGTAAGTGCATCGTCCATTGAGGAAATCGGTTAGGTTGATCCAAAATGGAATGTCAAAATTCAAGGCACCATCTCCTGTGTGTTTACTCATACTTGCTGTTTTTCTTTTTTTAGTAAAGTTGGACTTGTCGCAAAACTCCATCAGGCGGTTGTCGGACAAGTCGTTCGCGGTCGTGAAGAACACCATCGAAGACTTGCGGTTGGCCGGCAACTTGTTGGGCGATACGTTGAATCCGATTTTCTCGACTACGGAATTCCACGGTTTGTCCAAGTTAATACGGCTGGACCTGAGCGAGAACAGGATATCCTCGCTGGAAGAAGGCATACTTAAGGGCTGTGTCAATTTAGAGGTAGGTCCAATCTTTAAAACTAAACCAAAACCGCGAACACCAAAATGACGTATGATATTTTCAGGAACTCAAACTCAACGAAAACCGGCTAGATTTCGTGCCCAGCTCTTCGCTGAACGGACCGCAAGCACTTCGGGTTCTCTCGTTAAAAAACAACAGGATCGGTACATTTACAGTGCAACGAGATTGTAAAAAATATCGCTAACATGCCTGTTTTTTTTTCTGTAGAAAGCATACATCAAAGGTCGTTCTTGTCGCAAAAATCCTTGCTGACTATTGATCTCTCGTCCAATAGAGTCAACAACATTGAAATTGGCGCGTTTGAGGGATTAGCGTCGCTAAAGCAGCTACTGTTGGCCGAAAATAGATTATCCAAGTTTAACAGTGACGTTTTTCTAGGTAAAAATATCATAAAAAAACTTGTCGTGAAAATTGAACACAACATAATATTTTCTTACACTTTATGTCTAAACTAGGTGCCGAAAAGCTCGAGAAACTTGACGTTTCCAACAATTTTATTGCGGAGTTCCCTACAGTATCTCTGAAGCGGTTCGAAAATTTAAAAATACTGAACTTGTCATCAAATCTAATACAAGTAATTGGACAATACAACTTTATTTGTATGTTGTGCACATACATACTTAATTAGGAAAGCCAATTTCGATTTTTGATTACCACAAGTACACTTTATCTCATACAAAAAACGAACATCTCTACGATTAGTATTATATTAAAGTTATTTTTTTATTTTTTTATTGGGACACATTTCTATTTGTGAACTAATTTTGAAAACAAAAACGTCCAAGCTCGACGTGAAAACAAGCAAAACTGGCATTGATTAATCCCTGCTTAATAAGTCAATAATAACTAGATACATTGTTCGAATTAAATTAAAACACATCCTTTTTGTTTATTAGAAATTGGATAACACGCAGCTAACGACTTTGGAAGTACTGGATGTTAGTAGGAATAACATAGGTACCATTTCGTCGGGTACATTTACGAGCCTGAGAAAATTAAAAATTCTCAATTTGGCAGTGAACATGTTGAGAACCGTAAGTATCTCATTGATAAAACTAAACTTCGTTTTGAATTTGTTTAAGAAAACCATATCGCGTTACACAGGTGGAAGACGACGCTTTCGAAGGTCTGACGAACTTAGAATCATTATCTTTAGAAGACAATAACATTTTATTGATACCAGTCACTGCGCTCGCTAAGCTACCAAAATTGAATAAATTGCGTTTGGACTACAATAGAATTGCCGCTTTATCTTTGAACATTCTCCGGGGAATGTCTGACATCTTAGTCGAATTGGGGCTGAGTAGAAACGTTATCAGGGAAGTGCCACCAGATGTTTTCCAAGTATGTAATCTTTAACCGACGTACATCTTAGTCACATTTTACCATGTTATTAAATATTAAACCAATATGTATTTTTTTAGGACTTCAAAAAGCTTAGAGTACTAGATTTAGCTGGAAACCTGCTGCTCTCTGTGGAGCCTTCGACATTTTCCGGATTAGAAAATACACTGGAAACATTAAACCTACAAGGCAATAGAATCGCCACCCTCTCGTCAGAACCGATCAACTTGCAGTCGCTTAAATCGTTGGACTTGTCTTACAACCAACTAAAAGAAATCCCTCGTCACACGTTCATGATGATGCCCTCGTTGTTAAGCTTGAACCTTAGTCACAACCCTCATTTAGCCCTGATACCCGTCACTGTGTTCCATCCACTGACCCAATTGCAAAAACTCGACGTCAGTTTTACAAGTATAAAAATCCTAAGTCCCGAATTGTTTTTCAGAACCACATCGCTCACTCATCTTTTCATACAAAGCAACGGCATTATAGAACTGCCGGAGACTATATTTCAAACTCTTTCAAACTTAGTGCACTTGGACGTATCAGAAAATCAAATTTCGAACATACGTATCGGTACATTTAGCGGCCTTTCTTCTATAAAATACGTTAATCTGTCAAAGAACAAACTTTCCTCGTTCAAAGGAGAGTATTTCATCACGAAGCGCAGTAACGGGACGCCATTAGAAGAAATTGACATGTCGAATAATCAGATTAGTTATTTGTTCCCGTCTACGTTCAAAGTGCACCCGTCGATTAAAGTTATCAAAATGTTCAACAACAAGTTCAATTACTTCCCGTCGGAGCTGATCGCCGGTTTGGCGCACCTGCAAGAAATCGATTTGAGTAAAAACAGTCTGAAAACATTAGAAGAATTCGATTTTGCCGGTTTACCTCGATTGAGAAAACTTAACTTAGCCGAAAACCAAATAGACACCATTAGCGAAACGACGTTTCACAATTCCACTCAACTGCAGACGATTAATTTGGGCAACAACAACTTGGAACGCATTGGCGAGAGGACGTTCCAGGGATTGAACAGATTGCATTACCTGAGCTTGGAAAACAACAATCTTACCGAACTACCGGATTTCATTTTCGATCGAACTCGTTTAAAGGTTTTGGAGAACATAAATTTAGCTAAAAACAGATTTACCGTAGCCCCGTTGAAAAGCTTACAGAAACAGTATTTCTTTTTATCGTCCGTCGATTTGTCCTCGAATCAGCTGACCGACATTCAGACCGACGACAGCATAGTGGTGAATATAAAAAAACTTGACTTATCGTTCAACCCGCTTACCGAAACGGCCATAAAAAACATACTCAGCGAACCGAAAACTGTGCGTGATCTTAACTTGGCCGGTACCGGTATAAAAGCGTTGTCGCCTCTAGAAACGCCGTTTTTGCAAAAGCTTAACTTGTCATTTAATGAAATAAACGACATGGACGAGCACATGTACGACCGGGCGACGCTGATCGAGGAACTGGATTTGTCTCACAACGAACTCCGCAGTCTAGGTCCTCTCAGAACCGTATGGCCCAAGCTCAATCAGATACAGTTGGTGGACCTGTCGTGGAACCCTATTGCGAACATAGTGCAAGGAGACATGGATAAGTTGGGTTCGTTACGTTCCTTGCGGATCAGCAACCTGCCGGAGTGCGACAAAATCGAAAAGAACGCTTTCCGCAATTTAGGCAACTTGGTCGAACTGAAGATGTTTGACTTACCGAAACTAGGGTATTTGGACGTTACCGGACTCCTCAACTACTTACAATCCCTGGAGACGCTCGACATAGAAGTAAAGGACGCGTCCATAGGCACCCAACTGTCGGCCGCCATGAACCCCAGACTAAAGTCGTTGGCCATCCGAGGCCAAAGAATCAACAGCATATCGTCGGGCGCGTTGGCCGGTCTGAAAGCTCAAAAGGTGCAAATCAAGATCCAAAACACGTCGTTAACCGGCCTGCCGCCGTCGCTGTTAATTCCACTACCCCGGTCATCCGAAATCCAATTGGACGTGTCCAACAACCAGTTGTCTACGTTAACGTCGCAGTTTCTGGCGGCGTTGGACGACAGACGCAGTCTACTCAAGCTTAACGGGCTGCGCTCAAATCCCGTGTACTGCGACTGCAACGTCAGGGCGCTAAGGAGATCTCCGCTGGCCCTGGACTTGGTGTGTTCGGCTCCGGCTTTCGTGGCCGGCAGCCTACTCATCGAGATACCCGACGACGACCTGACTTGTGACGTTAGCCGACAGACAACGACGACCGTGGCTGCGCCCACGACTTCCACCACTGTCAACCCGGTGACAATCATTAAAGCGCCAAAGATGCCGATGAGAGCCACCACCGAACCGGACATCATATGGTCGCTGCCGCCGGCCACCACTGCCAATCAAAAGCCGCCGGCCACGGTCAAATCACCCAACCTGGCGTCGGTAACCACTATGACCAACGACGACACGCTCATCATCGGCATCGTGGCCGGCGTGGTGGTTTTCATCGCCATACTCGTGATCATCATTTGCGTTGTACGCATCAGGCTATCGGCGGCGGAGTACAACTCGCACATGAACGCCTTGCCCCCGGTATTGGGCGCCCCCATGCACTGCACCAACCAGGCGTGCCCGTGCCCAAAGATGTCCAGCCAGATGTACCCCATGTCGGCGGCGTCCTACAGCAACAGCTACGCCACGCTGCCTACGCACAAGCTGTCGTCTGTGTCGTCTCCCATGCGGCAGTCGTACAGCAACCTCGCTGGCCCGCCGTTCACCCACAACCCGTATTACATACCCTACGCGTCCGACGAAAAGGAATACGCGATGAGCATGAGGTAGCCGTCACCTCGCTGGTCTGTCGCGACCACTCTTCGGACATAACCTGTACATAATGATGTACTGAATAAAAGAAGACTTGAAACAAACGGTTAAAAATCAAAATAACTGTAAATTCATATCGACCGAAGCATTTCTATCACCTACGTCATGTTGTTGTCTTGCCATTCCGCATGTTCATAAAATATGTTTTTTTTTTTTTTTAGTTATTAATAAATTAGTTATTAGTGCATGAAACAACTACTGTGGTCGCAAGAATTGTATTAGCCTTAAGGCTCACGGTGCCTAAAATTGCAATCATTAACTATGGAACATTTTTAACTATAATTATGACAACTTATATTTAGCTTATTTTTATAATACTTGTGAAGTATATTTTTTAGCGTTCGGTTTTTTCTTTCATTAAACCATTTTGGTGTTGAAAATTAATTTACGGGAAAAGCGACGGAGCCCCAGAGAGAAAGTTTGATAATTTTTTATGATGATCAGGGTGATATATTAATCCCTAGAACATTAATGTTTAAAAAAATGTACTAATAATAATCTATTTAATAGAGAATTCTTCGTGTTAACGGAGAAATGTTGAACGAAATGTCACAAAAAGAAAACGTTTCATTAATAAAGTCAAGATTTACGTAAGGGAGTTGGGAGGACATTTTTTTTATGCATATCACCCCCAAAATAAAAAATTGTAAATACGCCACTGGGGCGCTTTGTATTATACGAATTAATTACTATGTAAATTAAGTTGTACTTAAATTGACGGCGATTTTTTTTAGAGTGTACATTTATAATAATTTGCTCAATAATAATAGCGGGGTTTAAGTTAAAAAACAAAAAGTATTAATTATTTTTCTTTTTTAACGCCGTAGCTGTTACCAAACCAGTAGTGAATAGTAATTAATTACTGCCTTGTTGCCGCGCTGGACTGATAACTTTTGTTTTAGTCTTGTACGTCAGTTTTATACTATAAAGTTTATAGAAACCCAACAGAGTACAATGGAAAATAATAAATAAAAAACAATAAATTTGCGATACTATAATAGAACAATGTAGACTGTTTACAATTTTTAATGCATGTTGTATGTTCTTAAACATTATACATAACTAAGATACTTTTTTATTAAATAAATTATCAAATTTTCGGTTGTCGCGAGTAACAAAAAATATTCAATGACATAGTTATAGATAACTTCAAAATTCTCATTTTTTGTCATTAACTATTTCTATTTTTCCTAACAAAAAGGCAGTACCAAATAATAAAAAGATTTGTGACAAATTATTATGAGAAAATTCATAATTTTTTCATTTTAAAACTAAAATTTATATTTTTTAATACACATATATTTCAGATGACTTGGCTTATACAATATCTGAAAATACCATTTATGATATTTTGTCTTTTGATTAAATAATTCAATTCGCTATTTTTAACACACGTAAACCGTTAATGTAAATTTATATAGGCTGTTCCCCAAAAGAATAGCCGGAAATAGACCAAGATTACATATCATTAGTATTAGTTAGTATATAAATTGTGTAATTTTGTTATTTCAAAGGGCCCATGACAGAGATTATGACAAAATACTTTGTTTATGGTCTTTTTGAAGAATAAGATAAATATGTTTATATTACTTTAATTTTGTTTAAAGAACATAAGTAATAATATAAAATATGTATAAATGATTGCTCTTAATAAATATTATAAATATATTATTTGTATACTTATATATTATTTTATATAAACATTTGTATAAAAAAAAAAATAATAAATACATATAACAATGGACAATTACAAATCAAATTTTAATATTTATTTATAAATCTTTAGAAATAAAACAGATAAAACATTTTCCATAGTGCGGCTAAGAATAAAACATTAAAGCGAGGAAATTAAATGAATTTTATGAATATTTGACTATTGTTGTTCAGGTGGTTGTTGAGGTTGTGGAGCATAATTTATTACTTGTGGTAACGATGATTCAGGAGGCCCACCATGAGGATGTCCATATATTTGATTATAACTGGGTACGTTCTGCATATTTGGCGACATCTGGTATTGTGGTTGGTCGTGCATTGGAGGTCCGGGAACTACGTGTCCGGGATTCATGGAGTATTGAGAACCGCCCATGTAATGTTCAATGGGCATTTGGGGATAATTTGCCATCATACCGTTGTACATTTGCATATGAGCTGGAGGAATCATATGTTGAGGGGACATTGTGTGTGGCATATGGTTTTCATGAGGTTTGGGGCCGTAAGCTGCCGCCGGTGGCTCTTTCATGAAAATATTATACAACTTAACTGCTTCTAAAAGTTCTGTACACAACTGTGTGAGCTGGGAATGTTTTTTATCTAATTGTTCGAGCTGCGCCTCAATCATTGGTGTCATAGCGTTGACCTGTGCTTCTAAAATCAACATTTCTTCAGTATCCGTGCTGTCGTCTTCAGGGTTGGCCTCCCGTAATAGCTGTAGCAAAGAATCGATTTTGCTCTCGTCGATCTCAACAGACTTGTAGTCCTCAGCAGAATGTTTAACTTTAGTTTTTTTAACGTTAACTATTTCGGCTGTATCTTTTGCAATTGTTAAATCCGTCGTTACAAAATTAGCTGGAAATAACCCTTCTAAGTGCTTATCTGTATATCCTTTCCACCAGTTAGGATCTGATGAATCGAGAACGTATATTATTTCTTCAGCCGAAAACGATAATTCATTGTCTTCGGCGGCTTCAAAATCATACAGGGCCTTGACTTTTTTTAAATTCGCCCTTCGATCCACTTCAAACGTATTTTTTTTTTGTGTTGAACGGTCAGTTTCACGTAAGCTGAGCTCAATAGCTTTGGCTATATCATCGACTTCTTGCAATGTTACCAAATCTTTTGATTTAGATGCATTTGAAGTGTGAGGATCTGAAACGAGGGAAAAATCTATTCCCTCTTGTTTTAATTTGGAATATAATGATGGAATGAGACTTAGTTGAGGATCGTTTTTAAATTCGTTTTCAGCCCATTTTTTGAGCACAGATTTAAGTTTCTCGGCTACTTTTTGTTGCACATTTTTAGCTAGCAATTTACGGAATTCCTGTTCAAAGTTTCTAGACGCTACTTCGAGTAAAAAATTCTTGCCGCAATTGTTTATGCAGGCATCCAACAATGTTATGGCTTGAAGGACTACGTGTGGATCTTGGTTATTAAGTCGCTTCACTATTGATTTATAACAATCTTTTGAATTTACAGATGACGCTCCCACTTTATCACAAATTTCCATTATTAAAGCCCAATCTTCTGTTGTACTAGTGCCGCTTGTCGCTTTTTCAACGTCGGCATCAAACGAGGAGGACAAAAGAAATGATCCCATTTTGATAAGCACTAAAAACAAATTGTTCAATTAATATCTTATCTATATTTCTACAACATGCAATAAATAATTGCATATATGTGCACAATATTAATGACTCTATTTTAAAATGGAGTGTTGTAATAATCATCAAAAATATTCTAAATACTATACACTACAGATAGTTATTGAAACTTGTTTTGGGATTTAGCATAAAAAACACAAAACACTACAAGAAGGTAAAAAAATAAAATCCCAAAATAAAAGGGTGTTCGGTAAAGTAAATTTGTTCAATAGTTCGTAGTCAAAACTATCTCATATGTGTACATATTTTTTAAGCAATGAGTTCAGTAATAAGATTAACATAAACACAACATAAAGTTATGAATAGTCTTTATCTAAAAAGATATAAACTGCCATAAGAAAATGTACACACTTTGTAGTTTTTGTATTTACACTGATTTACCCACAAGAGTATAAACTAAAAAATATAAGTAGCACAAAAAAAAAAAAAGGTAACAAAGAATAGTACTTACATAATGTTTTTTTATTAATACGTCTCAAATATCTATTGGTAATGTAAACATAAAATGTCGTTTATAATTATAATTTACATGAAAACAAGGTACTTAAAAAATGGTATTCACGAAATACTAGTAATAAAAAAAGTTACGAATTTTATCTAATGACAAATAAGTTGAAAGTATTTACCCATTACAATACAAAATAAAAATTTGACAAAGGCCGAAGGCGAGTCAGTAAAACTTGGTAATGATGATAACGACCGTGAAAATTGATATCACATTTTGTCACTGATGATTAATAGTGGTAACTATGGTATAGACCACGTTTTGGAACACAGCTGCAATGGTATAAGCTACATTTTTCTAACCTAGAAAATTATAAAATGTACTAAATTATAAAAAAAAATAAGTAAACAGATTACAGAATATTATTTGTATGTTACACTTACAAAATACAAATATTGAAATATTTCGATGACGAATTTATAATAATTTATTACAGAATGTGTTAAATGTCTACTAGAATTTTGAGTAGCCTTGGCTTTCGACTTATGTGAAAACGTATAGTTGTTATTTTATTATTGTGATAAAATTAATGTGACATTTTCATTTATTGAAACATTTCAAAAATGCCGGAACCAGTCGAAGAAGTTCCGTCAATCGGCATTATATATCCACCGCCCGAAGTAAGGAGTATCCTTTAAAGTTTATATAATATAATATATATAATAATACAACTTTTTTTTTTACTAATAAAATAATAAAATTTTCGTTAGCAATATAATTTGTCAAATAATTTTATAATAGGTAGGTTTTTTAATTGCAATAATGTTTTGACTTTTGACATTGTTCGGAAGCAATTTTTATAATTAGTGATTGGGTTTTTTTTTTAAATAAATGTTTTATTCTAACAAATCATTATGATAAAAACAAATCACCAAGGTATTTGATGGTTCTAATCATTGTATATGTTTGGCTTGCGTTGGTGAAACGCAGAACACTTGATCAAATAAATATTTTGGAATTATATCAACAATACTAATGCATTATCCTATGTAATAGCATATTTTTCCCTTCCCTTTTTTTATAAATTTCACAAATTATGTTTTACAATTCATTGATTCATAATTCATTAGATCATATGATTCGGAGTTAACAGGTTAATAGCAGAGATGGGCAGAATTATTAATCCCGGATTACTGTATTATTTTTTAATTAATCCAATTAATCCGTTAATCAAAATGACGGATTTATGGATTACAAATAATAATTAATTAGTATACTCTGCCCTTAGTAGGTACTTTAACAAAGCTCAAGTTTATCTAGCTTAAACACATTTTATATAACAACACTTTTTTGTCAATTTGTTAAATTTTTAAAATAAATTATTTTGTTATTATTGTTTAATTTTATAATTTGAAAAATATGATATCATACCATAATCAAGTTAACATTTTACATTTAAAATTTTGAAATCTTTAGACTTTTGTATGCAGAAATCGGCTTAGCGGTTTAGTTTTACTCCTAGTAAAAATAAAACACATTATTGTAAAAACAATACCTCCCAGCTTCGCATAAAAGAAAAAAATGATTTAAACCCATTTTAATTTTAAAAAAATATTAATTAAGTATAATGTTTTGGATTACTGGAATGAAAAAAAAAACAGTAATCATTAAATTTTGGTTGTTGGAATAAAACAAAAATCCTAAATTAATAATGTAATCCGTAATTTGTAAACTAGGGATTACTGAAATAAAGTAATCCAATTTTTTTTTAATTCTGGATTAATAATGTAATCCATATACTAGAGATTACTGGATTAATAATGTAATCCGTTAACTAGGGATTAGTGGATTAAATTTAATCCTTAATCCAAAAATTTAAGATTACTAAAATAAATGTAGTAATCCAGTTTTTTATTAAGCGTGGATTACGAGTAGTCTGTAATCGATTACGGATTGTAATCCATTTTGCCCATCTCTGGTTAATAGTAAAAATAAAATCTGTAGTGCACACAAGTTACAATATTATCAAATGTCTTGGATAGATACTTAATCAAAACTCTCTTTAAATTATATTGCATAATTATTTCAGTAAAGCTTTTGAATAACAAAATATATAATTATTTAAGTAAGCCAATAGGCGAATAAATATTTAACACTGTGTTTATTTTATGTTTATATTTACCATAAAATTCTATATGGTTATTATTTTTTGATTATTCATTATTATCATTTTCTTTTGCGCGTGTGAAAATATTTTCCTAACCCTGAAATTTAGATATTGTTGATAAAACTGCAAGTTTTGTCGCGAGAAATGGACCTGAATTTGAGTCACGTATTAGACAAAACGAACTTGGAAATCCTAAGTTCAATTTTCTTACTCAAGGAGATCCTTACCATGCATATTATTTGCATAAAGTCAAAGACCTTAAAGAGAAAGCAGGTAAATTTAATAAATTATATAGATGTTTTTTTTTTATCTGTATATATTCAAAAATTTAATTATTTAATATTTAGCACAAGAACCAACATTACCGCCTAAAGAAACTAAAAGTGTATCAACAGCTACACAACTAAAACAACAAGAGTTACTCAAACAAGTCCAAGAATCTGTTTTCGTTCCAAAAGATCCACCTGAAGAATATGAATTTATTGCCGATCCTCCATCTATATCGGCACTTGATTTGTATGTTAATATTTAAAGTATAATTCTAATAAGAAAGTAAAAACTAATGTTCAGTTGAGTGTGATATTATTTATTACAGAGATATAGTTAAGCTTACAGCATTATTTGTTGCACGAAACGGACGGCAATTTCTAACAAACTTGATGGCACGAGAGCAGCGTAATTTCCAGTTTGATTTTTTGAGGCCACAACACTCGCTATTTCAGTACTTCACTAAACTTCTCGAGCAATATACCAAAGTTCTAATGCCTCCTAAAGATTTATTGAGATATTTAAAAGAAGAAAGCCTCGATAGGCAAACAATTTTAGATAATGTCAAGTATCGTTCTGAATGGCAAAAGCATCAAGACGCTCTACGCAGAAAAGAAGAACAATTGATTGAGAAAGAAAGATGTAATCATTTTTACCATAAAACGTACTTGTCTGTTTTTAAATAATAATTTAATATTAAAATTATACTTTATTTTTCAGTGGCTTATGCTCAGATCGATTGGCATGATTTTGTTGTTGTCGAGACTGTAGATTTTCAACATGGTGAAATCGGCAATTTCCCGCCGCCTACTACACCCGACCAAGTCGGTGTGCGAACATTGATGCAGGAACGAGTTGACAATGGAGAGGCAGGTAATGAATTGAGCGACGCTGAAGATAATAATATGCAAGTTGATAGTGATGATGAAATGGAAAACAGAACTGGAAATAGAATGTATGCTCCTGAAAGCGAACTCAGAGTGCCAGGTGAAGAGAAATCTAGTCGAGACAATAACCAGGTAAAAATACAAAATTACAGTAAAATCTATCTAAGACGGGTCTTGGGTAAACCGTAAAACCACTTCATGTATAGAACTGTCTTTAAGTCTGGTGTGATTTTGTCACGAACAGGTTTCACTTTATTGTGATTCATTTTGATTACTAATTTTATTAATCTATGAAATCAGGTACAAGATATGGACGAATCATCGAGCGATGAAGAGAGCGATTTGCCACCTGGCGTTTCTAAATCTGATAGTCGCTCCAGTCAAATGAATCAACCACCCGTACCTGAAAAGGTTATTGTAAAGAAGGGATACAATCCTAAACAAAGTAATTGAACTAAACTTCATTAATTTTATAGTTGCGGGTTGTTTTTAATAAATGATGACTAATGTTCTGCCAAATAAATGTTTAAAAGATGTTCTCCTTTAATGTTATTAATGGAAAATAATTATTATTATAGTTGTCCGAGCTCCGGTTAAAGCACCGCCAGAAGAATATTTAATATCTCCTATAACTGGTGAAAAGATTCCAGCCAGCAAAGTACAAGAGCACATGAGAATTGGACTGCTAGATCCACGTTGGGTAGAACAACGAGATAAACATATAAGCGACAAAATGAATCAAGAATCTGTGTATGCTCCGGGTAAATATTATTAAAAAAAAAAAAAAATAGTATTAGGTGTATTATTAGGATTATTGAGAAATTACCCATTTGTTTATAACCAGGTACTGCTATTGAGGCGAGTTTGAAACAATTGGCCGAACGTCGTACCGATATTTTCGGTGTCGGCGTGGAAGAAACTGCAATTGGTAAGAAAATTGGAGAGGAAGAAACAAGAAAAGACGATAAGGTGCATACTTGAAAAAATCTAAAAATTGTATTTTGTTAATTGTAAATAAATGTTGTCGTTGTTACCTCTTAGGCTACATGGGATGGCCATACGTCCAGCGTAGAAGCAGCAACTCGAGCAGCGAGAGCTAACATAACATTAGAAGATCAAATCCATCAAATACACAAAGTGAAAGGACTGATTCACGACGAAGAAAAAGAAAAGATTGGGCCAAAACCTGTGTCAGGTACAGTAACCATTTCGCATCCACCCACTTCTCAAGCTGTTTCCGTTCAAATGACGATGGCCAACAATATGCAAAACGCCATGATGCAACCTCATCCGCCCAATATGATGCAGCCCCCAATGATGCTTGTTCAACAACAGCAACAACAACAACAACAAATGATGGGTAAGCTAATAGTTTCAGCACGAAATGACTTAACTACATTTTTAATATTTCAGTACCACAAGGTCAGCCGTATCAAGTGATGCAACCACAAATGCCACCAAATCCGTTTTTGGGCGCAGCTCGTGGTATGATGCAACAGCAACCGCCATTGCCGACGGGTCCGGTAAGTTAATGGTTTATGAATACAAATTTAAAATATTGATCGATTTATATTTTTATCAATGTCGTACTATAGCCTAGCATGATGAAACACGGTATGGAAATGATGGAAGATGAACCCCTGATGAAGAAACAAAAAACCGAAGATTCGTTGGAACCAGAATTACAATTTTTGATGAAGTTTAATGTAAACATTTTTAATTTAAAGCAACACTTTTTTTTAATTAGATTATAATATATAACTTTTATTATTTCAGGGTCCAGTTATGTTTAATGTTTCTACTCCAGTTCTGACCGACAAACCCGAATGGAAATTAAATGGACAGCTCTTGAACATCACGTTACCACTCCAAGAAACTGTGTCGGTAATAAAAACAAAAATCCACGAGCTAACAGGAATGCCACCAGGAAAACAAAAATTGCAATGTGATGTATGTATTCGATAAAAATTATGTACTATATTTAGTTAATTCGAAAAATGTTAGCTAATTGTTCCGGACCACTTCTAAAAAATTTAATTTTTTTTTTAGGGATTGTTTTTTAAGGATTCCAATACCATGGCTTACTACAATATCGGGCCTGGATCGACTATTCACTTACAATTAAAAGAGCGCGGTGGTCGTAAAAAGTAGTCTAAATATAATTTTTTTTTTTTTATTATTCAATAATATATATTATAAATTACATAAAAATAAATCTTAAATTTATCAACAACAACGTTTATAAAATGTTTAACAAAATCTATCACATTTTACTTAGCAATATCCGATAGCACTTGTTTGATAATATTGTTGTACCGTTCAACCATCGGCGTGTATATCTGTAAGACAAAACCGAAACATTCTCGTTAGGTTTTGTTTTTATTGTACAAACGTTTAATACATTGTAATACGCACTTGGTAAGCATCTTTATGAGGCGAGCACGCTAATTTCGGTGGTTCAAGAGTGCTGACTACAGATTGAAATAATTCGTCTTTACTATTTTGATCGCGCATTAACCCGTGTTTAGCTTGATAAGCAGCTCCCAACACGGCGGAATTGGCTCCTTCCTAAAGTACAAGAATTAGCAAAAAAATGAATCTAGTAATTTGCATTAGAACAAACCTGAATATAAACAGGCGCGTTAAACACATCGGACAACACTTGTAGTAATGCACTGTTGGTAGAAGCGCCGCCTGTAGCTATTATCCTCGTTTTCGGTTCTAAAAAAAGTTGGATGATTTAAGTAATTAAAAAATATTGTTTAATTACTCCCAACCTATTTTAAATCCTAATTGTTCGGCGTGTGCTCTTTTTGCAATGAATTGGCCTTCGACCAGTGCTTTGATTTCAATTTCTCGACTGGGAAACTTGTCCATGGGCACGTCGCTTTTATCAAATCGATAGTCGCCTTGTATCCAAGGTATAATTTCTTGCTCGTCAAAATACAAACCCAAATGGCCAAAATTTCCTCTTGGAGTTCTCTCCAATAAAGTGTTAAAATCATCCCACGACTCATTGGCGTAAAGATTCCGCAACCGTTCTCGTGTAAGGGAACCATTTTTGAAACTAAACGAAAAACATTATTTTAATCAGTGTTTATAAAGTACATACGTGTTAATATTTATAAGAAAGTGAGCGTCTTCATTTTGAAAAACAAAATATCTGTACATGTTTCACTTTAAAGGTCATAATTTTTATTTTTATCATAATGTGGACCAAAAACAACATTTTTTTATCATCTTATCCTTCCCATGATATCTTTCTCTGTATGGGATAATTTGAAAAATAAGATAAACATTTTAAAGTGACATTTGGTCTATAAAAATGCAAAAGTGGTAGTAAAAACTTTAACTAGTAAAAACTAGTTAAAGTGACTGTCACACTAACGAAAATTCTCAAATACAGTATGGAGATTGTTAGCCTAACCTAACTTATACCAACAATGTTATTATACGGACTATATCAGTATACACACCACAAAAGGACCATGTAGGCATCCTTGTCTATAGGGCTGGCCAGTACGTGACCTTCGGTTAGACATTTTGGCTCATTCAATGACAAAAACAGTGTATCGCTTGTGCCCAGACTTATGGCTACGTCGTTTTTACTAAGGCAGAGACCGGCCAAAGAAGCCGGGTTGTCTCCTGTGAACGACACCACTCGACACTCGGGATTGAATCCAAATCTTTCTACATAGTAGTCACTTATCGCACCCAAATCGGTGCCGGACGCAACCGTAGGTCCCAGTCTGGATTCCAGTCCCGGTGCACAAGCCTGTAATGAGTGTTTAAAGCAAAGACTTACTGTTAGACTACACGCTTATGTTGTAACACTAACAAATAACTAATACCATACAGCAAAAAAAAAAATTCATTTTTTTTCTGTATATGATTATAAAGGCTTACTTCCAAACATGTTTCTGACCATTTTTTCGTCCTGACGTCCATCAAGTTCATTCCTGATCCGTCGGACCAATCGATCGGTGCGAAATCGCCGAGAAACAACGAGCAACCAAAACTGCTCACCAGCGATATTCTCTAAAACGTTATTATCGGTCATTGATGATAGTCTGTTATTGTACAAAATATAATATTATACTTCTGTGTTTTGGTAAGCTCCTGGTTTGCTTTCGGCCATTTTAGCGATTTGGGGTCCAGAAAACCTTTCATACGCCTTCGACCCGGTAATGTCGGCCAAACGCTAAATCAAACAAAATATACTCATCATACTGTTATATGAATATATACTGACTGACATTGTTTTACCTGCGGTCCTCCGACGGCTTCTTCGAGTTTCCGACATTGTTTGGTAGTGCTCGAATCCATCCAGACGGGCGAGTTGACAATTGAAAAGCACGACGCCAATTGAGTGTGCAAAAATCCAGACGGATCCAAAGATTTTAAAGTTTTTTGCGAACCATTTGTCCAGTAAACGGTGCCGTGTTGCTGTATGAAAATAAAAACAAATTCTTTACAAGAACACTAACGATAACCACCATTACGGCCAATAAACTGAATAATCAATTTTCGAAAGGGATGATCCTAACATCAGCATGTCAACATCATGTTTGCAGTGGCGCATAGGGGTTTTATAACAGCACATGTAGTTAGATAAAATTATACCTACCCACCAACTTTTATTAACCAAAATGAATGCATTTTTTTTTTTTTTTTTGGCTAATAATTAAGACACATACGTAATAAAAAAATTAGGAAATATATACTAAATAGATGGTTCCAAATTTAAAAATTGTATCATACTAAGTTAAAAATATGTCGATGAAAAAATGACACAACGTTGTTAAACGTGATTAAAACATTAACTTGCCCAGCTATACTATTCGGGTGTGTTGTACATATTTCTTTTCTTTTTTGTTTTGAAGTTAAATTCAACCTAAACGTGTTCCTATTTCTTAAATTCAACTATGCTCTGGGCATTAGCCATACTATAAATTATTAATAAGTATTCAAATTGGGTGCTATAGGAACTTCATTGCTTCCTACACTTATCAATTTATTTATTTTTTCATGTAGGAGTATCCAGTAGGTTGAAAATGTCTATTATTTAATATTCATCGAATTTAATATTTGTGTGTGTAGTACCAATTGGTAGATAATGAGTCACGATACATTATTATATGATTGCGTTTGTGGGTAGGTATATCTATTGGAAAAATAAGTCGAAGTTCGTCCAACCAAATTAAGTGTGGGTGATAACTATACAGGATGATCAATTTAACGCCAGACACTCGTTTTTTTGGAAAAAAATTACAACTTTATAGTTTTTCTTTTTGAAAAAATTGTTATAGTTATGATATTGTACAATAGGGTGTACCTTATTTTGGAAATTTTTGAAATGCTATGTCCCCAAGATCACAAACTGCTCTAGTGGGTGAAAAAACAACGCTCTACAAGTCTCACTAATCTACATCAATATTTACCCGTGCCTATAAGACAATGAAGTTTATCGATTTTCTATCGAGAGATGTCGAAACTTTTTTTCAATATATTCAGAAGATATAAAAAAAAAATCTTAAAAATATGGTACTAACGTGAGTATGAAACGTACTTTCAAGGAAAAAATTTAAAAGTCGGCAATTTTGCGTCTGGGCCCTGGGCTCGTGCCCTTAGGGTAGAGACGGAACTGTTGATCACCCTGTCTAATAGTTAAATGCAGAATTCGTATCGACAAATTCGAGTTACACCTATATAGAACACAACAGGTACAATAAGGGTGTATCAAAGTTGACGAGATAAACTCTTTAGATAAGTTCTCACAAATAATTGGGACTGTCGATACGGTTATAGTATGATTTTATTTTTCCTTTTTTTACCTGTCCCGATCCGGAAACTGCAGCGACGGTATTGAGATCAGCTCCGCAGACTTGTAACCGATCGAGAAGCACGTCCAGGGCTTTGACCCACATCACTGTCGGGGCCGTTACCTCTCGTGGTTTTTCTTTGTCTCTTAACACGCCTCCATGGGTGTGGAATTCTTGGAGTTCCGTGTCGAAATGAACAGCCGCCTCGTACAGTTTTTCCAATTTGTCATCGACGATAACGCCTTTTAACTGCAAACGAAATAATCCAATTAACGCGTGTAATCGATGCAAATTAACTAAATAGAAAAATAATAAACATTTTAAAATGCATGATTAATTTTTATGGGGGGGGGGGAGCTTAAGTCCTTGCACAAAATATGAACATAAGACTTGTGGAGTAAATTTTGTTATACACCTATAAGCCAAACGAGTTTTAGCGTATACGCCAAAAAAAAATGTTTATATTTTGTGTACGTATATAATAACTATCTAACTGTCGTTCATAATTATCGTAAGAACCAAAATATTGGGAAAAACCAGATAAAGTCACTTTTTTCAAAATGGAAATTTTGGTGTCATAAAATTGATTTTGCCATTCTGCATTATTTAAACACCGTTTTTTTTTTAATGTAACTTCTCATTTTTTTCTTGAACTTATCAAATTTACATTTTGTTTTAATGAAATGTAAGTAAAAAGCAAAAATGGGAATGGGGCTAAGGATGGGTGTGGGGGTGGGGTTGGGGGCATATATATTTATTCACAACGTTCAAACTAGAACTGAAAAATAAAATCAATAATTTAAGAGGTCATATTCTTATGAATTGTTTTAGGCCAGATATTATGAAAACACTAAAATATACTAAGTACTGCAATCGAATTAAAAATATAAATATATATAATATAAATAAAATAGTATAATTAAATTATTTACATATTAATATATTATCTGAATGATATTTTTTAAAAATATTTTTAGGAATTATTAAAATCGTCATGGTTGTTATTTAAATTGTTAAATATACAACATAGGTACTATGTTAATTATAAGTTTGTATTTATTAATTAATTTTAATTCGTAGTCCGTAGAAATATGTTCAGTTAATATAATTATCATGTTTTCCACATCTTAATAATAATCTAAAGAAACGAATTCAAGCTTATTTACTCTCAAAAAGGTCAATTCACAATTTACTTTCTATAAAAAGAACAGACGTGAACAAAGTTCAAAAAATCAACTACTGTTTACGTCGTTTAAACTTGTTTAAGTAATTGGTATTAGTTTCTCGGATTAATTATCTCCGAACTTTTATTGGTTTTTCACAAAAATCATTTTTTTTTTTTACTTATGTATGTTGTTGACTAAGTATTTATTATTTATTAGTATGATTTAATAATTAATAAATACTTAATACTTTACATAACAAAAACGTACACGCTTAATAATAATAATAAGCAAATAATTCAACAGTTTTTTTATAAAATGTTGTTGTAATTGAAGAAAAAGACAAATAAACAGTGCTTGAATTGTGGGGGGGGGGGCGAGTACCTACAACTATTTTTTTAGACATTTTAGCGTACCCCTACTAATTTTGAAAAGTGGTGTTTTTAGGGATAACAAAATGCCGGGTCCGCTCTTTTTTTTTTAATAAAGAGAAAGAAAAACGTCCCCCACTTTAATTTTCCACACAAACATTGCAAATAAATGAACAAAAATTACTATATCACATATCAATGTATCTTTTCCGAATACTACAGAATCCTAACATGATATAAAGTCGATTTAAAAATATATCAATATCAGTATACATGAAAACCAATTATTGTAAACGATAGTATTTGAAAACCATTTTAAATTAATCTACGACTCATGCTCATGTATACTATTCGAGTTTATCAATTGTTCACGACCATATTGTGAACACTCTTTAACTCGACACAATGTCGAAATAGTCAAATAGTGGATTAGTAAAACCATTGGTGCGCTCAGGGAAAGTGGGCAAGCTTTATAGCTGCTGGTACGCACTAGGAAAGGAGGCAAGCTTTTTGAATTCCATCAAATCTTGGTATTTTATTCAATGTAAATAATATATTTCCCAAAATTTTTCGATTTACCTTTGTTCTCTCATAACGTTATCGACCTTTTTCAAGAGGGACCCAATTATGGACGTTTTTTCTCAAGAATTAAAAACCGGTCGGGTCCGACATATACTATTATCATCTATTAAAATCGCATATTATGATAATCTCGTATTAGATAAGTGCAGTAGTACCTGTTGTGTGCTGAAGTCTAGACCCAAGTACGTGATCGGCGTGTCGGCCGCCGAAAACGTTTGCCGGTGATCGCCCATCGCCGCCAACGATCGGTTTGCGGCAACAGCAAAACCGAAATTATAGCAACACTAATATATTATTTAAAATAATATTATGCATTCGCGTTCACCGCCACACACAACACACGCGAACCGACGGGCTTTTTATTATTTAAACGAATATCGCCGACACGTTTATCAAACCGGGGTCAAACCGGAGCGAACAATCGACCAAGGTGATTGCTATTATATTATTATTATAGAGTATTGTTTCAGTGGCAGCCGCGGCGAGCCAAGCAGTAAAGTAGATAATTGTATTATTACTGTGATAAAACGTTAAGCAATCTTGGAATCGTATTCGGCGTTTTTTAACGGGTACACAACTGCTCGGCGATAAGCGGCGAACAGCAACAGCAGCTGTTACTAAACCCGTTTTTTTTAATAATGACAATTAACGTTTTAACAACGCTGTTGCTGCACGACTGTTATTCATAATAATAATAATAATAATATTAATTTCGGTCGGCCATTACACGAGATGGAAGTGGTCCACGCGAAAACGGCACGACGCAATAGTAAGCGCATTGCGAACCGGTTGTCGTCGACGGCAACGGTGACTGACAAGTTAGTGAGCGCATGTGTCAGCGTTTTGGAAATTAAAAAAAAAAAACAACAGCTAGGTATAACACTACTACAAAGTATTGTCGGCAGTAGTAAATGTGTGTATATTATATATTCTTTTTTTATGCCTGTTGTTTTTTACACCGTGACGCAACGACCGCCGCCTTCGCCTCCGCGATCTTTTACCGAGACGACCTCCCCTCGGCAACGGCATTGGTTCTACACGGTCCGAGGATTTCCCATAACAACCGTCGACGTTTTCTTCTCCACGGTGGTTTCCCTGTTTACGACGAACGTCTTCGGTGCACGGTCATGGTCAGCCGAACACTTAGCGGTTACAAATCGTATAAAATAATATATTTACAATATTATATAACGTACGTGTGCACACAGCACCGAGACTCGTCGTATAATATTGCGTACTTAACGTCGGTCGGCAAGTCTTGATCAGCCGCGCATTTAGTGTACCTGCAAAAACCAACAAAACTTTAACCGTTGATCAACCGGCTAAATTAACCCCACCAACGATTAGATCAGAAGGTCCGTCCACCGATACTTGTGTAATCGAAGGTCCCTTCAACGGGAAAAGACCGGAAGGAGAAAGTGGAGCATTACTCATTAGCCTACGTGGCTAGTGAATCTAGTTTCTAAGATTAAAATTAAAGGTACGCCTACTTAGAATGATCAGATTTCAATTTTGTAAAGAGATTCAAGTTCTTTGACTACTTTACTAGGTTACGTAGGAAACCGATTTTCATTTAAAAATATAGTTTCTCGTATTAAATTAATTAAAGATGAAAATTTGTTCATATTATAAAACAATTGTTTTACAAAAAAAAAAAAATCAAAAATTCGTTTTCGACATAACTTAGTAAAGTATCCAAAGAACTTACATCTCTTTATAGAATTTAAAATCGGACCATCGTGTGTTCGAAATTTGTCAGGTATTTTGGTCTAAAATTTAACGCCAAAATGTATGCTTGACGTGAAACCACAGAAATCACAACGGTTTATAAAGTAACAGCCAAAGTAGCAAAAAATGATTGGAGTGTAGGTAGATGGCTCATAATATTTATAAAAAAAGTATTTTTAGTAAACAATAAAATTAATGTGAAATTTTCATTACGAAGACCTGCCAGTTCAAGCTCATTATAATAATGAAGTAATTTTTTTTAATGCCTCCTACACCTAATTTGCGCTGCTATCGAAATCGTGTTACAAACACAGTATTCGCTGACACATTTCGCCCCCTCCTCCTTAACAATTGACACTTTATTAAAAAAAAAAAGAGTATTACCCTTGAAGAATAATCGAAAAAATTGGCAATGATTATCAATCCGCTATGACCACTACTAACAATCGTAGCAGACTGTCAAGCACATTAGGTATAATATAAAAACCAAAATTAAAATAATCGAAATTCGACTTATTTTACGAGCCGTTTTTTTCCAAGTCATATTTTATATACTAAGAATAATTGCTAGATAATAAAACAAATAAAACAGTGCCCTGTAATGTGTCTTTTAAGCCTCTTAAAGTTTTTCAGTATTGTTGCTAAGAAGAAAAAGAGCCAGTGTGTGCAAGGCAAGATGGGGTAAATAGGAAGAATATTATATCAGTGATAAAATCTATCACAAAAAATTAAAAACGCTTCGATTTGAAACATGGTAAAGTATCATTAGGATATTTTTCTTTTTCTTTGATAAAAAAAAAAAAGTATAGTACAATTTGATGATTTTTTTTACGTTTTATAACCACATTAATTGTTCTACAGTCAGTACAAATTTCACATCCTAATCTCTAAATCCTAAAACTACCCCTATAAAAGTAAAAAAAATAAAAAATTGAGTCTCATCTTAGGAACAAGGTAACAATGATATCAAAGCATCAAAGCTTAAAAAATACCGTTATCAGCAATTTTGTTAACAAATTTTATTCATTTTGATGGTAACTGTAGAAATTAAAAACATTAATACTTAAAGGGTAATTTTTATTTTTATTGTTTCTATTCTAAGTTTATAATAATTTTCAAAATTGCTCTCTCTATAATCAAGTTTATAAATAGAATTATTTAACAATTTTACACAAAACAATTAAATGATATTACAATGTTTTTACCTGATCAGTGAACTAGTCAAAAGTTTTTCAAATTTTCTAAATAAGTTATCTGCATCTGAAAAATTTGGTTAATTACCTAAGTATAAATAAAGACTTTTATAATTTTAACTAGATCCAATGACGGATCGACGATTCGCCTTTTGAATAAAAAAATCAAAATGAAACAAATTTCGGAACTTAAGATATTGATAAAACTTTCGGTGTTGTTATCAACCCCGATTATAACATATTATTATTGCGATAACAGTTGACTGATAAGATGAAAAAATGATAACTGTATAATGTGTAAATACTGATAATAATAATACAATATCACAGATAATATTATAATTTATAATTTATAAAATTCTGTTTAATTTTAATTTCTTACATTTAAGAGTCAAGACCATTAATAAAAACATCTGAGAATAATTTTTAATGCAAGTATGTCTGTTAGTAGATAAATTATAAAGAATTTATAAAGTAGATCACACTCGAAAGTCTAGAATTGAGTGTTTAAAACAGAAATTCACGGTTACGTTATTAATTTAGTGTTGTCACTAATCAAAGGAACATGCATGCAAATGTGACCCAGTGAAGAAATAAAAATGTAAATTGGGCACCATAGTTACAAATATGTTTTTCCTTTTTCATAATTTTGAAATGTACAGAAGAAAAAATAAGAAACGCGTTTTTTAACTGGAGGTGCAATTGAAACAAAGCTGATTTGATATTATTTAGAGTGCTTCCTTGTACTGAAGTGCCGTTTAATGTGGTTTCTGACTTCATCGATGACCGACTGAATGCAGTTGTGCAAATCGCTACCTTTCAGCTGATTTCTGGTCAAATAGGGATGAAAATCTTGCCGCCAATTGTGCGTTTTCATGCAAATGCTGCTTATAGGTTATTTTTATTTATTTGTATGCTTATAGGTAGTAGCGGTACAATCACCAAAACAACGTTATTTAATAATGATAGTACTTTGTATTTAGATGTTGCAACTACGATGTAAATTAGTTTGATCCGTTTTTAAATATAAAACATTTTCTTGAATGTATTATGAAATTGTTGAAAATAATGCTAGAAGACAGTAAAAAACCAATCATTGATGAAATAATCTGTTCAGAACTGGTATCCTTGTTGGTTATTACAAATTTAGGAAATCATCATTTTCTACACTAAACTCTACCATTTATTACAAAAAAGTCAGATATTACTTATGTTATTGTAATAATAATAATTATCTCATATAAGTGTACAAATATTATAGTAATAATCCTCTAAAAAATAACAAAAGTTACTTTCCTATCAACTATTAATAAACTATAATATATGAAATGAAATTTTAAACTTTATACACTTTCAATTTACACTTCAACTTACTATTTTACCGAGAGAATTATATCATGAAATGGAAATATCAGGACTTACTTTACCATTAACTATACTGCTACAAAGTTTTTTAATTTTTGTATAAACAATAATTGTTTTTAAATATATATATAATTAAATCTCTTATTTCAGAAAGCATAATTTAAGTACTTTTTCAATAAGCTATGTAACTATCTGCATGTTTGATAAAACTGTATTTAAAAACTTATTAAAAAAATAAGGGTCATTGTTATTTTTAAGAAAAATTGTATTAAAAAAAATGTGATGGATTAATAAAATAAATAATTATCAATAAAAATTCTGAATACATGCTTTTCTATAAAAGTATATATAACATAATTTTAATTAAGTTTTTGCTAAAAATTGCTTTTAACTGATTGTCTCAACAAAACATCTGAAATTGCTACAATATGACTTCTGAAATTACTATTATAGCAAAAATTATTCCATTTGAATTCAAATGTTGTAACCAGAGAATACCTATCCCAGTGTCCAGTCAAAGCAGATTCCTAACTAGGTTTTATGAAGATTCCCTGACAAATCCTAAATATATTAAGGTCAACGGATCTCAATAACTTAAGCCCTCCCCTTTCCGCCACAAAGTAAACTGTTTGGCTCTATGTTACTGTAAATATTAAAAACAAATGAAAAAAGAAAAGAAACGGTGATTTAATTAAAATAAATAAGTGAAGGCTTGATAAACTATCGACTGAGTTAACATTCGCCTATTTTGTGTACCTATTATTATACTTAATATAAAAATAATAATAGGGTACATATTAATATAAAAATAATAATATGGTACATATTAATATAAAAATATTAATATGGTACGACAATGACATAATTTGAATAGAATTACAAGAAATAGAAATACAGGGTGATCAATTTAACGTAGGTAAGACACTCATTTTCTCTGAAAGAACGAGTAATAATAATATTACAGTTTTTCTTTTTGAAAATATTTTTTATGTATGTTATTTTACAATAATATATATATTTTCTAAATATTTACCTTTTTTAATGTTTTCAAGAGATCGATCAACTTTTAAAACTTAAATAGTGATATATATAACGTATTTAACTAACTTTTTAAATTTAAAATAGTTTGTTCAAAACTTTGATTGGTCGATAACCAGTCTTTGACGAAGTTATTAGAGTTAAAAATGTATGACGGAAGGATGACTGCACTTTACTCAATTGAGTGTCTTATGTTAAATTTAATTTGGAATTCGTATCGACAAATTCGTGTGACACCTAAAGGTAAAAGGGTTTTAACGTTGAGGGTTAACAGACGACAGGATAAACTCTTAAGGTTTATCATTAGGCATGTCGATAAGGTTATAATACATTTTTATCTATGCGCATTACTCAGCCGCACTTCAATCCCCGTTTTAAATTTTAAACTCTAAAATGTTTAAAAGTAATTATCCAAAACTAGTTATTGACCAGTCAAAATTTTCAGCAACTTATTCTGAATAAAATGGCTATTTTGAGTTTTAAAAAAAATGTAACAAAACAAAAAATAAAAAAAATAAAACATTTAAGTGCAATAAAAAACATGGTGTTTATAGCGCAAAGAAGTATAAGTTAATAAAAAAAATCTTAAAAATATTTAGTAGAGCAAAAGTTATTTCGTTTGTCAAATTTTTGTGGGACACCCTGTACTACATTTTTGAATCTTGTGACTTTCGTATTAATAAGATTCAACTATAAAATGCGAAATCATCTTAAGATCTTAACTATGATTCTGTGTGGATTGATTAAAAGAACACTCTATACTTTAATTAAGTGTCTTACGCCATATTATAGAAATAGTAAATAATTCATTCAAGTTAAAAGAAAAATATGAAAGGGAAAATTGATCCTTAATAATAAATGTATTTTGAATTGTCAAAAGGAATTCTGATGACATTATTAAATCACTAATATATTTATAATAGTACATTTTTTTATATTTTTAGACTAGACACAGTTTATATGAAAAACATAGTTATATTATAGATAGTTGTAATATATTAAAGCCGAAAAAAATAAAAGTCATCTATAAATTATTAATACATAATATTACAAACGGGTTAAAAAGCGTGACCGAGAAGGACAAGCCCGTAGTTTTATATCGCGCAGTCGTCGGTTTGAATCTAAATTGGGCTTTGTCAAAAAACTTTTATGATTTTTAAATTTAAATTACAAGTTTGATTTTAAAATTTAAAATTTACGATTTTTCTAATGTTTTTTCAGAGCCTACATAGCAGGATAAAATAATTAAAAAGGACAAATAGACCACACACAGCTTTCTTTTATAGAAGAACCTCTGCCAACGATATTAACCAGGTCTATTACGTTTGTTAGAACATATAACGTCTGGTGTACGATAACTAATTCAACCTGTGCTTAAAACGTTATCTTAGGCCCAGAACACAAAAATTAAAACATTTTTATAAAGTTACATCATTTTTTTTCCCTAGATTTTTCCAGTACCGAGTATTACATCAGTAACCATTAAAAGATGGACACCAAAAAAAAATATGCAAAATATATTAACTATAAACTAATGAAAATGCTTGGATTTTATCAGCTATTGAACCCCAAAGAATCGTATACGGTTTTGGGTTACAATTTTTATCAATTCCTTTACGTTTTTCCGATACTCATCGAGTTGATCATCATTGGTTTTGGCGTTATCGGTCTCTATTATTGGATGAATGACATATCCGTGTGTACCCAACTTCTACTTGTTATGTCACCTTGTTTCGCGATAATATGCATGGCCATTCGATTTGCACAGAAGTACCACGCCTTGAAAGAATGTTTCGAGGTGACAAAGGAAGATTTTTTATCTGATGACAACTACAGCAGAGCTATATATGATTCTTACAAGAAAATATGTATTAAGGTCACTAATATTTTTGCGCTATCGTGGTTTTTTGTGTGGGTAGCTTGGATAACCAGCCCAATTTTGATTGTGGAATATCCTGCGAAAAACTTGGAAGGCGAACTACTGATCTACCGAAACAACGTTCTTAATGTGATGTTTAGCCTTATACCGGTGGCTCACTACAACAATCTGTACGAGCTTTTTTACACACTGGAAGTGATTTCCGTCTCCCACATAATGACAAGTTATGTTGTATATGAAACACTCTTGATTACGTTTTGTTGGATGATATCAGCACAACTAAAAACCGTTGCTTCTAAATACAGCGCTTTTGGACATGACACCTCTTTGACAACCGACAGTGAGTCATTAAGCATTCGTTTTTAACATTCAAATATTATTGACTATTTTTAATTTAAGCCCAGGACAATGAGCCGACTGAAACCGATAAATTGGTTAAAATTATATCTGATCACCAAAGAGTTATAAAGTAAGTGAATTATTTGATTTAAGTACACCTATATGTAACCACATATTATACATTGAATAATACTATTAATACCACACGTGTAATTGAAACGCTTTTCTACAAACAATACTAATTCTAAAATGCAGTCAACATATATATTAATTTAAAAAATGTTTTCTTTTAGAGTAATGAACACGTTTTACGATATTGCCAAACCACTCTCAATTATTCAAATAGGAATTAATGCTATCATATTCATTATTTGTACATATATGATTGTTTTGGTAAGATATAACAAGTGAAAACTAATTTTATTAATCCTCTTATCAGGGGCGCCCACAGAGAGGGGCAGGAGGCCAACTCCCCCCAGCTTCTCTGTAAGTTAAAAAAAAATATCCAATAGCCCAAATTCGCAAAATTCATTACAAAATTATAGGGGATCCCCCACCTGAATTTTCATATGCGGCGCCCTTGCACTATAGTCTCTAATAATTGTAAATTAGACCGATTGTGTACATCGGTGCACAGGAGTCATAAGAGCATATTTTTTGAAAACTATAGACCGTATGTGTATATTGTAATTATATATAATTTATTCAATTGTATAGTAATAAAACAATATAGGCTTAGGGCATGTATTTTCTAATTATGTAAACAAACCGAATTAATATAAGCCACGATATTGTTTAATATTATTATTGTAATAATATTAAAAACCATATTTTTAAAAATGTTATTATTTTTATAACGTTTTTATTATAGAATTATTTTGATGGTTCACCCGTGTTATCTATAGCGTCAATTAAATGGATGTCATCCGCTTTGATTATAATGTTCCACTTGTTCACTTATTGCTATTTTTTTGGATACCTCGATGATCAAGTAATTTCCATTTTTTTAATAGTATACAATATTTATTCAACTGTATTTACTGTTCGATAATATTACACTTAATACTTACCAGTTACTAACACTAGGAATTTAAAAGTATTATAAATAATTTATTTAATAATGAGCACACAATAATTTATCAAAAAAAAACCATTTACTCCGCTCCACGAAGAGAATATTGAATAAAGGATATGTTTTTAGCATTACGGGTTCGCATAACTACCACGATAATTTGTTTTAGCTTTTTTATTATGATACATTATGTTAAAAAATACAACATAATATTATAAAACGTATTATCAAATTACTAAATTAAACTGCAAACATATAGTAATAATTAAACATTTATTTTCATTGCAAACAAACAGAAATACAATATAACAAACGACTGAATGAAACTGAGTACTTACCTAAATAAATTGAGTAAATACAATAATAAAAACTAGATTGGTTGTACGAAACTGCTATAATTAGATTTAATATTAAATGGAAATGACCATTGTTTCGATATTAACTAATAACAGTGATTACTATTGATGAAGTTTTATACATTTACAGAAAAAATCAATAAATTTTTCCTTGTACAGTAGTAATTGGTTCCAAGAGGATATTGGTTTTAAAAAGTTAGTTTTGTTGGCCATGACTATGAACAATGCTATTAATAATACTTCAATAAAACTGTCACCTATTAAAATTGTGAATCTAGAGTTGTTCTCAAGTGTAAGTTTTTTAAAATCAGATACTAAATAATAAAGTCATATATGTGTGTATAGAATATAATTACCGATTCTATTTTAACACATCAGTCATCACTATTTATGTATACTAGTTTATATGATAAAATTGTTGCAAAGTAATTCCTGTAGATTTTGTGTGGATTTATCATAGAGCATGGTTAAAAATTCAAGACGGAAATGAAGGGGAGTCGGGGGATATAGAATAAAATATTTAAACAACCCTTTGGCTTTTGGCTGCACGCGCCTCAATTTTAGAAAACTTTTTTAATTCTCAAAAAAACCGTCAACTTACAACCCTTAGAACTGTTACATTTTTTGGATTTGATAACGGATATTTTAGCTTAAAGTCATCACAATTCACAAATTGGCTTCTAGTTATAGCTATATTAATTTTAGAAAACTATTTCAAAACGTTATTTATATATATAAATACTACGTTTACTTAATACACGTATTATTATGAGCGTGTTGTCATAATTTGATTAAAAAAATCAAACACTACACCAAAAATCATCTTAATACTATATCTATAGCTATGCTAATAAATAAGTACTTAAGTAGGCAGTAGCCTCAAATGTATAACGTGTATAGCGTCGCGTATAAAGAAAGTAGTAACAGTTATCTGCAAAAACATTAACATAATATTATTTGTACATGCATTTACAGGTTATGCACACATCCTATTCGATAGTGTCAGTTTTCGCAAAGAAAAGCCGTTAACTATTTATTAAACGATATAAATAATAATCATTCGACATTGCACTTACATGGAATTAAGCATATTATCATATTATTAAATACCTACTACATAATCTAAAAAATGAAAAACGAAATCGAGTTATGTATATTTTTTTTTAAATAAAATTATTTGTAAAAGCATATTTTAAAATACTTACACTTAATTTTTACAAACTTTTTGTTGTTTTATTTATGTTAATGTAACAAATAAAGGGTCTAGTCATTTGTACACTTATTATGTATTATTATGCATGATGTTAAAAGAAAGTCAAACGAATGTTACAAGACGTAAAAGAAAAAATGAATTTAATAAAACACTTATTAAAGAAGAAAACAAAACTAATAGGACACTTGATTATACATAACACCTTCATTAGGAGCATCTTGGGAAGAATTAGAGGATGCCCAAAAACTTAATATTTTCAGGATCTGAAGAAACTCATGGATGACACATCATATTCACACCTTGGCAAATGATGGAGATGTATGGCTGTCACGACAAGAGGCTGCCTTAAAATGAAAAAAAAAGAAGCCATTGACGTAGTACAGTACAGGCAGTACAGTGTCTAAAGAATATTCCGTACAAATTTAAAACTAATTATAGAGTGCAGTAATTTTAAGTTGTAAAATATGTATATTTGTTAAGTGTTTTTCACAATTTTGAAGGAAAAGGGATAAATATTTAACATTTTGACATTTTCATGTTTTAGCTCTGGCACATAACCGAAAAAAGCGTAACGAAAAAAGCGTTATCAAAAAAGCGTAACGAAAAAGTTTTTCAGCCGAGTCTGCAACCACGAAAGAGCATTTTCATGTCTCGTGAAATACCGAATAAATTACCGAATTAGTTGTGGAATTATAATTTAAACAAAAAAAAATTACATGGAGCTTCCAGCATAAGGCCAAGGAGATTAAAAAATTATGTACAATCAAGTTTCTGGCTAAAATTGTAGTGTTTATTATCTGGCCAAAAGTAACTTAACATAGAGAATTAAACTATTTTGAATTTATTATTAGTTCTAATTTGAACGTTGAACGTACAATATATCTCTTATCTCTTATCCCCTATTCCACTCCCGTCCCCAACTCTTTCGCTTTTTTCGTTACGCTCTTTGGGTTGGGGACGGGAGTGGAATAGGGGGTAGGAGATAAGGGTGAGATTTAGCCGGTAAATAACCGAAAAAAAAGTGTTACCAAAAAAGCGTTACGGTAGGAGATAAGGGGTGAGATTAGTGAGTAGGGATAGGGTGGGAGATAGGGACGGGAGATAGTGGGTAGGGGATAGGGTTAAGATTTAGAAGATAAGAGATAAGAGATATGTTGTACGTTCAACGTTCAAATTAGAACTAATAATAAATTCAAAATAGTTTAATTCTCTATGTTAAGTTACTTTTGGCCAGATAATAAACACTACAATTTTAGCCAGAAACTTGATTGTACATAATTTTTTAATTTCCTTAGCCTTATGCTGGAAGCTCCATGTAATTTTTTTTTGTTTAAATCATAATTCCACAACTAATTCGGTAATTTATTCGGTATTTCACGAGACATGAAAATGCTCTTTCGTGGTTGCAGACTCAGCTGAAAAACTTTTTATTTCCTACATAAGATTTAAATACAATCTCATATTGTACAGTAGTATGTCTAGTAATAGATAAATCATAAAGATGGTTAAATACAGTTGAATCAAAAGACCGTGATAGATTTATGAAATAAATTACTATCCACCAATGACGATTCTGAATATCTAGTATACTGAATAAATATATATTAATTAAACAGACATACAAAACAATACATACAATTCAAATAATACATATTTAGTAGGAATATACAAAAACAAATAAATACATAAGTACATTAAATAGAATAAATACAATACGATTTTAACGGCTATGAATAAAAATTCTGAGCCAAAAGGCCAAATCGGCCACATTAAAATACATATCAAAAACGAAATGACTTTATACAGTACACTTAATTGAACTACCAGAACAGACAATTGGACCACTTTCCGTTTTTTGTTTGGTTCTTCGATAATAATTAAAAGTTTTTCTAAAACAAATCTGAATAACTGTAAGCACATTTGGTATAAAGGATCAACTGTGTAAATTAAGTTTGTTAACATTTTTATTACGACCATCACCAATGTAACTACAGGTAGAAATAAACTACAAAACTGTACATTCGAATCCAAAAAGATGCCATGTCTATATTGTAAACGTACTAGATGTGAACAAAGGATTCTTATTATATCTTTTGCTCTTAAGGAATTACCTTCAGTGTTGTCGAACATGATAACAAAAAAATTTCAAATTATAATAATGAGTATTTCAGATAACTTCGCAAGCAGAAATCAAGAAACTTTGATATAATATAGTTTAAGATATTTCCATTAGCTAAGATAGAACATATATTAAATAATAATAAAGTTTTTATCTAATTTGTCCTAATAAAATCAAAGCCATGATGATAATTCAATAGATTAAGTGGCTATTCAAAGAATGATAACTTTTGGTTTAACATTGAAAATCTGCAAAAATAGCATCCTCCTAATAATAGTACAAATTAAAAGAACATTACAAAAATATGTTTGGTATGAAACAAAATATATGTAAAATTTCGAAAATACATGAAATTCATAGATTGACGTATGACATTAGTTACAGGCAAGTCCATATTTATTTGTTTCAATAATTTTACCTGAAAAAAATATATATGTATATAAAAATTATCATACAATTTTTAAAATTAAATTCACTACTTTCTAATTTGGCAATTATGCGACTTATAAAAAGTATAATCAGGGGTAGGTGGGCTAGGTAGGTAATAAAGTCAATTTATAAAATTTATTTGTACAAGGAAATAATATATTTATATTGCTACAATATAATTTTTGAGCAAAATTTGAATTACATTTTAAAACAACCAATTATTAGTTCAGTGAAAATAATACTGTTTTACATTATTTTTACCTCGTCAACATCGTTTTTGAACAAAGTTTTAGTCGCTTTCACTTTATTATCATTAGTTTTTAAACCATAATTAAGTACATTCTTTAAAAATGTGTTGATCGTAATCATAAAGTAATGATTCTTTTAGAAATCAAATTGATATGTAATTATTTTTACTGTTAATTGTTATAAGCAGCAGATAGTTCTTTAAAAAATCGCCTGTAAAATATACAAGTATTACTATTTTACTTCATAATTAGATAATCAATTTATACCGTTTTAATCCGGATATTTTTACAGCAATTATACATTGATGTAACATTGAAAAGTCTTTATAATGTTTGGCAAGTTGTCCAAAAAAAGCAATAGATAATTCTTTTAAAAACTGTCTGAAAATATAAAAGAATTTTGAATGTATTAAAGTTTGGATTGAAATATTATTAACTAGACAATCTTCGATGTAACCATGTCTTTCAATACATATGTAATATTATTGTCTATTTTATCTTAAAATTTACAAAAAAAATATACCATCTTAATCTAGGTACTTATACTGAAATTGTAATAATAATTGATATAATAACTAGTATATTATATAGCAGATGACTGATAAGTTTAAAATTATGATAACCGTGAAATGTGTTAACAGTAAACACTGATAAAAATTAAAAATAATATTGTATTAATCTACTAAATCAAGTTGATCACTTTTGAGTCTAGAATTTAGATGAAATACGTTTTTAATAAATGGTTAGAGTATAAATTTAGTAATGACATCAATCAAAGGAACATGCATGCAAATGTGCCCCAGTGAAGAAATAAAAATGTAAGTTAGGTACCAGAGAATAGAGATACCGGGGTTTTTCCTTTTTACTTACATTTGAATTTTGCAGGCGAAAAAATAAGAAACTCGTACATCAACTTGAGGTTACTGCAAAAAATGAATGTGATTCTAAAAAAATGGTAAAGTGCTTTAGTCGCTCAGCCGCTGGTCGGGTACTAAACAAGCCATCTCTTTTACGACCTCCGAAAGTACTGAGCGACACCATCACCTATCTACTAAAAGAGTATGTGTATATGCAATTGAAATGAAGCTGGTTTTTATCAAATTAAAATTTTAGAGTTCTTCCTTGTACTGAAGTGCCATTTAATGTGATTTATGACTTCATCGATGATCGACTGAATGCAGTTAGGCAAGACGCTACCATTCAGCAGGTTTCTGATCAAATATGGGTGAAAATCTTGCCGCCAATTGTGCGTTTTCATGCATATGCTGCTTATAGGTAACAGTGGTACAATCATAAAAAAAAAAGTTATTTAATAATGATAGTACTTTGTATTTAGATGTTACAACTACGATGTAAACGAGTTTGATCCGTTTTTAAATCTGAAACATTTTCATGAGTGCATTTTTAAATTATTGAAAATAATGCTAGAAGACAGTAATAAACCAATCGTCGACGAAAAAGTTTGTTCGGAAATAGTATCCTTGATGGTTGTTACAAATTTAGGAAATCATGATTTTCTACAGCAAGCTCTACCATTTATTACAAAAAAGTCAGATATTACTTATTGTTAATGTAATAATATTATTATAAAAGGGGAAAGTGTCCAGACTTTATAGTAACGACACTTTTTCGGTTAAACTTTTTTCACTTTATGTTTTGATGAGTTAATAATATTACTGTTAACTGTACACTTTTTTAAAAAATGAATCCATTTTTTCAATAATAATTGTGTTTATTAATATATATTAGGTGCGATTTGATTAGAAAATCAATAATGCTGTCTTTAAATATATCAAATGGTTATTTTGGACAACTTGCCAAACAGTATAAAGAATTTCCAACATTACATCAATGTGTAATCGCTGTACAACTACCAGGATTAAGACGGTATGAATGAATTATCTAAATTTAAAAATAAAATTATAATACTTGTATATTTTTTAGGCAGTTTTTAGAAGAAATATCAGTTGCATATAACAGCAAAAATAATAACTTACCAATTTTATTTTTAAAAGAATCATTGCTTCACGATGATGATCAACAAATTTTAAAAGAATGTACTCATTATGGTTTAAAAATTAATGATAATAAAGTGGAAGCAACTAAAAGTTTGTTCAAAAACGATGTTGATGAGGTAAAAATGAATGTAGAACAGTATTATTTTCACCGGACTAATAATTGGTTCAGTTTTAAAGTTAAATAAAAAAATTTATCAGTGGCATTGTAAAGAAATGTATTTAATTGGAAAAATTATTTTTGTAAATTGCCCCCACCTATCTCTTTTACCCACTTCCTTATAATTAATAAAATAGGTCATGCATTTGCTTCCTAAAGAGTATTAATTGTTTTTATAATTAAAAAAAAATTAATAACAATTAACATTTTTTTTTTAGGTAAAATTATTGAAACAGATAAATGTGGACTGTAGACTGTGCCTGTAGCTGTCATACTCAATGGACGAATTTCAAGTATTTTTAATATTAACGTGCTAATTTTGTATTCAAACATATTTTTGTCGTATCTTTATAATTTATACTATTATTCAAGAGGACACCATTTTTGGAGTTTTCAAATTTAAGCCAAAAATTATGCTTTGCCACTCTAAATCTTTGTATTATCATCATCATGGTCATCAAACAATTATCACGATTTTGATACTATTAGAAAGATCAGGACTTACACTATCCTGCCTCAATTTTTTTTAATTTTTTCGTTAAATATATTTGTTTTTAAATGTAAATAACTTAAAATTTCAAAGTATTGTAAAATCTCTTCGAGACAACATAGTTTAAGTACTTTTTAAAAAGTTAAGTAACAATTTGCATTTTTGGTAAAGCTATATTAAGAAGCGAAGAGTTCATTTTTTTTGAAAACCTTTATGAAATCTAAAAAGAATTGTGATTTATGATAAGACTGATAAATTAAAAAAATACCAATAATGTTTCTGAGTACATTTTTTATTATATAAATATATATCACATAATTTTAGATATAAATTAAGTTCTTGTTAAATATTGCTTTTAATTGAATGCCACAATAAATAGTGTGTCATAACAATTATTAACAGTAGACAATAATTTCCAAGGATACTAGATAACTAACTTATAGTTGTACACAGCATTCTGTGCCAGGGTAAGTAGGCAAATTAAGTTTATACTCGTCTTCCAACTGTTTGGGCACAAATCGGCCACCTAAAAAGTGATACTTGCCTTTGAAGTTTTTGGCGCAATCTTTTGGAGCTGTTAACGATATCAACAGTTCTGGATTGATACCACCATCGTCAGGAATCCCTTCTATACTCCAACCGCTCGGAACATCAATGCTACAAATAGGTTTATTGGTTGATTTCAACGCATCTATAACTGGTACAAAGGTTGGACGTACCGGCGGTTTAAAACTAAATCCGAACAATGCATCGACTAGCAAATCGTACTGATCAAAATTGGATGGTAACTCATTGGACACTGTCACCTGAGAGCTCGTACACTGGTTAACGAGGTTATGATAAAGAGGCCTATCGGTACGAACAGGGTAGAATACTTCGGTGAAATATCCAAACAGTTTCATGTGTCTTGCGGCCACCAAACCATCGCCACCATTGTTTCCGGGTCCACAGAGAACCAAAACTTTTTTATACTTTTCTGGTGGAAAACATTTGTATATAGACGAGGCACAACTCAGACCGGCGAGCTCCATTAATTGGTCCACGCTAAATTTGTACTTGTTAAACAACTGTTGATCGATGTCAATAGCTTCGTCTTGTTTCAAATACTTCACCATGTTTATAAAACGAACAGGTAAGTTAAGACTGTTTGAAAACGATTTTCGAAAAATACGAGACAATATTATCATTTAGATATTTAAAAATACATAATAAAACACACTGAACTATTGAACTAATAATTTTATTTAAAACAGTAAACCAATTGTTGATGATAGTTAAATTACCATAATATTCAATACCTATAATATACAGTAATAATGACGGCTGTGTGCCAAGTGCTATCATAATAAGACTATTATCAATTTATGATAAACATAACCAACTGTTTAGATACCTATAGTTATTATATTACGCATTATTGAAATAATATTTTTAAAGTTTAAAAACAATAATTTTACATTTTTATTTCTCCTAATCCAAATAAAAAACTACAAATATTCTCTCTGTACTATTATAGACTGCTATAACTATAAACTGCTGTAACTATAATCTAAACTAAGATTTGCAGCGACGATAAGCGCTCAAAAACTGGTCGACTTTTGGTTAAGTTAAGAAATTATTACTACTACGAGGAATAATTTTTTGTTATCGTAATTTTTAATAATCAATTTATAACCTTTCAAAAAAAAAAATATTTTTGATCTTCATTTTAGCATTGACTCAATGTCAAGTCATTAGCATAAATAAAAATAGACAATCAAGAAACATAATATGTTAAAATATATTATAATAATATTATATAACATATCATAATATGTATTATTATGATAAACCTATTATAGATAAATAATACTGAGCAAAATATTCTGGTACTTAGTCATTTTTCGAAATCGTTACCTATAGTCACTGGTCGATTCATTAAAAAAAAAGTGCCTACATTGTAATCTGATGCATATTATGTCTCAAAGTTTGTATTTTATAAATAATAGTATCTATAAACTTCAGGTACGATCTGGTTGATTTACCTAATTAATAGTTATAGTATAAAACATTTGACATTATTACCCAACTAACAGAAGTACTATACTTATGACGTACAAAATAATAATAATAATATATATTATATTATTATTAGGAGGTATTTACCTACATTTTTATTATTACCTATTTTATTCTTTGATTCAAATTAAGAACCATTAAACGCAGCCATTAATGATTATAATATTTAGCAATATCAAAAAACGATTGTTAATTTCTATAAACTAATATAGACGAGCTTGCATTATCACAATTTTTTTTTTTAATACTAATTTCACTTGTACATAACATGTTTTATAAATAGTAAGGATACAACTAATAATATGTATTTTTTTAATTTTATAAGCTACAGTACAACGAGTTATTAACGTTTTAAATATATGTTGTAAACATATTCATCAAACAATATGTATACAACAATTTTATGATATTTTTTAAAAATTAATATTACTTTTACTATCCGTACTACCTATTAGTATTATGATCGAAACATATTTATTAATCAAAAAGCATACCTAGTTCTATCGACCTGAGAAATCTATTCAGGCGATTAAACAAGTTACCTATGAACGGAATTTTATTTTTAATACAACGAAGTCACAATTAAATTTTCTTTGCTCTTTAATTAATAATGTTAAAGTAATGGAAATAAAAATAATTTTTCGGCAAAAATAACTGTACTTAAATATGTTTTTTAATATTTTAAAATGCCTCATTACGCCGTTGGATGTTGTTAAACGACCTGGGAATAAATGTTATTTATACAGACTATAAAATTACCAACTCTAACCGACATTTTTGCTTCCTCAAATAACTTTTTCAGTGGGTAGAACCAGTGAGATACTAAATTATATTACTCATAAAAACTTTATATTTTTATCGGTCCACATTATATATTATATAATATTCTTTAGCATTTAGAAGATAAACCGGTACCATCAGTATTGATTGTGCAGTCTGGTAACCAATACAGCCGTAGTTTATGTACACTGTTATTACTCAATGTGATTTAGTACAAGAAATAAAACATCGAAGACTGATTAATTGAATTAATTGATTCGCATTTAAGGTAATGGTACCTAGTTGTATTTACTATTTAATAATTTAGTATGCGAATTCGCGTCTATGATGTATCAATTAAAGTTAATCCACGTCCTACAATTGCTGTTATTCGCAGCCAAACACTAATATTAATTGTAAAATTAAAAAATAATAATTTTTTTAACCCAATCCTAAATTAAAATTATCGTAACTGGGATAACATTGGTCGTTGCGGAAAACTTTGGCCCGCATCGTGAAAAAACATTAAATTTAGCTTAACTTAACATATACCTGTATGGATATATTACATTATAATAAAATAACAATAAATATGTAAGTGACATAGTTATGATGATTTAAATATTATTATTATTATGTTTATATTTATGTTTCTTACATAAAATAGGTGATACATTTATTCCAAAGCTGTGTTCATGTTGAACATTTAATATAATATGATATGGCATATGCGTATCTAACAACAACAAATTGTAATATTTTTAAATAAACTAAACCGCAATGTTAACACATGATAATAAAATAAACGAACTTTAGATTGATTTTAAGTTCATAACAAAAATCAAATTAATTCGTACGTAGAAATATTTCTTATAAAAATATTTAACAGTTATACTAATTGCTATAATAATTTATACTCCACATGTTTAGATTATAGTACAATTGTATACTTAGTACCTACTATAAATATAAATATAATATTATTATTTATTACTTTAGTACTATTAATATTAACTAACAACCGAAGTTTAACATATGAGTATACTAATGATATTATTTAATATTATTGTGTTAGCTTCTTCTTCATTATCTCCTTACACTATCGACTATATGGGGTCGGCCACCCTAGTCTTACACCTCCATAGAGCTCGATATTATTGTATTAGCTAATATATAAAATACAATGTGAGCAAATGACTTGCAGGATTGAATTAACTTTGAATTATCATTTAATTACTCATTTTTTAACACTAGTAAAATTTTTTAAAATTATATATTTTTTCCAGGTTATTCGTTCAAGAATGTCTAAAATATTTTATTCTAGAGAGAGGTCGGTTATAGCAGAATCGAAATTCGTTATTCAGTGGAGGTAATTAAATTAAATTAAATATTTTAATATACTACAATAGGGTTTACTATTTTTTTATTACTAATTATACATTTTTTTTTATAGAAATAGTTAACTATATAGGCTTCTTATAATGTATACAATTTTTAAATTGGGTTTAACAAACAATTTTTTTTATTATTTGCATATTATTGAATATACATACATATGAATCATAAAAATTGAACATTTCAAATTTATAATAGTTAGTAGGTACGCCATTATTTATGTAATGCAACAAAATAAAAATAATATTTAGATTCTCACAAATATAACTTATTTTGCTTATTAAATTAATTTGGTACGTTTATGAAAGAATTCATATTAGCAAACTAAAATCAGTTTATTGAAAAGGCATGTTATATATTTTAATTAATTAGTTACCCATTTTTTTTAAAATTACTATTTGAAAATGTTATTATTAATTCTTTTTTTTTATTAGAAATAAGAAATACTGTGATGTGGTTTTGGTAAGAAATCGACAGTTAATAGCTTGTCAAAAAAATATTTTAGCTGCAAATAGTGAATTTTTTGATCAGCTGTTTTCGAGTAATCCTGGAAAACTCTTATATATGATGGATAGTGAATTGTCTTCAGCTAATATATTAAAAATACTTATTGAATATTTATATACATCTAAGATCGAATTTACCGAATCTAATATGCGAGTAAGTATATTAAACTTATGCCTATAATACCCAAGGTACATAAACATAATTTTGATTGAATTGATTCTTAATAAATAGAGTAGTTAGGTTCATTATAAGCCAACGGAACAACATTAAAAATACTTTTGTTTTCATTACATAACAAAACAGTTTTAGTTAATTCAAAATGCCGGTATTATTTTAATCCTGATTTAGTCCCATCCCTAATAGAAAAATTGTTCCTACTTTATTTAATTTGCCACAATTTTGTGTTTAAATTTTAAATTAGTAATATGAACTCCTTCGGATATTTCAATTTTTATTATTGAAAACTGAATACTGACACGAACAAACCTGCTTTAAGTTTCATTCTGTTGTGGTGGTTATCTAATAAGGGAAATACTTGAATACCAAGATTATATTACAATAATAGTTATCGCATAACTGAGCTCAAAAGCAAAGTTTAAACGAGTAAATATGTGTATTCCAACATTTTTAAATATATTTTATTAGGAATTAGTATTGAGAATACAGAAACAAAAACCGTTTTACTCGGTTGCAATGTACCCATAATCATATAATGTTGGTTGATGAATAATAATAATTATTCGTTTCTGAATTAGGGCATACTATTGGATTCGATAATGCTAAGGCTTTATGAAGTCGAAAAAGAAGTTTTGAAATACATAAAAACAAAAATAACAGTTCGTAATTGTATAGACTTATACCAATTAGCAAACTGTATGGAAATAATAGATCTGAGGAATTATTGTTTAACATTTTTAAAGTATAATATTAAGTTAGTATTTTTAATTTTCTTGATTTAAGATTTATTCAAAACTTTATATTGTTAATTACAATATGTACTTAGTTGTTTAGTGGATACACGGAAATTTCTAATTTTGACAGTCAATCAAGTTTTAGATATTATCAAAAATATCCAAGAACATGTGGATCACCAAAAAGTAAATAAACCCTTTTAAGAAAATAAGCCTAAGCAAATATTATAGTGTATGATATTATAATATATATTATGTAAAATTCTTACAGCAAAAACACTACCTATAGATTTATTGTGAACATTTTTTTAACGTTTGGTTAAAACAATGTTTTGAAATGATATTGCAAAGTCCAGCTGACTTTATAAATGTATACTATGCTCCAATCTCTATTTAGAATAAAATTGTAATCTCATACATTATAGATTTGAGATTAAATGGCTTAGGAAGAAATTAGTGATTTTTATAAATACTATCACATCATATATTTTCATTTCTTAGTTAAACGGTTGTGCTAACGAGAAACTATTTAGAACATAAATAAAAAACTTGGTCTTATAGCAATTCCATTTTGTATTTACTTAATATTTTATTATATTTAAGTACAAATTATGGAAATTTTATACTCGTAAGTTGTAATTTTTACTTAAATATTATTTTTTCAGTTAAATGAAGCAATAGAGAAGTGGATAAGCTATGATGTGCAGAATCGAAAAAATTTTTCAACTGAAATGTTTGTCAAAATAAAATGGGAACAACAATCACTATTTCCCATTGTAGAAACTGACGTTGAAAATAACGAATTATTTGTACCAAATGTTAAATGTAAGTTTCTTAATTTATATTACCGTCGTACAAAAGTACACATATTTTTCGATAAACTTATTAAGATGACGTTATATTACCTTTATATCAAGCAGGTAAATAAAGGAAATTTTTTGACAAATTTTAAGGCACCAATAAAACTATAGTATAAACAATTATTAGTTCATTAATTAGGTGTCTTTATAGCTAGTTTATTTTTTATAATTTTATTACCAAAACAAATGGAGAAGCATAAAGTTTAAATATAATTGAGTTTAAAATATAAAAACAGAAGAAATTGAATGAAGACTATAGCATTTGAAGTAAATATTTTACTCTTTTTTCCATATATTTAGTGAAATTTATTTATAATTTTATTCTAACCACTTGACATTCTTTCCAAAATTCATGTTATTATTTTGGTTTCACAATAGCTCTTGGGATGCAAAGGTTATGTAAAAGTTATACACGTTTTATTCTATTTTATAAATTTATCACTTATTTAAATTCGCTTTTATGGAATTTAGTATTTGCTTATTTTAGGTAATAACAACCGAGCAATTATGTCTAAAAAAATACTCAATGAAGGTCAAGCTTTAAAAACTCAAAATAAAATATTATGTCAAGTAAGTTTTTATATTTGCATGTTTTGGACATGCATAACCATTCGATTTGACCGACGCGATGGTTTAGTATCATTACCTCTGATATTATGTCAGTTAAATACAACTAAAACGAAGCCTAGGCTTACATTTTATTTGGTTTTTAAACTAAGCTCCCATATTGCTGTCATGTGATTGTTTTAGACGGGTTTTGTTTAAATTAATGTTTTAAGTAAGATTAATTGTAAAATTGTCATTTTAAAATACACCAGCCTACAATATAAACGTGAATAAATATGCTTATAGATTATAATTGTATTTCAATATTCCAAGCATTTTACGGAACACGCGTTGAGATTTTTGGACAGGAATGTTAAAAAATGGAAAACCATCAACGTTGGATGTCCGACTACTTCAAAATGTGTTTTTTTAGAAGATGGTAGAATTTTTGAAATTGGTAAAACGCCTTACGATAATAGGTATGTATAGAAATGTATGTATTTATATTTTGACAATAGAGCATAACTATTTAACTATTTGGAAAACAAACAAGTGTATTATATTTTATAATACAAAAAAAAAAAAAAACTAAAAACACAATTGCATATTTTTTCTTATACATTTCTGTTGCCATTTAATATTATTTTTAAAAACTATATCCTCATAAAAATTCCAATTTTCAGCATTGTTGTCACCTACTAGTTTTTTTTACTAATTTTTAATGTGGATTTTAAAGCTACCTATATTAAATATATTTACACTGGTGACTATAAATTACTTATATTTATAAATGATAAGTAATATTTATCTATATAATATATATTATTATTTATTAAAAAGTACTGTACGATATTTTGAACCTACTATAAAAACTTACTAAATACCTATGGGCACTATAAAGATAAAGTACGGTAAAATCTCAGTGTGGAAACCCAAAAATCTCTTGTGTTTACTGAGATTAAGTTTTTGAAATAAACCTGAATTTACTATATTATCTTCAAGAGATACTCGGGTTGTCTCCATTTTTACCTATCTTATTTAACTTTTGCGTCTTAAGAAAATACTATAATTTATAAGTTATATACTCGTACATTATGTTTTTTTTTGTGGACTTTTGTCGATTTAACAGAATTATAGGGCTGGGGGTATCATTAAGATACTGTAAAAAAATAGTTTAGTATGTATCAACATCATTATTATTATACCAATTATAATAGTTTAATAAATTGCAATGAATACTAAAATTAAACACTGATGTTCCAGAATGGTCAACATGATCAACCGAAGTTATAAATCGGTGAGCAAATCCGAATTTGTTCACAACAATCCAGTACTACATCATGCGAAAAATAAAATTTATATAGTAAGCATCTAATGCGAAATTTCCCAAACATAAAATTTAATAATTAGAGTAATTTTTGTAATATTCTACCATTGCTTGTATTATGTATGTACAGTTAGAGACAGCGTCCAATGTAAAAACTCAATACAATGAAATTTACTATATTAATTCAAACTGTTACAAAATTATGGGAAACATGAACGAAATTCGAACTGGCTTTAGCGTTGTATCTTGCAACGGTTTAATTTATGTCGTTAGTATTAGAATATCCATTTATTTTGGCTGTTAAAAAAAATACATTTTTCATAATCTATTTAACTTTTATAATATCCATGTTATTGTTTTTAATTTCAAGGTGGGTGGTGTTAATAAAAAAACAATAGAATTTTTCAATAAGGAAGAAAATAAATGGCTCACAATAGAACAGACGATGACAATTGAAAGACAAGATGCAGCCGTGTGTTCATTGAACGGATACATTTTTATTTTCGGAGGAAGTGATACAAATAATGATACTCTAATGTCCGCAGAAGCATATGATACCAATTCGAAGACTTGGTGGAAAATTCCTGATATGTTCAAAAGGCGAACAAACGCACGTAAGTATATTTATTGACATACAAATTTACTTACAAGTTCATTCATGTAATACTTACCTAGGCGATAATAGAATCATCCATTGCATTTATCAGTTGCCCACATAAAAAATATCTACTCTAAAATAGTTTAGAAAAAATTGTTCATCTCGTAAACAAATTAAAGTAATTTAATGTTTAGCAATACTTATAAAAATATCACATCAACTGTTTTATTTATCGGTTTGATACATTAAAATTTTTACTGATCGTTAACAACGTACAAGTTCTGCACAAAATAATACTGTCCTTTCATAAATATTATTACATTATGTAACCAGATACCGTATTTGTACCAATTATAAAAATAACACGGTCGTGAAATATTATGATTAATTACATTTTTTTTTTTTTATGATTTTTTGTGTAGATCGGTAGTTTTTAAGAATCTTCTTTTCCTCGGGTCCCAATGACTCCTCCAGTTGTTCAATTATTTTGAGATGTTGTCTATGTATTAATTAATTATTTGTTATCATACATAAAGTAATTTTGTTTTTTTTTAATGTTATAATCACTTCATAACGAGTAAAATTAAATGTTTAATACAACCGATGACCGAATTGAACTAAAAAACTTAAGTGATACACACTAATATAAGTAACAAGTAGTATACTAGGTAGAAAAAACCTATACTAAAATTTTTGTAACCTAAAACAAATGTTTGTGGTTTGATAATTTTTTTTTAACAAATCATATTATAAACTGTGATCAGTTTTTACTTTAATCGTTTTACTAATCAATAGCAAGAAAAACAGTCTTACCTTAAACGACGATTAAAATCAACAATAAACCAGTATAAAAAAATCATAATTTGTTTATGCTATTCTAAATATAAAACTCAATTAATTCTCTAACAAGTTACAATGCGTAGGTATAAAATTAAAAAAATATTTTATTAAAATTACATCAGATTTTATACAAATCATCAAACATATATAAATTTTATAGATAATTTGAACAAACTTTGGAGTCTAATTAGCTATTAAAATGTATAGTGTAAAACCTCAAAAATTAAATTAAATCTGTTAAAGATAACTCCGAAACAATCGAATATTAATATGACATTCTGTCGGTTTATGCAATCATTTCAGTGGCGGTATCAAATAATGGACTTATATACGTCATTGGCGGGAACAACGAAAACTCATATGAAGTATTTGATCCGATATCAAAAAAGTGGAAACTATCCAGAGTTAAAATGGACGAAAAATGGTCGTACACAAAAGGAGTTGTTTTGGACGTCGAGACCAGTTGTAATTTTATAGAAAATATGAAACAGTATATTGTTCAAAACGAATAAGCTGTATAAATACATGTAAATATGCTTTTTAGATTTTTAAAACAAGACTAATTTTTTTAAAGTATTTTATTAATTTATAAGTGTTCCTACTTAATTTTCTTTTAATTTATTATGAATTATACATGTATTAGTCTTATAAACTTTTATAACTATCCTTTTTAATATAATTTTTTACATTAAAAATAATTTTGTACATTTATTTTAATCGACGCGTTTTTTGGCTTCGTTTTGGATTATTTTTTATACCATTATTATTTTTATTGTACTATTTTAAAGCTGCAAAAATCATTTCCACGGTTGGAGCGAACTGTTCACACAGCCGACTAAGCAGTGAGGCAATTCCTATGTTGATGGAAGTGTTATCATTTTTGCCTTTTATTATTGTTTTGTTTTTTCCAGTATTATTGTTTTTGATTTTTAGTTTTTATTATTTTAGTTTTTTTTTTATCGAATTACGTCTTATTAATACTTGTTATTGTTAATACCCGTTAATACAGGTTTCGAGTTTATTTGTATTATAAATTGAATTCGTTATAATCGGCCGCTTAGTATTACTTTTATAAGTATTTAATACTTTGATTTCCAAGTATTTTATAAAAGGATTTAAGAACAATGATTACAAAAAAAAAAACTCTTTTATTCGTTTTTATTAATAAATTACGAATACGTTACTACATTTTTTCATATTAACTGTCGATAAAAACACAAATTCTAAATTGTGTCGAATAAATAATATTGTGTATCAGTTTAATAAATAAAGGTAAAATCCCAGTACCAGTATATGTATACTTTGGGAATGTGTATTAAATTTACTTTGGGTCAGATTATATTTTGGAGATGAGACTTTTTGGACAATTGATAAATGTGAAAACAACTTTTTAATGTTATTATAATATAGTCGTATAATTTTAAAATAAAATAAAATAAATGCAGTATCGCATTTTACATAAACGCTTGAAATCTAATCATAACTAGCGCATTAATAATAATTCGCCAACGAATTTTTTTATTAACATAATAATACTGTCGATTAAAACTTTAAACATAAGCGTATATCATTGATCGAATTTCGGCTGATACAGTTCTTCTTCCGATTGCACACAAACTGTTAACACAATAATTATTAAAAAAATGTTAATACTGTGTAAAGTTACGAATTATTAATGGTAGGTAATTATTGTTTCATGCTTAACAGAGCATTTTTCCCTCTATTTATTACATTTCGACAACATTTTAAGACAGTTTGTTTGTACCTTTTTTAGACGATTCCCATCCTAGGTATTCGCCAGTCTTTTTGTTTTCCTTTTGAAGCCATTCGTACAGCGGATTAAAGTAGTTCAATAGCGGACGGGCGTCCATGGTCCTCTGGCCGGTCAGCAGCTCCATAGCGTCAAACCACGGTTTCGACGAACCCATTTTCAACATGTCTCTGTTGGAAAAGAGTTATATGTTAATATTGAAAAGAAAACAATGCAACGGACGAGACTTATATATAATTAATTACTTGAAAGCGTTTCCGGCGTTTGTACTCTGGTAAATGTCGCATTCGTGCAACGGTTTAGTTTTGGGGTTTTTGGGATCAAACTGTCCGGCTTTTTCGCACAGCGCTTGATGGAACTGAAATTGTATGATGAAGCTGACAAAGTATCTGATGTACGGCACGTTTCCCACGATGTGATACTTGGCGCCCGGGTCGAAGTCGTTTTCCGACCTGCTCACCGGCGGTTCGACGCCCTGATACGCGTTCCTGTCAATGGAATATTATAATATGTTTTACAAAGGTTTAGAACAGATGGACAGACGAAATAGAGAATTATATGAGGATAGCTGGGGTGATTGAACGAGATCTACGGAGGTGTAGGACTAGGGTGACCGACCCCGTGTAGTTGGGAGTGTAAGGCGAAGGCCGAAGATAAAGAAGAAGAAATGTTGAGACTCGTGTGTGTTACCTCAGAGTCCACCAGTCGCAGTTGTATTTGTCCTCGGTGGTTTTGCCTTTGAACACGTTCCATCTCCACAGGTCCATCAGGTAGCCGAAAGGCAAAAACACTATTTTGTCTAGGCCGATTTTGTACAGGTAATTGATGTCGGCTTCGTACGTGCGACTCACTTTAGGCAACAAACCAATCTTGTTCAAGTGTTTTGGCGTGGACACGGACAGGGCTATAGTGTCCCCGATGGCTTCATGGAAACCTGCAGTACAACCGGGACAATTAAAGTAAACTACTAAACATGACTCAAAAAAACGGATATATGACATTTCCTCCAGAATGTCATCCGTCATCTTTCAATTTCTCAACAGGCGTTTTCGTTCTAAAAACCAACCGGATCATAGCCTTAGTAAAACGCAGCTTATGTTTTAGGGAAAATTCGGCAAATAAAGCCCCTTTAACTCTCCCCATACAATTAATATGTAATATTTATATACATAATACGTATTATATGTTTTTATGTGATTTTTTTTAAATTTATCTCAAACAGTTTAGTTGATATGAAAATGTCAATAATACTTTTTTAATTGCGTATGACTTAATAAAAAACAAAATCGAATAACAATAAAAAAATTAGGCTTCCAATATGTTTTAATGTGTTCTAGGTTTATTCGATTACGATTTTAATTGCTGTTCTTCCGATATTTAGTACATAAATAAAAATTGATTTAATTTTTGTAGGCACATTATTAACTATTTGGCGTATTTTAACTTAAGACCGGCTGTGGTCAAAAATTGTATTTGTTTCTTCTAAAAATCCATACAAATTATCTGTTTAATGTAAACAGAACTTAGACGTTCGAAAAATTGTCTATACCTCTATATTCTCGATAGCCGCAGAGTGGTAAAACGCCCGTGTTCAAAATTAACTTTGTTAAAATCAGTCAAGCAAATTATATTAAAAATCCCATTTGGTGGTTACCTTCGTTAGCTCCTTCGCGGTAAATGAAAGGTTGATTTTTGTACTGCAGATAATATTGAATGTGTCCCATTTCGTGGTGGGCCGTGATGAAATCGTTGAACGTGACCGAAGTGCATTGTTTGATTCTGAAATCTTTGGCATCGTAAAAGTCCCAAGCGGACGCGTGACAGACTAGTTCGCGGCCGTTGGGTTTCTCTAGAATGGATTTCTCCCAAAACGACTGAGGCATTGCGCTCAAGTTCAACGAAGTGAAAAACTCTTCGGCTATACGGAACATTTTCACCGGCGTGTAATTCTAAATTAAAAAACGACAGCTTATTTATTTAACGATTTTCCTGCAAAATGTCCGTTTCTATTAGTATTAGATACTTACCTGATTGACCATGGCCGTTTGCGGGTTAACGTCGTTGGTGGTCGGGAACGGTCGGGTGAAATCGTCCAATCGTTCCCAAGTCTGCGCCCACATGTTACCTGTTCATAATTGTTTTTATTTTCGCTTGGACTTACTCGGACACCGGTATAGTATATTATTATAATATGTAATTAACACATCAATCGCAACCGGAATTTACCTAATAAATGTGCCGGTATCGGACCTTTCCTGGAGACCACCGAGCCGCCGTATCGTTCCCAGAGCTTCCTGCGGACGTACGCGTGTATCTGGACGTATAGTGGGCGGATTTGATTCCAGAGACGTTCCATCTGCGGCCGGAAGTCATCCATGTCGTATCCTCTGATCCAAAATTCGGCGTTGTCCGTGTAATCTAAATAATTAACAATGACAGACACCGGTTTTGTTGATATGAATCCAATTGTATCACTCAACTGTTTAGTTTGGCTGCTTCATTGGCTAATTTCACGTATTCCGAAAACATAGGACGAACCTTCTTGCCGGTGGCTTCTCTCCATTGAATCCAAACGTGTTTCAGCTCATTGACGTCAAAACTTTTTGCCAGTATATCATTTATGTCTTAATTACGGAAATTATAATAATAGTTATGTTAATTTCTATCGCGCGTAAACTGTAATAATAAACAACAGCCAATGGCCAACCCAATACCTGGTTCTAAACTCAACCTCCGGTTAGAGTTAACGTCACCATATTCTGGAATAGTCGCTTTTCCATATGTGGTTTCCATGTCGGAGACTGTTTGATCGAACTGTAAATAAATGCAAATTATATTAGTGTTTCGGGTTTTTATTTTTAGTATTTTGCAAATGCTGACTTTTTTCAATTTGTCCTCCGGTAGAGCGGCTGTACCCAAGACGGACAACAGTTTGAATTGCCTCTTGATGTCCGGATTTTTGTACGTGGTCCATGGGAACTTTATCGTTTCTTTCCATAAGTCTTTCAAAAATTGTCCATACGCCGCATTGACCGTTAACTGCAGACACATTGGTTATTTGACATCATTACATAACATTGTATAATATGTAATCTAGTTTAATTATTATTTAAATTGTAAAATCTCAGAGACCTTCAAAATACAAATCATAAGTCATAAAAACGACCTAACTACACCAGTGTACCGAAATTGCCTACCTAACACGCCTTTATACAAATTAACAAATCATATTATCGAATCGGTGCAAACATAAAATAATAATATTGATATAACTTAAAACAAACCTAGTTTTAGATCCATATGAAACGTACATATACATTTTTTTTAATTGAAAAGATAAAAAAGAAAAAAATGTTGATAACTCCCAGGAAAAATAAACTAGTTATATTTGTAAAAATATGTATTTTTCGGTTGATTTAAAATAGAATTAATTTTTTTTTTGTATATAATTTTTGAGTTGGGTCATTCGCTTTGAGTGTAGCGTTCAGAATAGAAGTGAACCGAATCTAATGTCGTACAAATTTGAATTGTTAATATATGTATAAAACTGTATCAAAGTTCAAGACTATCTCCAATTTTAGATAAAAATGTCTGTAATATTTGTTGGAACAGACGTCGATTGTTCATTGTTTGTAACTATTTACATGTATATATGTAACCATTGTTTTTAAAACAATACAAAGCACAATAAAAAAGAACCCAATTTATAAACTATTCATTTTAATGTTATCCTCCACGCACCTGTAATGTCTTAGCATCATTGAAATTTACCAATAACAATCAAAATGTACACATGCTATGCCCTACATACAATTTAATTTAATATACAATTTTTTTAATCATTTGATATTTAGTTAACCTTTTATTACAGGCAGACGTGATAAGTGTCCAACGTGTGTAAATATCTATCTGATAGTTTGTCAGCTGTCTACCTGTAGAACACATTAAAAAAGGATCATAAAGGCTAAATGATTCCTTTTGACAAGTGACACTTGACTGCAGTATAGCTATTGACCGTCCCAGCATAAGCTCTTGCTTATTTGTTAAAAGCAGCGGGGAATAGGAATTAAAATACGTTATATGCGTTTGATTTGTTAAGAGTATATAGAAATAATACCTATAGCCTGTGTATGTGTTTTTTTATTGAAAATAAAATCCGAGTTTTCTGTGACGCATAATGGAAAAGTTTAAAAAACAAATTGACCACATTATTCAACTGTCAAACAGAAAATTGGATAAAAAGGTTTTGGGTTAATCACGGGTGACGTGCGATATAATCAATGCGTTTCAACGTTAACCCGTTTACGACCAAGTCGCATTAATAGGTTTAAACATTTTTTTTCATCCGTCATTAGTTTAATCTGTTTAAATATAAAAACAGTAAACGAAACGAACACGGCAAGTAAAACTGGGGCACCGAAAAGATACAAAAAAATTAAATTTTTGGTTAAAAGAAATTGTATTGAAATAAATAATATAACCTGTTGTTGATACACATGTTGTGTATATAATAATAATAATAATAATAACAATAATAATAATAATAATACTTATGTTGAAATGCCGAACCAGATTCGGGGGTGTGCAAATGGCAAATATTGCAAATTATGCATACAGTTATGCGCTAAAAGTAAAAATTATCTAAGTATAAAATAAAACATGTACTTAAAATAATATCTTTTGTACATTGTTTAAAAAAAAATACAAAACTATTAAAAATATTAAAAATTAACGTTTGCTAAATGCATCAAAATTACAATAACTAAAAAAAATTAAAAACCTGTCTAAAAATAATCATAGTATGATGTGATTGTTATATGAAAATAATATGCGATATTAATAAAACGGTAGAGTACACATTGAATACATCAATTCAGTACGAGTTATTTTTACGAGACACTTTTTTAGTTCTCTCCTAATGAAGTAATTTTTGTTTTGTCATAAATTTCTAAACATGCAGTAAGTAAGAAATATCGTGTATATTATAATATGCGGACGAATTGAAAAGAAAAACCAAAATTGGCCAAATGGAAATTATGAATTTAGATCATTTTATTACTAAAGCTTACTTAGGTATTTTTGGATCGTTCGGGGAAAACGTGCAATCGCATTAATTTGCCGGCCCATAGTTCTTACCGTTTGACCTATATGGCCAGAAATATTATCAAAGTACTTTTTTAAACGGACGAAAACAAACAATACAACGTTCTAATTACACACACGCTTAATTACCTTTTCTGCCGCATTCTCGTTAGTAAGATTCGACGACCAATTCCAGTCGGCTTGTATCACCTTGTTAGTCCACTTGGCCAATTCTTGGTTTGCATAATTCAAGAAATTCTGAGCTTCATTCTCGCGATTCTGATCCGTGCCAACGGCCAAGGCAGGTCGCCAAGCAACAGCAAGAAAGCACGCCAACTGCAGTGTTGTACGCATTCGATCAGCGAACAAAAGCATATTTAACTAAAAAAAATAAAAATAAAAAATGAATTAAATTAAATCAAACGCATTCGCTGGGTCAAAAGCAAATATTTAAAGTATAAACACATAATATTTTTTATGGTTATAGGTAATGTATAATATCTACCGCGGGCAATGAGTTTTTTCTCGAATAAATTAGTAGTTAAGTACAAAACGCGGTCGATTATATTGTTATTCGACAGGTACCTAACTAAACTATGGTCTATGATTAACTCGGTGGTTTGCGGTGAGAAATTATGATTATTTCTTACCAGAAGACTCCGCGATACGGGCAATTAACTGCACTGACGCTTAGCGGGGTTTACGGTTTGCTGTTTTAACGAACTCGGCTAATAAGTCTGAAAAATCGATAATGACATCAGCTAATTTAATTGTAAGTCACGGTTTGAGTATTATATTTTGTCACCCGTACAATATTGTTGTAATTTGGCAACGCGAGGACGCGTTTAGCGACTCTCGTGGACAATTCCATATAGCCTTGTCTGGTAGATATCTGATAGAAACCTGTTTAATTCTTCTACGATATTTACACAAGTCGTTCAACCTTGTTAAGTCATAAAAAATACTTTGACCCTAATATTGGCTCCCAGCTGAATATATATATATATATATATATTCGATTTTTAAACATATCAATAATTGTATACAACAATCAAATTCAATAGCCATCATAATAGAATATTGCGCATATTGTGTAATAATTTAATTATAGATATAATTATATCTATAGCTCCATTTGTTTCAAATGCCATACCTAGAATAATATATTATCTCTAATCACAAATTCTGATATTACATCACGATGTAATGTACTTCAGTCGCTAGTTTTTTTTTAAAAGTTCATGGTTGAGATTGTTAATAATAGTATTGTATTAATAATTAATAACACTATTTAAACTTTATAGGCATAATTCAGAAGCTATTATAATGATAAGATTGCATAAATAGCAATAATTGTATTGCACGTTGATTAATTTTTAAAATATGTCTATTCTTCAATAAACTTTTGTAGTCTGAAAATTTTAATCTTTTGCTAGTATAATATGTAATATTTAGGGATTAAAATGCTTTAACTTAACTTCTACTTTTAATTTAAAAAAAATATATAATACGATTTAAATTAAAATAAATAAGTTATTAAGAATTGTTTTTAATTTTAAGAAAAGTAGAATATCTATTTTAATGAATCAAATACTGGGAAAAGCCAAAATTACTGTTGAATGCTCATATTAAATTACTTATTACTTCTTGAGTTACAGGGAACATATATTCAAGGGGAATAGAGAATACATTTTAAAATTCCAAGATTAAATATTAATGTGTTTTGATTATTTGACATACAGTTTGGATGTGTATTTAATTGTTATGACTACTTGTGTTATGAACATGTTCTATAAACAATTTATGTTTTTAGTCTTGTTGAAAATACATTTTTAATATACAGAAAGCATTGGATGGCCTATTATTTAAAGTACTTATAAAGTTGTTTAAGAGAAGACTAAATGTAGGCATATCTTCTTTTCCGTGTTTTTCATAAAACGTAGAAAAAAAAAGTCGATAAGGAGATATTGGTATTTTTTATCCAATTTAAAATAAGTTATTTTATTATTAGTCCTTATAAGTATGTATTCTAGCTTTTAAAAGGTTAAAATTACAAAGTACATATTTTAAAGTATATACATTGTACGAAATAAAATAATCATATCTTGTAATTTTATTTTAATTTAAGTTTTACATTTAACTTATCAAAAACCATTCAAATAATAAAAAAAAATTTTGGTTGGATTGTAATTTGTATATTATATTATAGTACTATAATATATATCCTCACAACAGTTTAATCATGGTTAAAGCATTTGACTGTACAATCAAATTTGAATTTTATTTAGACAAAGAACCAAATATACTGTATAGGTTGTTTTTATGGGTGGGGTTTTTAATTTAATATAGCATTATATTGTTTATACATTTTTTAAATCACAAATTGCAGAAAGGGGTCATATCTCATTTTTGAGAAATTGAGTCTCCGCCGAATACTTATTTCTCTACCTTATTCCTTAAATACACGTCCTGTATTATATTAAAAACATTTAAACCACGATGGAAATATTAACCGCTGAATTTTTTTGTGAAAATAGGGGACAAGTCCAGGATGTGTCAAATGGTTAAAAAATAAAAGATTTTTTTTGCAAAATAAATTACCTAAGACAATCCTTTTACATATAGGTATCACGTGAACAGAATATGTCGAGCCAAAAAAAAAACTACAAGTATGAATTTTATTAGATGATAGTTTACCAAATTCTTACCATGGTGATAACTCAAAATTACAATTTGTTTTACTTCTGTCGCTTTTGAAACACGTGCGATATTTTGGACTTAAATTAAAACCAGGATTTTATTACAAATTCTTTGTATTCTAAATTCAATTAAAATGGTTAAGTGCAGGAAAGGGACATGTTCACCGATTAATAATCATTCTATTTTAAAACCAGCTCCATCCCAGTTTACCTAGAAAGTTTTCTGTGCTTGCTGTAAAATTCGGTTTTAAGGACATATCCTCTTTTTTAAGCGGATTAAAAATAGTCTGTTTTATAGGCGCTTTAGACCTAATAGCCTGACAAAACCAAGCCTACTTAGGGTGGGTTAAATTTAATTCTGTAAAAATGTTTAAGTTTATTCGCCTTTTTTACAAGTTATTGTGTTATAATCGATTTTTGATATTTCAATTAAAATTCTGTTTAAATCGTATTTTAATTTCTCAAAAATTGTAGTATTCACTTCTTTGACTTTTTTTAAGTAAATGAAACAGCTATTCAAAAATCGACTTCCACAACAACCTGGAAAAAAGGCCATTGAGCTCAATTATTTTCACAGAATTAATTCTAAGTAGGTGTCAAGCTCTACGTTCTAAATTGGTTTATTGTATCACCAAATGACTTTAATTCATAGAAAAAATTGTATACCTACGTTATAACTAGTACTTTAGCTAATAGAAATTATATTATTTCTAATAGAAAATAAATCGATATGGTCGAAGTTGATTAAAACCATTTTTTCTTAAATATAGCCTACATAAAACTCCTTAAAAACCGCCCGCTTTCAATCCCTTTGGTAATCAGTGCGTTATTTTTAGCTCGATATTGAATTTGTACAGTAGGGTGATTAAAAAAAATTCGATTTTTTTCCCGTGTTACCCAACATTATATTCCTTTAGGCAAAAATAAATTTTCCTTATTTTTTTTAATGACTTTTAGAAGTTCTTAACCCGTCGTTAGTCTTACTCACCCGATATCTATATTAGCCACCACTTGTTCAATTACATTTGTAAGAAAAATTGGAAAAATTGTTTTTTTGTCTAAAGTAGTTTAATATTGGATAGAAGAAAGATGAAAAAAATTGATTTTTTTTTTTAACAACTGTAAAATAATATTATCATTGTTATGGTACATTATCGTCTAAAAGCATATGGGTGTATGGTACTCACTATATAATATTATTTAAATGCGCTCAGCTCGTATGGGTATCCGTGCGGTGGTAGCGCGACAACCGTCAAGGCACTACAGACACACACAACGCCTGAGTATGCGGTTGCCGGTTGGATTTGATTTTTGACGACCGATATGGGTGCGTTGCGCTCCGTCCGACTTGTAGACCTGTGGCCGTGCAACCGCGGTACGCCTATAATGAAACCAAAATACCGCGGTTTCGCACAGAGAGGCACGCGGAGCGAAAAAATAATTACACCGCTCTGCCGGTACGATAATATGATTATGAAAAAACCCTGGGCACTGCGCAGATTGTGTGACGACGGCAACGGGAGGGGATCGGCTATGTCCGAATAGGTATTAAATAAACACACACGTACACAGATGTGGTCTAATCAATTTTAATTTGTCGCTTTATACCTATATAGTAACGAACAGCTGGTGCTGAGCTAGCAAACGACAGTATACGACTCCGGAGAAGAGAAAAGAAAAAAAACAACAGCAAATTACCTAATTAAAACTAGTAGTATTTGTTTTCATTAGATCGTCCATAATGGCCCGTAACATAAATAATACGTTTAATAGCGACCCCTTGGCGCGACGGAATGACGCGAAAAGCGCGCGCCCGTTAACGTCGTAGCGCCAAGCCCATGTGTCTAATTGCGTACATTAGTGAAGGCAATAGCAAGTTTAATATACTTAGTACACTACACTACGCGAAAGTTCATCTGGAATAGTAATTATATTTTTGAAAAAAAAAAAAACACTAATAAATATTATTTTAACGTACATTATGATGTGGCGGCCGTCTACCGTCTATCTTGTCGGTAATCGTGTTTTTACACAAAAAAATTACCAAAAAAACACATAAACTATTCAGTCGTTTTAAATTAAATAACAAATATTTTATAATTAACGTGGGTGGGTTAAAAAAACACACCTGATACATTGTAATAGACAGAATCGAGTGGGATAATATTATAAACAAATGGGGTAAATTATGTAATTTTTTTTTTATATCAACCATGTTTGTATTTAATCGAGTAATACGCGAATATCATTATAATATTAAATGTATTCAGTTGTACTGAACATTTTCTATTAATTTATTTTTAAAAAAAATATCATTTACATTTGTCCTAATTGACCACGGTTGAAAGTAACGAGTGTACATTGAATGGTGGAAATTGGACATTTTTCTCCCAAACAAAATTATTAGATAATAGAGAATCAACAGTTTATGTTGTCAAATTCGACGGTAGGTATAATTTTGTTTAGGAAAGTTTACAAATAACCAATAAGTTATACAATGGCAGTTTATTTTTAGGGGAAATTTTGTAATACATTTGCTAGTTATTTTTAGAGGAGCTTTTACATGTGCTCAAACTGAGTACTATTAGTTTATAATATTTCTAACGTAGGGAAAAAAATATAAAATTGATTATGGGAAAATTCTTTAAATTCAATTAAATAACCATTTACCATTGTGAAGAAAACTCATTAAACGTATCTGATTTTTCAGTATATATTTGGTTGTCTAATTGCCTTATTATTTATTTATTTTTCAACCGGTCTTCGGGTTTTAATATTTTTCTACATCGTCGACAAATAATTTATAATTCCAATACGAGGAAAATGACAAAATATTTTATCTATTTGTTTTTACTTTTTAATACAATATGAGGGTATTTGCTTAGGTTAAAATGGATCATCTATCAGCATTGTCTTACGGATTCCTGAACAATGTTAAGCAAACGAGCAAAATATGACAAAAATGTAAATTTATCACTACCGAAAACATCTGGAAAAAGAATACATTATACCTATAATAAAAACAGAAATTGGCACTGACCACTGTAGAAAAAAATCTAAACTTATGTTTAGAAACTAAAAAAGAAGGTGATAGGTTTAAAAAATATTGGGAGGATTAAATCACATATTCTATTTACAAACGGGATTTAAGTGGTTCATTAGAGGGTTTCCTTTAAAAAATATTATAATTACAGGTTTCTGAAATTGTTTTCTACTCAGGCACACACTAGCTTTGTCAACAGTCAACAGTTTAAACAGTTACAAAATTTAAAATTTACATCTATCTTTTCAAATTTTTGACTATGATAAAAAAAAAATCTTTACACACACCACATGAAGTATAACTAAGTATAGGAAAAAAAGTAGGTGATGTAAATCCTGTAATCTGTAATAACTTAAAAAAAAACATTTTATTGCAGTAACATACTACAATATACATTTTATGGTGCGGTATGTTTCTATAGATAATAAAAAGTTAAATTATTTTGCGTTGGGTTAATTATTGCTATTCGTGGTTAAGTGAACAAATTTGTATGCAGTTTAATCGTTCTTGAGAAAAACGTGTCAAGTAAAAAAATTTTAATTTCCAGTAGGTATTCAAAAACTAACAAATGGTTTTCATACAATTTTTGTATTCTAAATGTACTATTTTTCACAAACGTAAAACAACTGATAAAAACGTTGTACGACTTAGATTGCTGTACTCAAAAACTCAATTTTTTTAAATCTAAATAAATAAAAATTATTTATTAACCCTTAATAAAACCATTTTATTCATATGAAAAAAATACTGTCAATACGATAAAAGCAATTATTACTTAGATTTATATTTTTAAATTGATAAACAAACAATTATATATTAAAAAAATGTTTTATTTTTGGTAGGTACCTAAACTAATTATTCTTACTATGTATTTTTAAATCTTTGTTATAACAACAATGTTTTTATCAATAGAAATGTTGATTCTATAATTACAAATGTTGCCTTATTATGCTGATAAAACATGTAATGGGTAAATAGTAATAAAATACCTATTTATTAAATTAATCTACATTTGTATTGAATATGGCGTTTTTTTTTGTTAAGTGTAAGTATGACTTAACTCATGTTGCTAAGTTTTTTTTCAAGCACCATTGAAATATACTTCAATACTGAATACTAATATTGTAATTATTTTTTATTGACGACACCATCACGTCATGTTTTATTATTACACAAATACAAGCTTAAAAACAAAAAATGTGACGAGGAAAGTGAAAAGAGATCTCTTGTTTAATAGAGACTTCAGGTAAAATTAATAAAACTATAATAGAGTATAGTAAAATTATTATATATTACAGATTTTTAAAATTGTACAAGTTATATAATATGGTTATTATTGTAATTTAGGTTTGGGCCGAGCTGTTTTAATTTTATCCGAGCCTACTTAAGCATAAATATTTTTTATTTATTACATTTTTAAAATTATTATAAAGCTATTTCAGCTTTTCTTACATTGAATGTTGAATATCAAAGGCGCAAAGGCCAAGTGATGTAAGTATGTGACCTTCTCCTTTCTACGTCGAATTCATTTAAAGGTTTTGATTAATTATGATAAAAGATACAGATACGTTATTTTATTCCCTTAGAAGCATTTTTTACAAATGGATTTGTATAGGTATTGGTATGCCTTTTTAGCTTTGCATCGAAGCAGAAAATATATTGAAAATTATTAAATGTACGACATGTTCAGACATGTCAGAAAATTTGTTTTGCGCAGGAACTTCGCCCCAGATCAGCAATCAAGAAATTATAAATTAAATCAAATAATAAAATTGTTTTTACATTTTAATCGAATTTATTATTTAATAGTGATGTAATTCATTACAACTATGATTTCATCATTGGATTATCTAAGTCTGTGCGATACAACTTGGTTTTAAAACAATTCACATTGTTTCTTACACGCCTGTTTATTTTGTTATTCATGATTCAATAGAATATCTTATCCGGATTCAAATATTCGAATAATCTCATTTCCCATCACTAATATATAAATATATATACTATATATTTGTTTAGTGTACAATTTATACCGATGCAGAAACTTGTGTACAACTACTCAGTTTGCTGTTTGTTAAAAAAAGGTTAGGACTTATGTAAAAGTTTTACGAACCAAAAATTATTATCATTTTACTAGTTGCGTTCCTGATTATGATGATACAATTTATTTATTTATAATAATTTCGTAAACAAAAATATACAATCAACAACATAAAAATAGTTTGCACACCTCTTAAAAGCATAAATAACTAGTAAAAAGATAATTTAACCCTATTTAATAAGAAATTCTATTAATTTTTCTTGTTTAAATGTTAATCTGCCATTATACAGAATTAGCTTTGACTCAAAGTTCAAAATTAATAAGCGATTTTCACTATATTTTTTTTTATGTTCAAACATTAAATAATATGTTATTTTTGTTTACAAATACTCTGTAGTCTGTACTATTAGTCCTACCTAAATGTTTACAGTTGGGTATTTTTTCAAAACTATAGTTGGGTACAAATGATACTTGTAACTTCAAACATACAATCGGTGTATAGATTATATTTTATAACTTAACAAACTATGGCGCAGTGGCGTATTTGAGACTTCTCCTCAGGGGGGGGGGAGCGCGATATTAAGAGAGGTCACCCCTCCCTCTCTCAACACAAAAATTGTAGACATTTGATAGAACAAAACACATATTTATTTACAAAATAAGATCTATATTTCTTTTTTTAATATTTGCAAATCTATCAATGACATATTGACATCATTAACATTTGTCAGCCGCGGAGGCACGGATCGAAAAACAAAGGTGATATTATACCCTGTGGGCCTTAATCATAATGTTATCTGTTATCAACACGAATATCTTCAAAAAACAATAACGAACATTTCTTATGAAAAAAAAAATGTATTTATTGATTAAATTTAGAAACGCTTATAAGTTCAACAAACATAACATATGATTGACAAATAAATCTCGAAGGGGATTGCCCCTCCTCCTCAAATACGCCGCTGCAATGGCGTTTTATTGCCAGCCACTATATTGGGATCTCTTTCATATGAACACCGTTTGTAGGTGCGGTACCACAAATCTACCTGTCAATATTTTATATGACTATAGCGGGGACCAAAAACAGATGCAGATTTATAAACTTTTTTACAGACATGGAATTGCTTTCAATAGTTATAACCAGACGTTAAAAAAATATTGAAAACTACTTAGGCATTTAGTAGTTATAGTTGTTGGGTATCGATGGCGCGTCTGTAGGTCAAAGATTCACTAAATATTATTATAGTTTAATTATTAGACTTACCTTATTCGTTTGACCCGATCTACTCGTTAATTGTTTCTATTTGATATACCTATATAGGTATATGTCCAACATAATATACGGGTAATTTTAATTAGTTCCTTTGACCTTAAAGACGTCGGGCGATATACTAAATGGCGTATATATAAATATATATATTCATAGGTCCTCGCATTTATTTATTTTAATTATGTTATTTGAACGATGCGTGTAATATGAGCCAACACGTGTTTAAATGTATACACCACCACAAGTTTATCACGTGTGACTAGTAATCTAGTTGCAGTGTTGATGGCGACGAGAGCAAAGTCTATGAAACGCAGAATCTTAATAGAGTATATAATATCATTCACAATTTCGACCCATTTGTAATGGATTACCCGCCGGAGAACAATATTATAGGCTATAGCATTTAGAACCGATATGGCCAAACAACAGTAGAGACGCTGTATAGGCAGTATAATTATCGTGGAACACGTTGTTTGTTATTGCATAGACCATTTTGGTAAAAAAAAATTCTGAATTAAGACTTCGTAAAAAATTGCCTATACTTTACTCATTGAAAATGGGCAAAGTGGCTTCCTCTTAAGGGCCCTACTCGCGACAATTGCCAAGTCCCAAACTATGGTAAATTTTTGGATTTCGATTATTATCACTTAGTTTTAGCTTTTGTATTACCTATATGATACAATTTTTAACCTATATTTTTTGATACATAAGTTGTAGTTATTTTTAGTGGCGAAAAAATGTGTTACATAAAAACGCTCACACCTTGATGTATAGTCAGATTACAATTATCTTTTTTTTTATTTTGGAAAAAGGAAGATTTTCTCAGGGCTTCAATTTTTGATTACGTTACTGAAAACCAAGAAAAAAAAAGTAAGTGAACAACTTGTACAAATTGGACATCATTTAAACTTGTATTATAGCGTTTAAAAAAAAAACTTTGAAAATCTAAGTCCAATGCTCCCTGTAAAAAATAAGCATCCTCTTTCATAAAAAAAAAAAAAAAAATTATTGGAATTGCACTACCTACGAGGCGTGAGAGTTCTTTTTGTAATGCATGTGTTGGGCCTATTCAAACGAGTCGCCAATATAAATTGTTTTAAAAGAAAAACTTTAAAATTTCGATTGTTTTCCAAGAAAATAAAATCACTTAATCGATAACATGTACATAAAATTATATCAGACTATTTAAAATTATACAAAATGTACAAAAGGTCAAAGGTACAAAAATAATCCATGTTTAATGTCAGGAATTATGATGTTATGTGTGAAAAATGTAGGTATTCAAAATCATGAATAGCGATATGATATAAGCAATTCATTGCTCACTCCAGAGTTTTTCTTACATAAAAGTAAATTTATTATAAAATGTTAATACACATAAATACATTAAACAGCAAAATACTATATGAGGTAGCGTAGTCATAAAAAAAAAAAATTTGATACAATAATGTGTGTATTGACCGAAAGTAAATAACTTCAAACACAGTCTTGAGGTAGTTTGATCACATTGGAAATATGACTAAATAAACTATTAAATGTATCATAGCATTTCATTGTAGCTACGTTGCCTACTAATATTAGCTTGTGCTTAGCTCTCGTAATAGCTACAGTTATCCTTCTTTTATCGCTCAATATTCCAACATCCTAAACAACAAATTTTTGACGGTCAGTCAAATTAAACAAATAATAATACAATTTTAATTTTAAGTACTTTGGAGAAAGTGTTTTTGGTACACGAGTAGATTATCACTTCTTTGTCGCGTCCTTGGTACTGGTCGACCGTATTCACTTCGATATCTGGATCGACAGGGTATATAGTATTCTTTAGGAGAGTGACTTGTGCTCTAAAAGGCGCAATAACGCCAATTGATGAGCCCAAAATTCCACCCTGATAAAAATGACAGATGAGAATATTAGCAGTGGTAAAAAAAAAACAAGAATTGTTTTGTAGAAAATATTCATAGATAGTTTTCTATAAAGTTGCCATTTGTCAAAAAAAGAATAAACAAATTGGTTTTTCTAAATGTAATATAATAAATGTTAGCTGTAAATCCTCGAATTTACATACCTATCATAACCAAGACTTTTTACTACAATAATATGAAATAATTTAACACCATTTACTCACTCGAGTTAAAAGTAAAACTATTTTCTTTACAATGTTAACTTCAATTATATTACTGTCATTCGTGTTAATATTTACAGTTCCGGTGTCTAAAAGTAACACAGATTTATTCAGATCTGACGATGCGACTGCTTTTAGCCATTCACACTCGATCTATATGATATAAGAGAATATGAGAAATAAATTTGAATAATTTATAATAATTAGTTTAAACTTACATGACTATCTTCAGTTTCTTTAAGATTTAAAGTAGCACATTTCACTGCATCGTTAGCACATTCCAAACTTCCATTATAAGTGTACTTATTGGCAAGATCGACAATAGATCCGTTCATTCGATATTGAACGTGAAGAACCGCAGTTACGGATGGCCTGTCTAGCCTCTCGAACATGCTAATGTCCATACCGAGTTCTCTAGACACATAATAAAAAATCAATAAAGCCATAGTAAAAACAATTTTTAGCTTTGCATCGAAGATAATACATAGGGTAACACAGCTATATTTATGCCAATATACTCACTTTGCTTTTTTATTTTTAATCAAAGGAGGCAACTGTTGTGGATCGCCAACCAAAATAAATATTTTGGAAGAATGAAGAGCTGCAATTACTGATGACTGTACCACTTGGGTGGCTTCATCTACAATGCAAATATCGAAAATACGCTTTTGTAACAATGCGTGACCACATCCGAGGCACGTTACACCAACAACTTGCTGCAAAAAAAAAAATTGATCAGACCTTGAGGGAATTGGTAAAATTACAATTTAATTCAATACGTACAATTTGGTTATAAAATTTTGATAACTTTTCTGGAGTATCAAAGTTTTGAGTGGCGATTTCGTCACACTTTGACAGCAAGGTAGGATGAACACGAGTTTTAGAACCCAATCGGAGAAAATCGATGCCTTTTTTGTTTAGAATCAACAATAAGTTATCGACAGCCGAATGAGTATGTGAAGTAATCAAAACTGAGCGACCCATCAATACCAACAACTGTACAAGAGTAGCTAGTGTGGACGTTTTACCGGTTCCAGGCATACCCTTGATCAGTGCGAAATGTTTAGCAGCTAAAACCTTGATAATAGCTGATCTTTGAGAAGAATTTAGTTTTGACATAAGTTCGGTGCCTTTTGTAAGATCGTCTAAACTACTGGTCGATGATAAAAATGTAGGCGTCTCTTTGTCAATGATAAAACGCCTTAATTGTGCCGAACTATCACTAGGCTCTAATATTAGGGCTAAACTAGAAAAATTGAATGCAATAATCGATTGTGACTCGTACTTATCTAAATGGTAAACGGTACTCTTTAGTTTACTCAAATCCCTATAATATAAACAAACAAAATAAATATACAATTAATAATTTGTATGATTATTCATTTTTATTTTTTAGTTTTATTTACCGATCTAACAGCAATTCTACAGACGATTCGGTCAGAGAAGAAATAAAGCCAGTAGCTATTGCCGTTCTTTCATTTGTACTGATTATGGAATAACCGCCGACAGAAAAACCAGTTAGTTTAAAATTAATATGAACATTTTTATCAAATTTCTCCATTGTATGCACGTAATATTTATCGCCCTGTTCTTTGACAGCTTTTGATATTTTCAAAGAAGCGATACAATGGCCACGTCTTTCTCTAAAATATAAGGACAATATCATGAACATAAAATGTAATACACCATAGTTCTAGGGCTGTGCAGTTTTTTCAATTAATCAAAATTCATATAAATTATTCATTCATTTTGATTAATATATGCAGTTAAAAAAATCAATAAAAAACTAATTGTTTAATCTTCCATTTTTTTTTTAGTAACATCCAAGCACTTGCAAACACGTTTTATAACACTGTACCTTAGGGTACTTTTAAACATAGAAATTCAATGGTGGTGTAAACATCGCAGCATGACCGCCAAAAATATTTTTAAAGATGCGTATGCTTGGAGGTTAAATACATAAAATCACAATTGATCAGATACAAAAACAATTGCACCATCCTACAGTCCTCCCAAGTAGTAAAAAAAGAAAATGAGTAATACTTACCGTTCTTCAATGGGCAGAGTCCATATATCACTAGTTTTTGCTAGTAAGTTATCACTGGTGTCTATGTAGTTTTCTAACTGCAATAACCCAGTCCACCGCATCACATAATCTATGTGCTCGGGTTTTAAATGACTAATTGCTTTGGGGCCTAAGTTTCTAAGAGGATTATTTTGAGCCAATGTTTCAAAACTCTCTTTACTGTAAAATATAATACAGAAGTTTTATAGTTTGTGAATTTTTAATTAATTATAAATTAGTAATGACATTTTTTTTAAACCTCAGTACGGAGCTGCATATTGTTAAGTACGGGCATTTTCCGCATGCACTATGATGGTTTATTGGCTCTGGTAGTATGGGTATATATTTATCAATGGAATCCATGACTACTCTGTTTGACTTTAAATAATGTACCAAACGATTACGAAGCATAATCAAGTCTCGTTTCTCTTTATGGCCTACTTTAACGTGTGTTAAGACATTTTCTCTAAAAGACATAAAAAGTTTCAGGCATTCTGTTATAGTTTATAAATTATAAAAACAAACTCAAATTACCTAAGATACAACAATAAACCAGAATCGACATCCATTCCAAGTTGTGCCATCATGATTACATATAAGATGACCTGGCCACGATGCTCTTCACTACCTGAAGCTCGCCCTGTTTTTAACTCTACCGGCATTATCTTGGAATTTCTATTGTAGTTCGCTTTAATTGTTACATCAACTTTTCCTTTAATACCAAATTCGGGTACCCATAAATTTTCTTCTATATCTTGAACAGAAACTATTTCTCCTTGCCAAGTCTTTTTATCATTTCCCCTTGAAAAAAAAAAACACAATTAAAACATATTTCCTTAACCTGTTTGTCGAATTAGTTAATACAAAAACTAAATAAATAAATTGATTATAATTTAATAAGAGTAATAATTTTATACATTTACTTTTTATGACCAACTACATAAGTTCTAACAAAGCTTTGAATTTTCGGTATGAATTCTGTGAGTTCTTTTTTTGTTGTTTCCAAATCCATGTCCGATTCATAAAGAGTACGAATGAAATTTAGGTTGCCGGTCATTTCATTAACTATTCCTGTAATGTGTTTGGAGTCGAACTGTTTTCCCTTTAACACCTAAAAAATGACAATAGTCATCAACAGATATTTATAAAATATATTTTAATGCTTTTTATATTTACTGTTTGTAACAACTGATGAAGTAATGTTCCCATAACCATATTAGCCGCACAACAATCGAGACCTCTGTAAATGTCCGTCAAGACTGAACGTCGAGCACAAAAAAGTGAGCCGACAATGGTCGTACCGGATACCAAAAAGTCCGAGTGTCTAGCCACAAATCCAAAATCATTACTGACTGACCATATATTGTCAAATTTTTCTGCCATCACTGTTACAATGTCTCCTATTTCAAATATACTATGAAGCCTAAATTATAAAAAAAAATATAAAATAATTAGCACAGTTAAATGTTGTATAACATAATATTAAAAGTTTACCAAATACCACTGAGAGAACACAAACTTTGTTCTTCAAGATTTGTGCAAGAATTCAACGTCAAACATATTTTTACCGAATCCTTTTCAACTTTTATCACTGTACATCGTTGAGGTTGGCATAAATCTAGATCTCTAAAGTATTTAGCAAAAATTATTTAAATTCAAACAACTATACATATCAGTGTAAATTTAAAAGTAATATAAAATATATTACTTTATGTTTGGCTGACTAGATATAATCCAATCGTCAGAAAACAGATCAGAACCAAAATCCACATCATCAATTGTACTAGTAACAGAATCTGTGCCCGTAAATGACTGATCGTCAATATCGAGACTGTCCTCAGATTTGAGTAACACATTTTTTTTTGTACTTAAATTCAATAATTTTTTAGAAAAAGGTGAAACATTTGCAGGAGTTATTACATCAACAACTGCATTTTCAGCCAAGATATTGTTTAAACTTCTTTTTGCCTTAATGATTTTCTTTTTGTTCAGTACTGGAGATGGGAGAACAATATCGGGACTAGAAACTTCAGACCGTGCAGGAGACAAACATTCATCTTTATTGCAATTTTCATTTTTTGAAACTGGTTGTGGGGTACAAGTTGCAGTAAAGAGAGAAGTGATTTTCATTTGTTTAGTACCACCAGATTCAATCTATAATAAACAACATTTTTTATATTATAGAAAACATTATGATCTATCTAAATATCGTATTTAACCTAAATACCTTTTGCGCTTTACTGTGAGTTCTTTTCATTTTAATGACAGCTATTCAAAACTTTGTGTAGATGTTCACTATCATACTTACAAGTACAAAAGTCTTTAGAACAGGAACCGATTACCGATTAGAAATAAAAAAAACTAAAATATGTCAACTTATAATATTATAGATTACTATTGATCCAATATGATAAACGTCGTTTCCTCATTTTTCTACTTTAAATCTTCAGTCCTTGGACATTTTATAATAAGTAAAAACAGTATATACCACGCGCTGTTGATAAAAAATAATGAAAACTGTGATTTTGTCATAATAAAATATATGAATTAGATATTTTTTAGATAACAAAATTCCCGCTTTTTTATTATCAATACCCACTGTTAGAGTAGTTACTCTATGGACCACGGTTAGCCCTTGGGTAGTACAAAGTATAATATATGAATTTAAAAATAATTTTTAAATGATGTATTAATAATATTCAGTACTCAAAACTCACGTCTCTCATTAATGGTAAATTAAATAGTAATGGTTAATGAGTATGGTCCAGTAGTTAATCTGAATCATAGAAATAATATTTATAAATTTTGTTGACTAAAACATTAAATAGAGATAAATACTTGTTAAAACAAAAAAAGACCAGTGAACCACCAATGCCTTTCCAAATCCAAACAGCACAGGGAATTCTTATAATAATCCACAGGAGTCTCAATTTGGTCACATCGAAATTCACATTTTTTGCCACAGACTATAATATGAAAAAGTCTGTTTTACTGCTATAGAATTATTCTTGATGTTGGAATGCTAGCTTTAATACCTACCCTTATTCTTGTCCCTAAAATGTTCATATACGATGAACCTCATCAATGATCGAAAACGTGGAATGAAATAATCCTTTGTAATGTCAAGGGTGAGCCATAGGCTATCTGATGTAAATTATTATTAATAGGACTTCTACCCAAGCATATATGTGTTTTACGTCATATTACCTTTCCAGGTTTTACATTTTGATTTTTTTTAACAGGAGTTTTCAGCCATCTTAAATATAAATAAAACTATGATGGAAGAATCTTTTTTGAGTACAAGTTGTATAAGTAGTAAACAGTAAAACCATCAAATACTAGGAAAACATATATAATTTTATGATACAAAAATTACAATATACATTTTGCATTTACCAATACTCGAGAAGTGATGGATAAACAAGTATAAACATTAAAATTAAAATTTTCTTAATTATTATAATACATAATTAATAAATATTATTTTATTAGTTGCATACTTTTAGTCATCTAATAATTCAATCACTTCAATTGGCTCTTGTTTGATTTTAGAAGGTAATATAAATTCTTTAGATTTCTTTTCTTCTCTGATTTGTTGAACTTTCTTTTTAACAGCCATAGCACCTAAAAAGTTAAAAAAAAAAAAAAAATTTTGTGTGATAAATTACTTTTATAAACTATTAAATAATAGTTGAGGCATTTATTTTTAAGGGCTATATTATCTACCCAATTTCTATACTTATTGCCATAAAAATTCAATTGTAAAATATAGAGTATTTACATTTTGTTGTTTGATATAACATCAACATATTTTCCTTTGACTTTTCTTTTGATTTGTTTGTAGACAATTTAAGACTGAAATAAAAAATAAAAAGTTTCATATTACAAAATATATTTAATAAAAAACAACAAATTAATTCTCCGCATTTTGTCTTACGCATTTTTGGGCGATTCCAATAATCTAAATATTCCATTTCCTGTTGTAGTCGACATGTTCAAAGGCTGAATAAATAATTAATAAATTATAATTAATTAGGTTTTTGTTTTCTTATTATAATAAAAATATAATGCATTATATTATAAAATATAAGGTTATAACCATATCAGCTACGATTTGATAAAAAAACAAATATGGATTGCAATAATAATTTACTTACGCTGTCCCTTAGTTCAATCAAATAAAATATAAGAAGACTTAATAGCATGATTCCTAAAGGCAACCGATTTTCACTGTCCATTTTGAGTATTTCCATAGATGATATAACAATGAATGGTATAAGGAATAAATAAATTGATATCCTGTATGAAAAACATTTACATACATAGTCATTGTCGCTTATTTATTTAAAATTCAATGCGATAATAATTTACATGCTAAAATATATATATATATATATATTTACCATACACCACAATGTACAATAAACTGCATTATACTAAACAATTTAATAATTTTACTACTCGTTTTGTTGTGAAATAGTTTTAAAAGTCTTGCTAGTTCTAAAGTCCCGAGAGAAAGGTTGGATAGTCCGAGAAATACAAATCCAGCTTCTGTGCAACTGCATAAATTTAAACATATAATATGTTAATCAACATTGAATATGATAATTAAAATTAATGTGGCTAAAAATCATAGTATCATTTTGTAAAAAAAATATATATAAACATTTTATTATTAAATTTACCCAAAACAATATGAAGATGCGAAAAATGACAAAACGGCAACTCTTTTAATTGTTTTCAAAATTGGCCATTCATCAATAACTTTCTCAGAGTATGACGCATAAACACTATGTAGCAGACATGAATAAAGTATGATAAATTTAAAATTTTTAAAAGAATCTACTCTTTCTTCAACTGCACACTGGTTCATCATCTGACCGAAAGAACTAAGAAGCCAAGACTTAAATGATGTATCAGGATTCGTAGTGCTAAACGTCGAAAAACATAATGGAACACTAATGAAGCAAAACAGCGCACTGGTCGACGAGTGTAGTAATTTATTAATTTCGGGTAGTTTAAACGTAGTGAACGATGATACGCATTTCTGAAATGAAACATCAGTGTAAATAGTTGTGGTGCTACAATTAAAAGTTATTTATTTTAAAATCATACCGCTATCGTAATTTTAATCCTATTATAAAGAACTAACCAAAAGATGAACAACATAAACACACCAAGAAAAACTTTATACTCGATTAATAAACTTAACATATTAAATTTTTTTTGTGAATTAAAAGGTATACAATAACAAGTGGTACTTGTTAAACTAACATAGTAAAATATATTCTGCACTATTAACCCTTAAGTATATTAAGTTTAATTATTAGAAGTCAGTTGACTAGTATTTTGAAAGCAAATTGACCAATACGCCTGTCGTCTTCATCTGAAATCCGGATTACATTAAAATTTGAATTGCATTGTTGAAGTTATCACTTTTTACTTATCTCTGATAGTTTGATAGTAATGGAAACTATGGAAGAAAAATACATTTAAAACCGTGATCCGGGTTTTACATTTAATTTTAATATTGAAAAATATTATACAAAAAGCATTGTCGATTATAACTTCGTTATAAAGTACATTTAAGAATCGTATAATAATACAAATTTTAATAAAAAAATATTTTACAATTTTTTAATTCGTAATTTAAAATTAAATTTTTTAAGGTTATGTTAAATCTCAACTGCATTATCAGCATAATACTGAACACTGAATTCTAAACACGGAACAAGAACAATTGAAATAAAAGTAACGAAAAGAAAAAAAAATCACAAGTTAACAGTGGACAATAATTAAAAGGCTCAGCGTCTTTATTGTAAGGTACGTTGAATCTTAATCAGTATAATAATTTATTATTATTATTCATCAGAAAACTTGAGGTAATTAATATTAACTAACAAAATGTATTACAATATTGTTCGTCATATAGTTTTGTAAGATTGCTTAAGCAAATTGATCACATGGGTTAGACTAATAATAAATCCCGTGGGATTACAATTACGTTAAATATTTGGATAACAAAATATTCGAAATTGGTCGTACTCATGGCAATAAGTTATAAATAATTTGATATTCGCGCAGTAAATAATTATTTTATAAATATTTTTTATTACATTTTGGAGCGTAATACAATTATTTTGATTCAATTTAAAGTAAGCTTAGTTTATTTTATTTTCAACATTTTTGTAATATATTATTTCTAGTTAGATTTTCTATAAACGTTTGATAGGTAAACAAAAAATAAATGTTTCTTAAGTTGCCCTAATTTATCATTATGTCTTTGTCAAGTGTTACAAGAAACATATTTTTCATATTTACTTTAATGTAAATACATTTTTATACCTTTAAATATATTTTAATATTATTTGATTATACATTTTATTCAAAATTATTATGGTATACATTGAATTACATACATTGTATTTTAGAACTAATTTTCAGAAGTACTATTATTAATGTATTTGTATTGAATAACATGAGATAGCGGAGACCTTTATGCAATTGATATCATATGCTGTTTATAAATATCAAAAAAAAAAATAAATTATTGTTACACAAACATGTCATATTATTAACATAGTTTTTTAGTTTTCATTCAGCATCGAGGCGTAACATAGTAGTTATGCATATAGGGTTGCGTACACAAAAAAAAATTCATGGTTTATTAAAATTTGATTGACTAATCGCAGGTCCCTACTTGATGTGTAAGGGTCCACTATATGTTAAATGATGGGTAAATCTTTTAATGACTGTTCAGTGAAAAATAATGTATTAAAGTGTTCACGTAACTCAGTCTGGTTTTCTCTTTTTTTTGGCTGTGGGCTCCTAATATTGAATAATATAAAAGAGGCGATTGCCGGGTTAGCCAGGTGGGCCACATCGACATTAAACTCTGTTACATCAAGTTTAACATTGTTGTTATATTCAATGTAACAACACTTAAATACTTCTTTTATTTAAACATGTCCAAAATCAAAAATTGTATTGTCTATAATTTTTAACTTAAATTTGTATGTTTAAAATTGTTGAAATCAAAAGCTAAATATGGCAAAACATAGATAAGTTTACTAATTTAAAAAAAAACTGTTCATTAGGAAAATCTGATATATTTTTATTATTCGGTGAAGACTATTGAAACCATATGAATTACTAAGTAAGATTTTGATAGTAAGTCAATTACGAGTTGTGATAGTTTTTTCAAAAATTTAGTTAATTGATGACCAGTCTGAATGGTAACGTTAGAAGTGAAGATCTTCCTATATTTTCATTTTTCTAATATCAAACTTATTATATTTTTATGATTGCATTATATATGCATTGAATTGAATAAATAAACATGAATAAATTGTGCAGTAAGCTTCAAATATCGAGAATGTTAAAAAATTAGGCATAAAAAAGGGCACATGCTCAACTAAATGTTTTACATTTAGGTGGGTTAAAAGGTTTGAAGTTCTTGTATCAATGTATTGTTATTATGAGGAGGGAGGTGTTTGTATTGTATTTTGAGGATATAATAGTTTAAAAATCAGTTTTTCAGGGCTGAATTCTTATTTCTTAAAAATCCACCAATGACAATGCAACGAATATTGTTAAATAATTTGATAACAATGTAAAGAGAAACGTTCTATGAAAGGAATGTTCTATTTCATAGAAATGCAATAATTTTAATAATTTTAAAAAGAACTATAAACTTACCTATATTTAAATTATTTTACTTACTATAATTTTTGGTTGGCTTTTAATAAATTATTTTTTCTTTTTTATTCATGTTTCCTGATTAGTATTTAGTGATTTATTGTTTACTTATGGATAACTAAACTATTTACAACCATCCATATTTCAGAAACTAATATGATTTATATTTTTGTAGTGCGTCGAAAAGTTGTATAATTAATTTAATAATGCTTAAAAAAAATAGAGTTATATATTTAGTCTAAAATTACAGTTTTTATTCATATAGTTAATAGTATTTCAAACTTTCCACTGTGGACATTTTACTCAGATTGTTTTTACTGGACTTTTTTTCCTAGGAATTTTTTACTTGGGACTTTTTTCTCCATCTCAACTACTGAGAACATCAATAAAATAGAAATGTCTACCAGCAAGGAATTCATAGCAAACAAGGAGCTGATAGACTCCAGTAGGGAGAAAAAGTCACCATCGACACCTTCATTCAAGAATAGCTATAGGCCTCGATCAATGTCTACATGTTCGACTGATACATCATCGTGCAGTAGTTCAGCAAGTCTTTCTGAAGATGATGACGGTACTCCAGTGAGAAGTAGAAAACAACAAAATAGCTCTGGGTTTAGTGATTTTTGTGTGAAAGATGTACGTCTCAATGTGTATGGAAGGCGAGAAATCGATCTTGCTGAACAGGAAATGACAGGACTAATAGCGTTAAAAAAACAAACTCTAGACAGTAAGCCATTACGCGGCGCTCGCATAGTTGGATGTACTCCTATCACCGCACCAACAGCAGTATTAATTGAAACTTTAGGCGCCTTGGGTGCCGAATTACGATGGTGTGCATGTAATATTTATTCTACCCAAAATGAAGTGGCGGCAGCCTTGGCTGAAGTGGGTTTTTCAATATACGCGTGGCGGGGTGAGTCGGTCGATGATTTTTGGTATTGTATAGAAAAATGTTTTAGCTGTAGTAATTGGACGCCAAATATGATAATGGATGATGGTGGCGATGCCACTCACTTTTGTCAATCAAAATATCCACAAGTGTTCAAAAACCTAATAGGTATTGTGGAAGAAAGCGCCACAGGAATTCACCGTCTTTACAAATTACTACGTGGTGAAAAACTTCTTGTACCCGCTATAAATATTCAAGGATGCGTTACCAAAGGACAGTTTGACACGCGCTACAGCTGCAGAGAATCTGTCATTGTTAGTCTTAAGAAATGTATGTCCGACTTGATGTTTGGTGGAAAACAAGTAGTACTTTGTGGATACGGAGAAGTAGGAAAAGGTTGTTGTCAATCATTGAGATCACTTGGGTGTACTGTTTACGTAACCGAAATAGATCCTATATGTGCATTGCAGGCTTGTATGGATGGGTTTCGGGTAGTTAAATTAAATGAAGTGATTCGCCATGTGGACATTGTTATTGCTGCTACGGGCAATAAAAACGTTGTTACTCGTGAACACATGGATAAAATGAAAAATATGGGTATCGTTTGTTGTATGTCTTCGTGTCACAACGAAATTGACGTTCAGTCTTTGAAAAGTGAAGAATTAAAATGGGAGAGAATACGTTCGAATGTTGATCATGTGCGTTGGCCAGATGGTAAAACTATGGTACTATTAGCAAGCGGACATCACATACAGCACTCGTGTTCTAGTGTTCCATCATTTGTCACATCTATAACAGCTACTACTCAACTGTTAGCCCTGATGGAATTATTTAAAGGTGCCAGTGCAAGCGGCCAGTATAAAAACGGAGCAGATATCTATATGCTGCCAAAAAAAATGGATGAGTATGTCGCAAACTTGCATTTGCAAGCGTTCGATGCTCATCTTACAGAACTCACTGAAGAACAGTGCAAATATAGCGGGTTGCCAAAACACGGGCCCTTTAAATCCAATCACTACCGTTATTGAAATTGTGATTATACTAATACAATTTTAGACTAATAACACCAGTGCTCATTGAATTTAATTATTAATTAATTTAGTTGCACTTATTTACTGTCATTTTTATGGAAATTATATAGATTTACAAATGACTTTCAGATATTATTGAATGTTTTAGCTTTTATGTCTATGTATACATGTATGGACTGTGCACAAAAATTAGTATTATTTTGTGTTTCACATTATGAGTATTACTTTAATTATTAATTTATTTGTCATTTTATTTTAAACTGCTGATTGTGAACTAGTTATTTTTATATGGTATAAATTATTAGAATTCAGATAAAAACTAATACAATTTAGGATCTGAGCTATAGTTATCTTGAAGTAAGATATACCCAGTTTATTATGTTTGTTTAGTAAATTTAACTTATACTTGTATTAGAATATATTTTTTTTTAAATCATTTTAATTATTAATTGAAATTATTTATTTATTTTATTAATAAACTATATTATTACATCCACCAAATTTGATTTATTATTTAATATGGATTTAAATGGTTGTATGAAAGTAAATAAAAAAAAAACAAATGCTCTAACAAGAACATAACATTTTGCAAATAAATTGTTTTTAAGGATTGGTAAAATGCTTCATTCAGTGGTTATCGTCATGGGAGATCATACCTATCCACTTTTATTTAAATTAAATACTAATTATTTTTGTACAAAACTTAAGTATGATATTTTTCTAACTATCTCTCCAACTTTAAGATAAACACTGCTACTGGTTTCATTGAATCATTGATTAAACGTACATAGATGGAAAACAGCAAATGCTTCTATGGCAGCTCATTTAGATACAGAATAGACTCCAAAAATGTATGGTTTAATTTAGTGTAGGGCCGAAACAATGCTGCCAAAGAAGCATAAATACCATATGGGCTATCTATGAAATAATTCACATATAAAGTTAGTTTCTTATAAATAAATTTATAATAGATTCACTTTTTTGTTTTTATTGTAGAACTAGTTTTTAAAAAAAATATAGTTGACTATGTGACCAAACAATATGTATGACCATCCAGTACAAATTAAACCAAAATTACAAGTGTATTTATACGTTTAAAATCGTTTTAAACATTTAAAATTTATTTAATATCCTTCTTTGATATGTCAATCGGAATATAATTTATCTATTAATATTTATTACTTTCAGTTAAATACATATAATATCAACTTGCAAATATTTTTACTAAAATATTGGTAGTTTATTTTTCTATTATCCTAGACTTGAATACAAAATAATTTTTGTACAATTTACTATTGTTGTACTATATGTACATAAAAAAATATTATATTATTTATAAATATATATAATATAATGTATTTTAATTAGGTATTTATGCATGTATTTTAAATAGTCCTTACGTGTTATTTTTCAGAAGTAAAACATTTGACATTGAGCTATATCATGGAAGTGGATGAAGAAGACGTTGAAACTCCATCATCGAGTACCAGCAACCGTGGTGAAAAAAAAAGATTTGAGGTAAAAAAATGGAATGCTGTGGCACTTTGGGCTTGGGACATTGTCGTAGACAATTGTGCTATTTGCCGTAATCACATTATGGATTTGTGCATTGAATGCCAAGCCAATCAGGCATCAGCGACTAGTGAAGAGTGTACAGTCGCTTGGGGTGTGTGCAACCACGCATTTCACTTCCATTGTATATCTCGCTGGTTAAAGACTCGACAAGTATGTCCGCTCGATAATAGAGAATGGGAGTTCCAGAAATACGGGCATTAAAAAGTCAATTGAGGCGAAATCTACCTACACTTTATTTTTAAATATCTCATACATATTTCAATACTAATGTAACATAGGTAATGTCTAATTTAATTTGGATGTAAAATTATCAGTCTTAAATGTAATAAATCGGTGTTCTAATTTTTTTTATTTGTATTACATTATTTAATAATATTATGTTGTTGATGGTTGTGTTAAGTAGTAATGTATATTTATATAAAAAGAACACTTAACAGTTAGTAAAATTTAATTCACACTCAATTCCAAATACTGTGTAATAGTATTGTTGTGAACTCTTTAATAAAACATTAATGTTATAACATAATATATTTTATAAACTTAACTCTTAATTGTAATATCTAACGGAAAAAAATAAATACAAAACTCATAGTAATGGTGATTAAGATAAAAAAAAATGTAAATAATATTAAATACTTATAATTTGTACACTATTTTAATTTCAAAATAAATATTCAGTAAAGCTCCAAAATAAGTTTTTTTTTTAAATCTGTATTTATAATTTATCTAAAAACAATAAAAAAAAATCTTACTAATATATTATAATTTATCATAGATTAATCGTAAATTACAATATACACATTTATACCATAGTAATAAAAAAATAAGTTTTTGGCTATCAGACTCTTGGTATGAATAATAATAAATGTGTTTTATATACAATTTGATGTCGATCTATAATAATGTTTAATCTACGGTAAACTTTTATTTTTATGTAATATTGTTCAATATAGTTAGTGTAGAGTTGCAAGATGACAGGCTTCATTAATCTAATTATATTAATAACTCAATGGTTTTACTTCTATTTTGTAATATTTTTAATTAGTGACTAGTACAGACTAAGAACACTATCTAAAGTGAATTCGGTAATTCTGTAATAATTTAGTAAAATAACTTTATACATTTTTATTGCCCATATTATTGCTTGGTAAAAGAACTTATAAAAAAACCATTTTCAAATTATAATATTTGCCAACTAAAAAATATTTTTGTAATTAAATTATTTTGTCATGGGACTTTTGTAAGCCATTGGTACGTTATTTATTGTAATGTAATGCAATTACTTTACATTTTTTTATTAAAAGTAAGTAGGTGCCTAATAATACCACTGTTATGTTACTTTTTATAGAGGCTAACAATTGTATGGGTTTCTATTTAGAAATTTAAAATAGCTGGAAAACATCTATCGTTAATCATTATTATTGACCAAGTGTTCATACTAAATAGTCAATATGTTTTTGAAATATAATGCTTCAGTATTTTCTAATATGTTAAAACAAAAATTATTTTTCTTACCAAATTTCAAAGTGTTATAAAGGGTTTTAAACATTTTGTAACGCGTTATAGATTTTAGAATTACATATTAAAAATAGTAAAAAAGGATGTCCATTACTTTCACAGAATTTGTAAAGAAATTCCGAACGCTATACTTTCGTTACTCACCCAAGACTGTTTTTGGGACATGTTATATGAATATCGGGCAATATCTATTGAAGATAAACCAAATAGTTGAGCATTGCACGGAATATTTTAACTACACATAGATCGGTACGTGAGACAACATATTCATGTACACAATTTTTATTGGGACATTGGCTTGGATCTTTTTGAATTTTACAATCTATACAATGTAGCAAGGCAACGCCATAATGATCAATAACTATGCTCATTACTGAAATGTCTAAGGTCATTAGGGCTATAAATTCGGAACTCGCTAGTCAGTAGCCACTAGTATAGACCATAAATCATAATGGGTTCTTAAAGTGTCAATAATTGGCAATCGTCAAATATAAAATACAGATTACAGAAAATACGGACTATATTCATATTTCAAATAGTCCGTGGATGAAATATGACGTTATCTATCAAGTCTACAACAGGACGTTATAAGACGGGCGGACAGTACAGTAGCAGCCACAGATCTATATAATAAACTCGATTGCTAACTAGCGATAAAAATTGAAGCCGACTGTCCGCCATTCTGGTGGGATATATGTGTGTTATCAATGCATATTATGTATATTTGTATATACTATTATATATATCTGTAATTGTTATAAACATATATTATTCTCGCGTGATAAGGTTCTAATTCCCACCAAGATGGCGGAAAGTGGCTGCTTCAATCTTCTCTATTGGTGGCATGTACAGTTAGCAATCTAGTTTATTATATATGATCTGTGGCAGTAGCTGTTGAGTGCCGACCGGTAATATTACTCTATGTTGCCGACATTCAACCAAGCCCCCGGACAGTGATAAAAATTAACACGGGAAAGATGCTTATCACGAAAAAACGCGACGGCCATCTTCTTAAGGCTACACCATTATAATGTTATATCATAGATTAAATACATATATATTTAATCTATGTATCTAAACATTATTATTTTTAGTTGTCAATTTTTTTGCTTACATTAAAAGTGACTCTTCTGCTTTTATCTATTCTGTGATTCAACCAAAATAGTTATTAGTTCAAAAATAAACCGCTAAAGTCGTTGTTTACTGTTGTTCAGACTTTGGTTATCAATAATTAGTTATCAATAATAAGTTTAGCCTCCCGGTCGACCGTTCTCCCGCGTACGCGAAGTGCGAACTGTTGTGCAGTGTGCAGACGCAGTGTGGCCTATGCACTGCTACTGTGATAGTGTGACTTGAAATGTGAACGGTGCCGGTTTGGTAAAAAAAAAAAAAAATTACGATTTTTTTTTTGGAGGATTATCATATATATATATATATATATTTTTGTACACACGCACGCAGTACGCTTTAACAACGAGAAATTATTATGGGACTTTTAACCGAAGGGCACCCACTTTCCTGGGAAGAAACAAAAAAATTGGCCGATCATGTACGACAGCATGGTATCAATCAGTTTGTAAATTTATATCATCAATTGATGGACCGCAAAGGAGATATACTCAAATGGGGCGACGAGGTGAGCAGTAAAAACGTTGCGCGAATAACACACGTTAAAAGTTTTGTTTTTCCGTAAAAGGCAAAATCTCATTTTGATAATATGTTTATTTTTAGGTTGAATATATTATTGTTAAATTTGACCATGTCAACAAAACCGCTAAAGTTAGACTATGCGCCCAGGAAATATTACATCAATTAAATCAAAAAGAATTAAAAGATCCTGAGTAAGTGTTTTAAATTTCTTAAATTTAAGTTAATAGTCATATCGAGTCGTTAAGTAATATTTCATTATACCTACGATAATAACTTTGGTAGGTATACTAGATTTTGTTCAACTACCAAAGTAACTCGAGCTGTAAGACTGAAAAGCATACAATATTTATATTAGTACATTTTTACAAGGCAAAAAAATACAATTTTTATTTTCAATGTGTTCTTGTCGGTAACGTTCAACAGTTTCCTACAATACCTCATTGAAAAATTGATGAACAATTGTATAATAAATACACATAGAAAATCAATTTATTAGCAAACGCTGTATGACCAAAATCTTGTTTAATTGCATTTGTAACCTTTTGGTTCTCTCCATTTCAACTAATTATTGTTTATAATAAGTCATTAAGACAAAATGTAGTTGCAGTTAAACTATCAATAGATTTTGGCCAAGTTATATTATGTTAATCGTTATCATAAAAAAATATAAGCAATTAGTATAGCGAGTAATGGTACTTGAAAAGTCTTCATGAGGATTTAACATTTATTTATCTTTATTTTCCTCCTTCAGATAAATGGATCCACCTCGGTCGATAATGAATAATACAATGGCCTGTATTGATCCTTATTTTTTACATGCTTATAATAATAACTTCTGTAACATAACATATTATTGCCATTCAAATTCAGTTTGATAACAATTAGAGAAAATAAATGTTTTTATAATATTTTCCTTAAGACCCCAGCCTCACTATCCATTTTTTACTGACTCGTAGTGAGACTAGCTGATCTCAAAGAAAAATGTACCACATAAGATTTCTTAGCTAACAATAAAGTAGCTCAGCTGAGTTGCCGGTTATTTCAAAAAACAATTCTAGCAATCAGCTTTTTATCAAGTTTAAAACCAAATTAATTTTATTGACCTTTTTTATATTTTTAAAGAAAGTTGTTTTACCAAAAAAAAAATCCCGAGTTCCACTCAGAAAAATTTGAGTTTCTCAGTATAAGCCTTTTAATAATTTAGATTTTTAATTTGTATACTTGCGTGAGTTAATAATTTAAAGCATATTTTTATTGAACAAAATTCTTAATAAGTGACAAGAAAATGGACTGCATTCGGTTTATTCTATTCAATTTCTAAACTATGACATTAATTTAAAATTATCAAATTCAAATTTCAAAATATATAGGTTATGTAAGGTTTTTTTTATTATCACGTGTGTTTTATACTATAATTACTTTATGGAAACAAAATTAAATTGTCCAACGAATCATAAAATCGATGTGGGTTTTTTTTGCATAAAATTACGTATAATAATATTTTAATAAGATAAAAAAAAATATTTCGTTTATTTCGAAATTACTCTGAACACGTGGCGCATCATTTTTAGCTAAATATTTTATTAATATAAAAAAAAATGTAAAAAACTGTTGCCTACTCTGATAGAAGAATAGGTAATAGATTATTCAAATATACATTTGATTCTAAATTATTATCCTTTGTATAATCATCAACAGTAGATAATAATAGGATATTGTTCATAGAAGTAAAAAAAACCTATGCCACCGAGGTCGTAAAACTGACTAAAAATACCGTTATTATAGCTAGAAAAAAAGACAATACAATAGGCAACAGGCACTTTAGTAAAACATGTTTGATTGGTATTCTTCATTGATATCAATGTTAAAAAAAATGTCCATGTAAGCGTAACATTTCTAGCGTAGAAAAGTGTCGACATAAAATTTGAACTATGTTGGCCTAACGTTCTTTTCTTATTGTATTGACTTCAATTGCATAGGTTAACTATCGAGCAATAGTTTAATCATTAATTATTCACCTTTTGTTCACACGTCAGTTAATAGCGGCTGTAATTCGTTTTATTTGGCCTATATAGTATGTTTTGTATAGCCGTTTTCAATTTAAATCATTGAAAAGTTTTATCGATGAGTTTTAATTTCGTCCTACACGATTTCTATTTTTGACTATAGTTGAAAACAATTTTTTTTATTTCGTATTACACACGCTTTAGGAAATTTCCCAGTTTTGTCCCCCTCCATCACAATGAAAAATATCTATCGATGCTTCTTGACTATTTTTCTATGTTGTAGCATAATATTTTATTATGAAGTTTACTTGTTTTTAAAAAAAAAATCTATTATTAAATAAACAGCAACATTAAAGTAGTATATAATATTTATAAATAACGCTAGACATGATGTATTAACATATTATATTATAATATGTTAATATATATATATATGTTAAAAGTTTCTATTGCATATCATTCGAACTGTGCGCCCGCCGAGGCTAACATTTAGCTTGAAATTAAAACATAGTAGGTACTCTATATACAAATGTAAATACAATTTTTTATCAAGCTAAAATTGTATTATTTGGCTTTCCGATAGAAGCACGGTGCGGTCATTTCTCCACTGAGTCGTTTAAAAAACATTATTCAAGAGTTTAACCTTGATTTTATATTACGGATAATTAAAAAAATAAACGAATGTATAACTTCAAGAAGTTATCGAGAGAATAGATTGAAACGTTTTTATCAATAGTAATTATTTCAACATATATAAAATTAGCATGGTCGCATCGATTACGTTATGCTGTTAAATTTATTTTTCAAAGTGTTAAAGAGCTTAAAATTTGTAATTGTAGACGTCATATATTATTTCTAAGAGAATTCTTAAAAAACATTTTTTTATAAAAATGTTTTATTCTTTAGTAGTTTAAAACAGAGAGTGCTCACCTTTCTATCCACAATTTCGCTTTTATATACCTATAATTTGGTTTATTTTTACAACATATGAGTACTTATAAATTACAAAAGAGAGTTCGTTTCGTTTTAAGTACGAAAAATGTTTAATCTAGCTGTTAAAAGGTGCGTTCCTCAAAGCAACGCTCATATGATATACATATGTATTACAATACGATAACTTTTAACCTATGCGGCAAATGATAAAGAAATTAAGCAAACAGCACGAATTGTTTATAAATTAATGTTTCCCATTATTGTTCTTGTATTTGGACTCCAGATGTTTTTCGCTAGGTAACTTAATCGTTATTTACCTCTACTGCATTAAATAAAATGTCGATATGTATAAATCCTAAAAAAAAAAAAAAATGTTTGCAACACTCCCGCTTAAGAGGCGAGAGCCTACATTGTAGTTGCATTGGCCTTTTAGGTTAAAAATGACCTAAAACCATTTGAAAACTGTTTAAAAAAAATGCAAAAGGTAGGAATTGTATAATGGCCCCTAAGATTCTATGATGTATCATGTATTATGGTCTAATGGCCAATAAAAAAGTTTTTTTTTTTAATTTTGCGTACGGGTTTTTACACACCAGTTTAATGCAATTCACAAGATCCATAAAAAAATCTATAGACACATTAAATAATTATGTGCTTGCTAGTGAACATTATATTGTGGATTGTTAGGAAATAAATAAACCTAAAAACCAGGTATACAATTAGCATTATTGCATATAATTTGACTGCTGTTATATTATAGACTCTAGCGTGTTAACGAGCACACCACCAAACAACGTATTAAATTTTTATTTTTTATTTGTGGTATCGTCCAACGAAAAATTGTATGTGTTTTATACATTGCGCATTTATTATTTTATATTTAATAAATAACCGTGTTGATTTTTTACGTGCTCTTAATTTTTTTTTCGCTTACACTTTTTCTAATCCTTCATACAGAAAATATTGTTGATTATGTATTATTATAGGGACTAGTTGTTAAGATCTCCAATACTTAATAATACGTATTTTAAATCATATTTTATCACACCTTCTAATTGACGTGATCGGTTTTTCCTATTTATAATACCTATTTATAAGTCTGAGTAAATATTACCTTTTCTGTCGTTCTTATTTATTTTAATTTCATTTTTTATACACAGTTCAATGCTTGTGTTATAAAACAAAATTTAACTTATTTTTTTACAGTATATTGCAGGGAAATAATTTGTTATCTACTTAAGCAGTTAAACTAAAAACGTTGTTAATTATTAAGATAACAGTGCAATGGTGATTCATTGAAGCAGTAAACTATTCTTTGTCTATTACACCTTAACCCAGATTACATTTGTTTCGATTATATATTTTTCGTTTTTATAGCTATAACGCATGTAACGTATATATATATATATATACGCGTACGGGTTTTGCATAACTCTTAACGGGCGGGCGATCGATAAAATAGAATATAATATTTAATTTTTTACTACTAACCCGCAGTTTTTATATTTTGGATTCCACTTATTCAAGGACAACTTGTTTGGGTTGTGGACAATAATAATAATTTTAAACCGTAATAACTTCTCGGGCTAAACGTTGTGTAACGTGAAATACTATTCTTAACCAAGATTCGATACAAAAATCGTATGAGATTAATGATGAGAATAATAATAACGCAGATTATTATGTAAAATGTTACCAAAACTGTGGCAATAACAATAAAATGTTGTCTTGTATGCCTATATATATATATATATATATATATACATAACTGAAACATAATATGAATTAAAAATAGTTAATTTTGGTAAAACATTGAATTAATACCCTGACAGAGATTTGTGGGACGTCTGATTTCTGCATAACGTCATTGAATTATTATATTTCTCATTTTTTTAACACATGGTTGTATAAAAGTGACTAAGTATTTCTAAAACTATATTTTTAGGTCTTTGTCGATATTTCCATTTTGTTCTTATACGTAAGACGCAACGCTAATTAACGATAGTACGCTGAAAAACTGAATACGTTATCAATTCCTTTTCATTAGGAAAAATGTATTATGTTAAAATCGTGCCATTATAATATTTTTCGAAAACTCTAGCTTGATTAATAGCTGTTGATTCCAGTTGATAGATTATTTTTGAAACTAGGACACCCGGATCAATAACCGTTGTCTAGGCCATAGGCATTTTTTGAATAGAACTTATTAACGAGACCTTAACGTGTATTAAGAATAATTTGGTGTATATTATTAATATATTTTTCCCATTTCAGCAATGTAAAATCTTTGTGGAGGCCAGAATACGGTGCGTACATGATCGAAGGCACTCCTGGTAAACCGTACGGCGGGCTTTTGGCGCATTTTAATATTGTCGAAGCCAACATGCGGTACCGCAGAGAGGAAGCGCAACAGTTGCTTGGGCCCGACGAAGTGCTCATGACCATAACCAATTTTCCCAGGTGCGATAACATTTTTTTTTGTACAATGTATACACACATTTATATTTTTTTCTATACCAAAAAAACGCTTTCAATGCCTATTTGGGGGTGTAACACGGGGTCCGTTATATTTTCCATTCGTGGGTCCGCTTGATGTAGGTAATAATTTGATCAGACGTTTACCGAGCATTAAATATCTTGGAAAAAAAATGCCATAAATCCGTTTGGTCCTACTTTTCATCTGTCAGTGTTTAATCGTTTGCGGATGGAAAAATGTTTGAGCGTTTCTTGTGGAATCTGCCGGGGAGCGCATAACGGTAGGGTACGATATGGGCGGGCCAGAAGAACAGAAGCTTTGAAAGCTATATGGACTGGATTTGGCGGGCTTGTAGTTTCAGATGGCCCAGACAGATATAACAAAATTTGCACGCATGGGGCGCATTTGTGTGCAGGCTTGGATGTCCGGAATTCACGTGGCCGATCGACAAGCCGACGCCCGACGCTGGTTCGTCAAGGTCGCTATTCATACCAGATTCGGCCATCTACAAAGGTCATCCCCGGTTTTCCACGCTCACCAACAATATCAGGCAGCGCAGAGGAGAACGTGTAGCCATTAACATTCCAAGTGAGTAAAAATCCCATCTCGGCCGTTTAAGTACCAGACGAAAAAAAAATGTTCGTCTTATTATATTATTTTATTTACTACTGTAAAGCGAGTACCTAATTTCGACTAGCAAAAGTAGTTTGAAAAACAATCGCGTCGTTGTTATAAAAGCTAAATAAACCGAATGATACGTCCTTGAAGATGCTTGATGTTTCACAGTCGAGTCGAGCAATACAATACATAAAAAAAACCCCCTCTGAATAATCATAGTTGTTTTACGGTTCATGTTTGAACGAGTTTGCGTGCATGTTCGAAAAACAGTTAGGCATGTGATCTTTTATTAATTTGAATTATTATATACTAAATAATCCAAATTCAAAATTGCACTTCGCATATTTTGTAACATTTTCGACATTCACAGAATATTTTGTGATTTTTAAATGTTGGGTAACCCCTAATGTACCGATAAAATAATGACAATATGAAAGACATTTTTGTTAGAAAATTAGAATATTTTAGTTGAACAATTTAAAAATATAGTATAAAATCATATTGCTAGAAGAAAAATAAAAGTTTACAATTATTTTGTTTGTACAAGTAAGCTGTTAGATTTTTGGTTTTTCAAAAAAGTAATATTTTTTTTTTTAGAATTAATAAATTATTATTGTGTATTTAAACAAATATGTTTTTTTTTATAAAACTATAATAAAAATATTAAAAATAAAAAATTCAGGTGCATATTAAGGTATTTTTTATTGCATGATTAGGTGTTTTTTTTACACATAAAACAGTTTTCGTTTTTTTTTAGAGTAGGTATGCTTTTCCGGGCCCCTCTTGATAGTTCTGGAAAATAAAATTGTAAATAAATGATTTATTACTTTTATTTTATAATTAAAAGTATATTTTTGTATTAGAATATTTTTAATAACCGTTTAGTGTAATTGGAAGTGAGTAGCTATTTAAAAAAGGGCAAACATAGGGAATATATTATTATTTTGATGAATAATTAGGTTTAAATTGATTTCGTTCTTGACAATTTTTTGCAGGTTAATCAGGTTGGCTTTAAAACATCAGTTTACTTTATAAGTGCAACGTTTATTTTATAATATTTATTTTTACTTAGTTATAACTGATTTATGATGTTCTTTGAACAAAATTTTTAATAAACGTCGTCCAATATGGATAGTCTAAATTTAATTCTGTAAAATAAGACGAGTTCGTTGACCTATTAACTAAATTTTGTTGGAAGCCGATGTTCACTAAAAGTTACAGGTTCTTACAATTAAACAGTACACATTTACTAAATTATTAATGTTCCAATCTAATTGGATCAAACTCGTGTATCATTTTACTTTTTGGTCTTCTACAACGTCAAAAAATAATGACCACTTCTAATCAAATTAAAATCAATTTTTTTTGCACACTGTTTTGCGCCTTTTCTAGGTTATTTGTTCTTATACAATTTCTATTGAATCCACTTACTTTTATAGAATACTGTTTCTTTATAATTACTATTTTAAATCAACTCTTTCGTTTCTATATACACCTTTCTCTGATTCAGCATCTTTATTTGTTAGGGACACGAGCTTTCACCGCGGTCCTTGTCTATTCATTCTTGATCTCTTGGCAACTCCATTAATGGAAAAAATATATAAGCAGCGTGTCCTACAAATTCAAAATATACGTTTTTCTATTTTAAAAAGTTAAAGCAATTTAAAATTAAAACTATTCATACTACCGCGAAGGTAACACAGATACACTGTAATTAGTATAATAATAGGTATATTGGTAATTTATCAACATTAACACTACTGTAAGTTGTATCACGTGAACCATTAAAATACCTATTATAATTCCGATAAGGCCACACACATGTATATACTTAAATTATAACTTATCCAAAAGTGCTTAGGTATGCAAGCATTCAGTACGAAAATTACTGTTAGAAGAGTAGTTGAACTTGACAACTAATCATTTTTAATTTTTTACTTAATCACCAAAATATCTTCACACCCAATACGGTGTGTATTTTTTCAAAATTAAAAATGTCTTCTAGATCGAAATTGTTTTTAGCTTCGGTGTTGGGATTTTTTTAATCGTGATTCTGGTTATGAATTCTTAATAATGATAAAATATCAAGGTTTAAGCACATTGTTTGTCAAAAATATTTTTTATTGTTGAATGAATATAATTATTCTCCAATGAATATATTTTGCATTTCTGAAAGGAGGGGCCTGTCCTTCGTTTACTTTCCTAATTATATTCACATTTCTTGAGAATCGTAGACTTAGGTCTTTTTTTTTAATACTCTCAAAAATAATTTTCGCATCATTCTGATAACGTTATTCGACACTACAATAATTATGAAAAATTTGAATGTGTATATTTGTTGTGCAGATTATAATGTTACTATTCAATTTAATAAAAACAAATAATTTTTTTTTCAAAAATCATTTCATTACAATATTTTACGTGGAGTTGATTATTTTTATCAATTTTTTCGTAATGTGTTAATTGTAAAAAGTAAATGTTCTCTACGTGGTTAATAAACCCATTGAAACAAACAAACCAAGTAATGACAATAATGAGTTATATTAATGACCTTTATCTACTTTTATTATCGGCTAATCCGTACGCTACAACGGCTAATATATATGCATACGATTCAATGTTTAAGCTTTTTATGTTATCTTAACGGTTGAAAAATTATTACTCATAAATAATTTATCACTGGTATGATCACATTTGATGATTTATTTACCATATAAAACGATTTTCAATTGTTTTCTGAAACTACTTACGATTGTATTTAAAACAAACAACGCATATTATATAATTGTTATTAATAATATTTAAAATCTTATCGTTGACGTAAATTATTGTATTAACGGAATTATTATTAGTAATTTAATTAACTGGGCGACATTCTTTGAAGTAGGTACTTAATTGGTGCCGTTTTAATTATTGTTGTATAGTGTATATTCAAATATAACATTGGTGGAAATCCAATTTAGTAGTATTAATACCACTTGTATATTATTATAGTATTATGGATATAACGGTGATTACCGATGTATATACCTCGTGGTCTGTGGGGTAGTCCTAATTAAAACATAAATGGATCGTTATTTATATTATTATTATTATTTTTGTCCGGTTATAATTGTCACACATAATAAGTGTTTACCGCACTTGACTTTCGTTAAGTTTATATTTATTTGAACAAAGAAATAAAATGTATTGCACTTGAATCGCCAAATGATTGTAATATTATGCGCATTGCTCAAACGAATAACAACCTGTTAGATATTTGGCCGTTTTTTCAAAGCTATTGTTTCACAGACGATTTTCGTTGCTAATTTTTTCGCTCTATCTCTGTTACAAGCGACATTTAAAATGGTGTTATCTTATTTTGTGATGTTGTACTCGTGCGGTTATATTAATAAGGATACAAATAATTACACTATGTTAATAGGTATCGCCTATACAATATGCCTATAATCAGTCTTTTCATCAAACCAAGGACATAATATTTATCTTGTGTTGTGCAAACGGCTTCTATATCACAGCACAATTTAATATAATACACTCGTGACGCAATTAAATATACTTAAAACGCATTCATCATGAAATTGTACTTGTCTACGCTGTTCTTTGAAACAATACTCTCGGTAGTCGTTACACATTGGTAGACTTATCCACAATCCAATATTTATTTGACCTTGTCATATGATCAATGCCATTGCAAAATAACTCTTATCGCCCGTATTTCCTTTTAAAGTTTTAAAAGAAGGTATTTTACCAGAACTGTTGTTGTCTCTTTGAAATATTTAAATGGCTTTTCCATCATCAATTACTTTTGAAATAATAAAATTATAATTATCTTTGATCACGTCAAACAGACGATACAGATGTCCTTGGCTATTTTGTTTAATATATAATATTTATTCAAAGTAGATTCAGTAATACAATAATAGTCAACAACTGTTTTGAGTGTTGTATAATAATATATAATATATCGTATATGACTTATATATCAAAACATTATCTTAAATAAGTATTAGTACAGGGCGACCATGAAAACACTTTACATTTTCAAAAAGGCAAAAATAAATAATATTAATTTTTCAAAAAAAATTTTTTTTACTTATGTAACATATTTGTGGGTGTATGCCAATTTTTTACTTCAAGTAGCAACAATGAGGCCAGGAAGGTGATGTCCGTCTTCTATGAGGCAATTTTCAATTCTTTCGAGGAAGTTTCTAGTGTCTCGCTCGTGATTAGTGCCACCTCTGTACGAATTGTCGCTTTCAAATCATCCAAAGAAAATTGCCGTAAAATAAATGGCGTACACTTGTGGCTTACACCACAAGTATCTACTTGATATAATTATATTTTCTTTTTGACATTTTAAACTTTTAAAGGATGGTCGACTGAAGCACTTAAAGAATATTCTAATTTTGGTCTCCATAAAAAACAAGGATACGTTTAGGATCAAGTTAATTTACCGGTTATTTTTGCAAATTGCCGACTTGGATTTTTTTTTTTGTTGAAAAACCGTTAAAAGTCAAGAAATATTTGTATCTTTTGTCTTTTAGAGTTTTTATTAATTTTTATTACTATTGTTTGTTCGGCGTTCTTGTGTTTATGTTCAACTCGTTTTTTTTACTTAATGTTTTTTTTTGTTGACACAAAAAGTGAGTTGTTGTATTAGTTCTTGCGAACTGTAATTTCGTGTCATTGTACTTTGCTGAGAAACAGTAACGACCCGTCGTGTATATATTTATGTCGGCAAATACGAATAATATAGTATATTATAGCTATCGTGATAAATCTTATTTGCTCGGGTTCTCCTTGGCGTACAACTGTTGGTAGTTTTATAGTCGACTAATGCCAGAAACTCAACATAATGAATGTAACCCTATAATAATATCGCCGTTACTTACGGTGCTTTCCTTCAAATCGGTAAATAGTTTTTTGTGAGTTGAATTTCTTTTTAAGAGACCGTGGCCACACCTACCATTAATTTAGAGTTTTGTTATAGGAAATTGCTTACTGATTCTTGATTCAAAATCAAATCTTTAATGTACATTTTTTTAAACCAGTTGAAAGTTTTTTTTTCATATTCATTATTGGTCAAGTTGTCAAGAAATACTGTTACGATTAGTAGAAAATACTTCTAGTCTCTATGGCTCATAGTAAATGTTGTGATAATATAATTAAAAAAAAAAAACAAAACGAAAAAGAGTTTTATATTATACGTACTTGTTATTTTTTTTTAAGAAAAATAGTCTACTAGTATCTCTTTAAAAAGTGGTATATGTATGACGTTTTTTTCCACAATAATTGTTGTATACTGAGGTACCTCAATTACAAAAGTCAACTATCCACATAATTATCCAGCTAAAATAGTCATAATTCATTTTAAGCTTTTTATAAATTATGTAATTAGTAATACTATTACTTACTATAGGCGTAAACATAGTAGACGATAATATCTTTTACTATTGCATTCTAAGTGGAACAGTTTGTGTTTTTAATGTTTTTCATAATATTTCTTTCGCGCGTTGGAGTTTTTGGCTTGCTACCATCTTTGCGCCTAACCGTAAAAAATATTGTCTAGAAAAACTTTTTTAAAGAAGAATAAACGCACCATTTCACATTTTCTATATATAAAGTGAGCGTGTATTTACATGATGTATACGTCGTTAATTTGAAACATTTTATGCGGAAACTCGACGACATAGTTAATTCTGAAAAAAAAAAATCGAGGAGTCTTCAATTAATTTATTATTATATTTAAGCCGGTTCGGCGTGTACAGAATCAACCAAACTGTATGTTTTAGGTAAACTTCAGTTTTTATGTATGTAAATTGTAATTATACCGCAAGTCTATGATTTAAGAATGGTACGGAGTGAGAAAAGTTTTATTGCATTTTTTCATTTCTAAAGACACCAGTTTGATAAGTTCTCGTCCACACAGCCCTATTAAGAGTAACACTAATATCTTACGGTAAATACTAACCTTATCCGTCGTCCCCCCATTGCATACACACGGGATAAATGTAAATGTTATTTTTGTTTTTATAAATTACCAAATTTACTTAACTTTATAAATTATAACGCATTATCAGCAGGAGCGGCGCTCGTGTTAGCAGGATGATAATATTAGAAAATCTCGCCTGATCGTTACTTACGGCGTGAAAGAATTAAACGAATTTTTTTTTGAGGGGGCTTATTTTAAAATGATCGGATGCTAAGTACACCCAAGCACCTTCCTAATTGTGCTCTTATGCACGTTAAACGTATTTTCTCATCAAAATATGGCGAAGACTATGACCGACTATTTCCCTTCGCACCACATCCCCGTTGTCGTCTATTATAGAATATTGAAATTTTATTTTTCAAACTAGACTAGCTAATTAACAGTTTATCCCGTGGTTACCGTATCCGTTTTCGTTGTAGTATTCAAAGACAAAAACACACCTAGTCCGTTCAAAGAAGACCTTAAAAGCATGGGAGGCGATATGGACAGCCTGAACGCGGCTCTACCGGATCACGTGTACATGGACGCCATGGCTTTTGGCATGGGTTGTTGCTGTTTGCAGATGACATTCCAAGTATGTGAATAACCCCGTTAGACCCCGACTACCGGAGTACTTTAATGCATTGGTTCGTATTGTTTCAGGCTTGTTGTATCAGAGAGGCGCGAACCCTGTACGATCAACTAACCCCACTGTGTCCGATTTTGGTGAGTTAAAGTTAAAAAAAAAATATATATCAAGCATTTTGCTATGCTAAATCGTTGGAGTTACTTATTTTTTACCATGTGTATATGTATAGTTGGCGTTGACGGCGGCTTCACCAGTGTTCCGTGGATATCTGACCGAAGTGGATTGCCGTTGGGACGTTATATCGGGATCCGTGGACTGTCGAACCCGACAGGAACGTGGTCTGGAACCGTTGACCACCGACAAGTTTGTCATACCCAAGTCACGTTACGACTCTATCTCGCTGTACCTTTCAAGTCAAGGGGAGGAGTAAGTTGTCACGATCTCGTTACTCTTTAATTTTGTCGTATTGTTCGTTTTTAATGTATGTGTCGTCATCCGTAGATTCAACGACGAGCCCGTGATGTACGACGAGAACATCTACAAAAAGCTCAAGAATGCCAATATAGACCATCAGATGGCTCAGCATGTGGCTCACCTGTTCATCAGGGACACCGTATCTCTGTTTAGCGAAAAAGTACACCAGGACGACACCGTTGAAATGGATCATTTCGAAGTCTGTTAAAAAATTATAAAATTAAAAATATCTGTACATAACAGCGCTATTGTAATTTTTCAAATAATGAGTTTTGGCGTAACGTAAAGTATGTACGGTTTAGGTTAGCGGATATTATTTTTCCAATTGGCGTACATTATAAAAAAACAATATTACTATCCGCTAACCATAGTTTTAGGTTATGCAAAAAGTTCCTATTATTTATAAACAAGTCCAATAACGCCATCATGTTAATATTCAGTGGTAATAAGATACAAAAACCAAAGATATGATGTTTTGAGACACTTGCTAAGTACTGTATTATCAAGCAACACTAGTTGTAATGAATTTGACTAAACCAGAATCGGGTATGAGAGCAAATTTTGGATTTTAAAATTAAATTTTACAACTCTTAGGAAAATGGACTTTTTTTTTGATTTTTTATATTTATTACAAAATTAATTCAATAGACTAATATATCAAATTGGCTAGCATTAAACTTTTTAAAAAAGGCATTAGACCAAGTTCTCTTATAATTTCTGAAAAGATTAAGTTTATGTGTTGCGTTTCCTATATTTTACCATAATAAAAATATTAATTATATCTTATTAAAGTTATGTTCTATCCGCAGAACATTCAGTCAACGAATTGGCAGACCATGAGGTTCAAGCCGCCACCGCCTCAGTCGACTATCGGTTGGCGGGTCGAATTTAGACCATGCGAGGTGCAACTGACGGACTTTGAGAACGCCGCCATTGTATGTTTTGTCGTTTTGCTCACCAGGGTGATACTGTCGTATCAATTGAACTTCATCATTCCCATAAGCAAGGTGCAATTTTTTAATAACCATCACTATTGACCTGTCGTATACAATATCTATTATTTAAATAACTTACAGGTAGATGAGAATATGCGTAATGCTCAAAAGCAATCAGCTGCTCAAAAAGAAAAATTCTGGTTTCGCAAAAACATTACCTCACCGTCTAAAGCTACAGGCGTGGTCAACGGTACCGCTGATGACACTTTGTACACGCTTATGTCCATAGACGAGATCATCAATGGAAAGGTACGTTTGGAACAGTAAATCATAAAGTCACCATAAATGTATATATAACATTTTTTTTAGAGTGGCGAATTTCCTGGCCTAATACCGCTAATTCACAGTTACCTCTCGAGCATGGAAGTTGATGCCGACACGCATTGCACAATACAGCAGTACTTGAAATTAATCTCAAAACGTGCATCCTGTAAAATTGATACGACTGCTAGCTGGATACGTAGATTCATCACAGAACATCCGGCCTACAAGTAAATATAAAATCCAACATTTTTTTTTTATTTTACATCAAAATTGTGTTTACGTGACTCAAATTTTATTTTTATTTTAGGCAAGATTCTATAGTCAGCGAGGAAATTAACTACGATCTTCTAATGACTGCCAACGGGATTCAATCAGGTCGCATTTCGTGCCCCCAGTTATTAGGCGACTGTTTATTAGCCAATTCTAAAACGAAAGAAACAATTCCACCCGCCGTTCAGAAGGTATACTCGTGTACCCAATGAACATCAATGTTTCCTCCATTACCTTTATATTATTTAAATTTATACACTTATGAGGCTAGTAACAAATGTAATACTTCTTTACTCTATCACTTATGAATAATTTTTTATTATGACATAATATTGTGTTTATGTAACTACTTAAATCAAATATTTATGTGAGATGCTAGGGAAGTCTGGGAATACGAGTAGCTCATTATTATTAATATATATGTATAAATTATATATATATATATATTTTTAAATGTAAATTGTTTAATATTTTAATATTATTATTTACTATAAAAAACAAAGTAAAATTATTTATATGTTAATAAAAAAAAAAAAAACAATAACTTAACCTGTTAAAATCAATCAATCACTATCTTCATCTATAAAATATTTATTCTTTTTCACTGAAATTCCAACTTCCTCTTCTACGTCGCTGTCGTCCAATGGCATTTTTCTCTTGCTAGTTCCGATTTCCTCGTTGCTATCATTTAAAAGACTTGTTTTTTTAACTGGAGCCACTACTTCCTCTTCCACATCGCTGTCGTCTAACGGCATTATTCTTTTGCTAACTACTATCTCCTCGTGGCTATCATTTAGTGAACTTGTATTTTTAACTGTAGCAACTATATCTTCATCGCTGTCGTCTAGTAGTGGTTTCTTATTAATTTTAACAATATTCTCATCATCGCTGTCCTCCAAAGACGTTTTATTTATAGTCTGAATTATTTCTTCATCGCTATCGTCCATAAAGCGTTTTTTCTTGCGATTGACCTTCTTTTTATTGATATTAACGGATAAAGAATCGTTACTGTTATGGCTAACACTATCGTCGTCACTTTTTTCCATAACACCATTTTTGGTAGTTGAAGCTTTTTTGTTGTTTTGTTGTCCATCATCTTCACTATCGCTAGATACAAAACGTTGCTTTTGCTTATTGTTTGATTTATCTTCATCATTGGTTTCTTTTGTAGACGATTCATTTAAATTTGAATTGCAATTAAAGTTTTCTTTATCTATGTCGTTTCTTTGGCCCATAGATTTTCTTATTCTGTCAAACGTAGCACCCACATCTTCATCGCTGCTTTCTTCCACTTTGTCAGATTGTTCAGTTACAAAATCACCATCAATTACTTTTTTAATAGCAACAGATCTTTGGCGGATGTCATTAGCCTGCCATCTTCCCGGTATGCGCCAATAGGTTTCCTGCAATAAAAATGAAATAAATAATATGTGTCGAATTTAAAAGTAAACACCTGTTTACCTGTACACCTGAAGGTTTGTGTATTCCTATGGCCTGCATAGCATTTTGGAATGTCGGATCATTAATAGCCGTCATACATTCATCGGTTAATGGCAGTAAAGGTATATCAGATTCGTCGACTTCCAGATCATCAGCAGCTTCATCTAAGCTTTCAATCAACCACAACAACGCTGGCTCCATACCGTTATCGACTACATGTTTTAGAGCATTAGATACATACGACGACGTCAAGCTATGATAAACTTGGTGTTCTTCATGTTGATCACTGTCTTCGTCATCGTCATCAGATTCATTACTTTCGTCACTCGAATTATTGGCACCGCCTTTAGCTGCTGTAAAAATAAGAAATGACATTAAAACTCAATGATTCAATTGTCTTAGTAATAAATCGCTCACATTTATTAGAAGTTTTGGTTTTCTTTTTTTTTAATTCATTTCTATCACCCACCAAACCAAGTTCCACGATCTTGTCAAGAATGCGTTTTTTTGACCGTTTCACTTCTAGTTTTTCCATTATAGAGTTTATCGGATCAGCCGCTTCTCTGAACTCGTGGACTAATTGCGTTATTTGAACAATTTCGGATTCGGCAAACTCTTTTCCCGGTTTCTGTATGAGAAATGTTAAAATTGTTATTTTAGTTATATTTTGGTTAGCAATTTACAATTTCTCACCAGTTTCCTAGTGACAATACCGAGTTGCTTTAGTTTTTTTAAAACACTTATTCTTGAACGGTCTTGTCTAATCAAATTTTTACATATCCACGTGACCTCATCTGAAACATTTATTCAGTTTTAAAACTTTCAGAAATAATCCTTTCTTGCCCACCAAGATTTTCGAGTCGACTGCCAAAGTAATAATTTACGAAAAAATGTTCAGATTTTTATCAAGTTTAATTTTGGCAGCCGACTCAAACATCCTGTTTGACAAAAAAAGGGCTAAAGACACCCTAACCTTCTTGAGGCATGTCACGCATGTATTCTTCGTGCAATCTATGCAACTCGTCCTCTTGCTCCTCTGTCCAGTTTGACAATTTCTTATTATTCTGTTCCTCATTGTATCCCTCTTCGATTTCATATGCTACTTTTAAATCTTTCCAGAACAGAAGTTCCATAAAAACTTTGTTGTTTTTACGAGCTACTTCTGTGAACTTTCTCATTATAAATATAGTAAAATGTTTCAGCTCCTAAAAAAAAATATTATAGATACGTAAAAAATTATTATACTAGGTTATCGACTTTTGACAACAGCAATATTTCGTTTGTTTATATTATTACTTTATGACTCGGATTAGTCGATACAAATATTCTTTGGAATATACGAAACACAGATGCTTGAAACATCATTGCTTCGTACTTGCAGTCGTAGGTAATACGATGAAGAAGTTTTACTATAACGTGATTGGTGTAATTAGAATTTTTGTCAAAATCTTTCAACAGCTGACAACAGCTTTGAAGAATTTTAGGCTTGGCAAATCTTAAAAAATTGCAATTGTATTGTAATTATTATGTATGTTAATGTACAATAGTAATAATTTACCTCTTAACCAAATCCATAAATTCAAAATTTTCTTCTTCGAAGCGAGCTTGATTTGTATCTTCTTCATCATCTTCTTCTTCTAAAAAATGTAATTAATAAATAAATAAAAAATAACACGTATTTATTAATATATTATTTACCGTCGGTGTCATTGTTTTGGTTATTGATTTCAGATTCCTCATAGTGCTCTGGAAAAATGATTGCAACTAACTTGATAAATCATTAAAAATACAGCAGCTATCAATTGAATATCTTATGAGTGTAATTTTCAAATGGAAAACATTACAGTATAAAAATAATAAAAACCAACACTCGTATTTCAGCTAAAGAAAAAAAAACTAAAATATTTTTAAACACTGAAGAATAGAAAAACCAACACCTATATTGGAGAATAATTATATTTAAATTAAAATATTGATATTCAACAGTTAATATTAATAATAAATATTTTAATTCAAAGACTTGTATTATGTCATTTGTATAAACTAACCTGATGGTGCTCCGAGATTGGCATCGAATATTTGTTTTAAAATCTCTAATTCTTCATCCGGTTTCAGTCCAGACGTACCAAAATAACTGTCTTCTGGCCATACTTCTCTGTAAAGTTACAAAACAACAATTATTGAGATACTTAATTAACTAAAATATTATATAATGTTTAAATTTGTTTTTTATTTTTGATAGCAACTAAAATGTTTTAGTAAATTTTTCTATAAAGTTCAATAACTTGAAATAATTTCAACATGTGCTGGTTTTTTTATAAATAAAAAAAATAATCGTTGAGTATGCATTATACTTTAAATTTAATATGGTTTTGAACCAACCTAGAAGCTCTCAATAGTTTGACAGATTGTTCTAATCGATTATTCCTTAAATGCATTCTGATACGACACATTGCTTCAACTCTGAAAAAATATTATTGTAAATATAAAAAAAGATAACTTTTTTTTTGTTTAAATTTTAAAACCACTTTTGATCATCCATCGATACTTCAGATATCGGATCATAAGGTCTCGCTTCAATCGCATCAATAACAATATCATTTGACTGAATAATCTCTTTTAGGGTAGGACTTATATTAGTCCATGCGCAGTCTTCGTCTCCTACTGGATTTGTTTGAGGTTTAGATTCTACAAATCAAATAAAATACACCATAAAAAGTGTACATACAATTATATAAAATGTCACATGAGTACTTTTATTATGTTTTTTAGTAGTCTTCTTTGCTTTGCGTTGTACAATTAAGTTGCGTTGTTTCTTTCCCAAATTTTCCAACAATTTCATAAAAACATGGTTAGTTTCCAATAAATCCTTTAAGTATACTCTATGGAACACAAATTGGAAATGTTTGTACAAATATTCGATTCTAATTTTTATTATATACAGATTGTAACATATTAAACTTAGCACAACTGTAGGCAAAAGAAGAAAATTAAATATTTTTACCTAGAAAATTTAACTTCGTCGTAAAAATTCAACAACCCTAAAATCATGTCCCTGTACTCGGCCATGTAAAATATGTTGGTCAAAATTGTTCGTGCACTGGATTGAAGAACAGTATCTTTGTTTTGATACATTGCCATAAGAGTTTCCATTAGCTCCTAAAAATATCATAGGTTTAAAGATAACAATATAGCAGTTATTAAAGTCAATAAAAGCACCTTGTAAGCCTTCAGTCCCAAATGCATGCGTTTAGACCAAACAGGTATTTTCTTTTTGTCGGTTATTAATTTTTCGCGGCTATCTTCGATTCGTTCTTGGACGAAATGAAAAATGTTCAAAGCCATGGTTTCACTAGAAAATTATTTATTTATTATAATTATTATGTTTTATTTAGAGATAAAATAATTTTTTATTAATTACCTGACTAGTTTAATTTCAAACTTATAGTTGCGATTGAATTCCATAAAAAATTGCATAGCCCAAAAGTAGTATGACTCATCGTTCGGTTGTCCTTTCGAACGCACTAATATTTCCTAAAACAGAATGGTGATAAATTAAACAAGTTGTCGCAAAATTAGTTCTGGAATATAATTACCCGAACATGTTTCATTAATGTATTATAAGCGCCATGTAAAAACTCGACACAAAATTCTTTCAAAAACAATCGAACACTGAATGCAGATTTTCGATCGATGCCGGTTTCTTTTAGAGGCATTCTATTGCGTGGCGTCTTCAAAGGTTTCTAAAAGTAAAGAAAAAATAATATTACCGACAGAAAGATCAAAATTTGAATAATCAAATTTTTTCTGGCATACTTTGTTTCGATCAAACGCTTTGTTAACGTTGGAACTCATAGACGATACAACCATTTCATTGTCACCAATAGACTTCATACCGGCGACGACGAACCTGCCGCCAAACCTAGAGTGTCTGGATCCGCTATATTTTTTAGTTTTTCCATTTTTTCTTTACGTTCTTGTAATAAAACGGTGACAAGTTCTTGTTCATCACGTTGCTTTTCGGTTTCTGTACGGCTGACAGAAGCGTTTGCTAGTTCTACTGCATTTTGATCTCGTAACATAAGCGAAATAATCTATACAAAAAAAGAGAGTAAATAAATAACCTAATTAACCTGTCAAATTTTTTATTTCTATTACTCACTTCTAGAGCGTGAAGATAATACTGTTGCTCATTATCTGAACAAGCTATATACATAATGACATCAATAATCTGGCTTTGATGCATAGCCCATAGTATCTGAGAATATAAATAATAAAATAATAATGCTGTATTTAATGGCCACTTAAATTGTACGCTATACCTGATCGTGGAGGCTGGCATCATTGTCGGGTCTACATTCGGCATCATTATCTGCAGGAACATGAAGTATGTTACGGATCAATATTAACAGCCTGACAGTTGACAAAACTTTTTCTTCTCCTTTCTCATGGTATTCCTAAAAATGAAATGAGTAAAATTTTACGTTACAATTTTAAAAATGACGCACAATAATAATCAATGAGTTCTTACGGCTTGCATGATTTCAGCCAGTTTGTCTACAATGACTTTCCAGACTTTGGCGTCGGCAAAAGCCTGTTTGTATTTCTGCAAGTGTAACACCATTTGCAAATAATATTGGCTAGGAGTTTTCTCGACAGGAGGCTGTTCGTTGTACAACAACAAGGCGGGAGTAGTAAGGTTTACCAATAGCCTAATGACCAAATCGAAAAGCCCGGCTTTGTTGGAATACTCGACGAGTATAGGCAACAGGTCAGATTGAACAATGTTAGCCGACCCGAGGAAGCGACGAATTTCATGATCGTCACCATCGCGTCTCAGGAATTTGATTAAATCGCGAATAGCCTCTGCGAAAACCAAAATTTGAACAAAATAGTTTGTGTACTTACAAATCGACCATTAGCATGTTCGGTCATTACCTTTACACTGTGGGTCAATATAGTATTTTTCTGCTCCAGTATATCCTAACGCGTTACAAGTAGCGGTTAACTCGGCATGGAGAAGTGCCATATTGTTTATGTCAATTGAAATTCTACAACATGATTAAAGAGAGATAATTTTAAAACAATATTTAAAATCTAAATTTATAAAAACAGAATATGAAATTGTAAATACTAGACCCATTGACGATTGAAATGTATAGTAATCACAGCAGCTGATAAGGAATGGGACACCAAAAAGTATGAAAATGCGCGGGAACACGAGCTAGTGTGACCAACATAACGCTGATTTTTGGAATTGGGAATTTTCGAAGCGCTGTACTTCATAATAATATAGTACAAGAAGTAAGTATTCATTTTCCTTTGCCTTTAATTTTTCATGACGGACCTAAAAAATGGGATAATATTTTAAGTATTGAACAATTTTCCCATGCCAAGTTAATGGTTAAAAAAGATTATATAATAAATTTCTCAACCCCTCCCATCTAAAATAAATATAAACGAGTACTATATATTTTTGCAACGGGCTGTGTATTAAATAAAAAACTATTTTTTTACTTAATTTTTATTTTAGTATTGTGATGTTAACCCGGTTGTAAAACATTCGTTTTCATATAATATTATCATTTGGTAAAATAATTAGCTGAAAACAGATTTGGGCTCATAGCTACTTCTTTCAAGTCATAATGTTATCGTATTATTTAAGTATATATATTTCTATTCTAAACGTATAGTATTCAAGAGAGAAAAACACTGGTTTATTGGTCGGGTGAGAGCACCTAAATATTTCTAACAAACAAGAATAGCGTTAAACTATTTACAATTTTAATTTGTGAACACCATATTTGTCGTGAGTTCTGTTTTGAAACAAATTTCCATATCTGTTTATACTGTATAGTTAATCTGATCGTATGTAAATTATTAAGCGACTTAGTTTCAGACTTTCGCTACTCTAAGTAAATATGTGCATTTATAATAATTCTTACTAGTTTCGAAGGTTTGTTTATTTTTCCGAATGATTGTAGCATTCCAACGATTGCTTGTATTTTTATTAAGGATGTTAAATTATATGATGGAAATAAAAAACAAATGAGTTAAATGATATTTAATTGTAATGTGCTCCATCAAAAAATTCGCATAAAAAAACATTATGTGTTATGTAAATTAACTGTTAACAGTATTGTTAGCTGTCACTTTTTTAGCTCGCTAAACCAATTAATATTATTCGAATGAAGTTTAAATGTTTAATTAAAGTGTCTGATATTATTTCCCGATTTTCATACCGCAGAGATAATCAACGTATGTTGATATGTACTTTGTTAATATACTTTATTGCCATTGGATATGCTATTTTCGAATTATATGTATTACAAAGTCATTTTCGTATATTGTACGAAATAATATTTGCTATTAAACGTTTATAATATAACGGAGAATAGTTAACGTTCGCTGGTCTTTACTGTGAACATAGTTTGTATACATAATACATATCATATTTAATCTCATTAATTTCTATAGAACACTAATTGACAAATGTGCAGTTTAGTCCATAATTTCACTGATAATCAAAAGGGTTAAAGAGGTACAACATGTATAACGATAAATAATAATAATAATAATAATAACATTGTTGGTACTAGATAATACATAGTAATTGTACCATAGATCAGTTATAGGTAATATTCGTATGAGTAATAATTTATACAAAACCTTCATAATGAGTCGTTATAGTACGCCGGTATGGATACTTAAAGGTTTAAAATAATTATTATAGGCTATAGTTACTGGTCGTTCTTGTGGATATAGTCAGATAATGCATAAAATGTACTTGATAGTTATTATGTATAATGAATATGGAATTAATTCCGTAAAATAAATAAATAAAAAATAAATCGAATTAATGTCGTGAGGAAGTAATGAAATTTCAAAAAGTCTCAAAAACATAAATCACCTAATTTTAAATTGTTTTTCAATTTAAAGAAAATGTACAAACCGTTAACTATAATATCATGTACAATTTAGTTATAGTAAGTAAATGCGTTGTATAAAATTACAAGACAAGTTAAATTTCAAATTAGTCGAAAATGAGTTGTTTAAAGTTTAATTGTTTTTTTTTTGTTGTTTTAATTTTGACGTTTCTTAAGGCATGGCGTATACTTTGATGCGTTTAACTTGATACTATCACGTCTGTCTGTGCCTATAGGTCTCTCAACAGTGCCCTCGATTATACGGACGTTTATACAATACAAGTATATTAACTTTATAAAGTTTTGTTAAATAACTAGTTTGGGCGAAACGCAAATGAAGGTCTGCGAGTCGGTTAGCATTCTTCAGCCACTAATTTCACTCTTAAGTGCAATTTACCGCACAGACGTTTCTAAAACTTAATTGGCGTTATTTTTAAATGTCGGTAATTAAATATTCCATCGTTTCGAACTTTGTGTAATTAGCGTTGGCTTTTTGCTGTGTACATTTTTCCCGGCCACTTTTTTTTTTTATACACTACTGCGCAGATATATAGTTTTAAATTACCGAGTAATATAGGGTTGAAGGCTCAACGATTAAGTAACACGTTAAGTATCCAGTATTATTTTGGCCATGGCTAAAAATAATAATGGAACAAGAGGAGGCAATGGCACGTCGTCGCTGAACTTACACACGCAAGACAAAACTTTATTCTTTCTTAATTTTAATATCATCGGACAAACGAAAAGTTTAGTCAAAATTAGACGAATAGCTAATTACAGTGATATAAGTATGGAAGTTTGAGTTTAAACTTTAAACCGTCGCGTCGACTATCAGGACAATTAAGACCGTAATAAGATGGCGTGTAATTGAAAATTGCTCAAGCCCTTAGAGTTGAACGCGGTCGCTCGACATGATAAACCGGTGCAGTACAAATAGCTTTGTGTAATATTTACAATAATGATCTAGCTGAATTCGTTAAGTGTAAACAACAGCATCCACGAAACGTCAAAGGTTAATGAGCATTAAAGAGATTAGCGACGGAGATTTATCAAAGCACGGGCGCCTGTGAAGTTCTGTACGTAGAAAGTAAGTTTTAAACGCAGAAAATCTAAGTCAGAGAGCACTATTAAATATCAACATACCGTGCTCAACGACCGTGGACTTAAGTCCTCGAGTATAAACACAAATAAGTAGTAATTAAATTTCAGTTTTCTATACTTAAACTAATGTAAATTAGTTTGATATAAAAATATAAAAGACATACAAATTGCAAGCCTGTCCGTGTTTATCTTTTTAGATTTATTTATTTTTATCTCGGTCGAATTTATCAATTTATCAATCCGAATCGAGTTTGATGCTGAAATCATTTTATCCATGTATGTTTGAAGGTCTGAACCATAATTAGCATCCAACATAACCTCGTGTTCGCCAGCTTATTATAATTGTTTTCTGGAAAGTTTTCTTACTACGAATTTTATGTGAGTTAAAACTTATTGCGGGATTCATGAGATTAATTTCTAATTGAGTTGCTTGCTTATAGTTTATACTGTAGAATTTGCTATTCAACGGCACAAACACCGACGACGGAATACTGAGGAGTTGTACAATACTATTTAATTAGGCGCGGTTATTAACCACAGTTACATTATTTAAATGCAACTCACGAATCCTTGTCTATTGTCTTTAACACTGTATCTTGATGTGACACTCACGTTAAATGATATGCGTTTTCGGGCTTTGATCAACCGAATAATTCAATCTTGACATAGCCAAAAAGCCGGAAACTGTAGTCAGCCATACTCGAATTAAATTCCCTATTGTAATTTAAATATTGAAGTACAAAATACATAAATTTCGTTGTGTTATACATAATATTTAATGATAATATTTATTGCTTTTAATTAGTTTGGTAATTTAAAAATAAATCTAATTTGTATAGTAATTCACAAAAAAATGTAAAGACTAAAGCGAAGCATTTAAATGTCTATATTGGTATACCTATCTATTAATATCAGCTATACTTATGGTTTTTAATTTTTTATAATAGCCGTGTTATAATGTTTGCAGTTTGTACCTATCATTAGAACGATATAATATTGTTAAAACAGCTATTTAAATAATAAGAAATAAAATATAAAAAATAGTTGTTTTATAGTTGTTTGCCGGACATCAGTGTACCTATATTGCATACACAGAACGCCGTACGGATATGCGTGACATAAAATCGAATGGTCTTGATTTTAATTGTTTTCACCATGTAATAAGAAAAAGGTAAATTTTCATACTTGCAAAATATGTTGTCTATATAAAAATGTCCTCATGACGGCCAACCTAACCTATCTCACTGTCAAAACTATGCCCACGCTTATAGTTAACACAATGTAAAAGTTTTAATTATTGCCATTGACAATCGTTGGACCGTAATAGGACATGGGTATTTACCTATTGAAATGTATAGGCATATACATGCAAAATTATATAAAAATAGATACTTTATTAAGGCCTAAAAAATAAAAATAAAATTATATCTAGACAAAATTAATGTTTTAAAGATGAATCACTTGGAAATTACCGATATCATAGAATTATGATATCGGTAATTTCCAAGTACTATACAAAATGTAATTTATAAATAATCTTAGTAATGTTTATAGGCTGATCAAATATACGAATGCAAGACCGTTGTGTTCGTTTTCGGCTTTAGTATAGGCACTCTTAACACATATCGATGTCGGCCGGTAATCACGGTTTAATATGGAAAGCTGCACGCGGCGCCCCTTCAAAGCGAAATGAGTGTTCAGGTCTGCCATTACCGACCAAGTACCTACCTAACCGTTTCAATAGATAATCGCCTTATTTCCGCCCTTATTGTGTGTAATTTTCCACGAAGAGGGACACCGGTCGGAAATGATAAAAACGTACAACTACATACTACCTTATATATATATATATATGGTACTTACACAGAGAAAATATAACAGAGTATATAAGCTCAGGGGTCGAAAGGGAGGGATGGCATCGCTATCGCGTCGAGTTTTATTAGCGCGTTTTGTATGTATATTTCAATAAAAAAAAATAAAAAAACCGAAATAAATACCGAATACAAAAAACAAAACGAAAAGGGCGTTTGCGGCAATGTAGATAGCGGCCCGTTGAAAACTTGACCGGCGACGACCCGGTATAATAATAATAATAATTATTATCGTTTGTGGGTCCAGGATGTATATATAAAAGGGAGAAACGTTTTAATGGGCCATTAAATATATTATCTATGTTGTTTGTGGTGTGCGGCTGTTGTTTTTTCGCGCCGTTCGTTTTGCTCGAACCCGGTTAAGTCTCGCAGCGGTCAAACCTTAAAGAAAACACATGCGGGCAAAACTGTACGCATTACGCTGACGATAACAATTATGAGAGTGGCTTCAGACTTTCTGAGAACACCATTGTTGTTCCATAATATGATGTTATACTTACGCTAGATATAGTAAATGTTTGAATATTGCCAGCGGCAACGTGCATTACATCGAGCATGGTACATATTTTGCTCTGGCATTATAATATAGGTACGGATTCAAACGTTTAGTACAATTTTCATTAAACCCCTTAAATTATACGAAGGATCTTTCCTCAAAATGCGAATCGGTTAAGTAATAAACATTAGTATTTTTAAATCATAACAATATAACAACACAATATTTTTTAATATTTCTTTTTTGTTGTACAGAACAACGCTTTGCTACTGTATACAATTAATTTACTGAAGTATATCGTGTAATCTTGTTATGATGTAATCTTATACTCCGCAAACCGCATAGTCGACAGAATTTAAAAAAAAATCATTTGAAAATATTGTAATGTTATACTGTTATGATTTAAAAATACTAATTAAATAATTAGTAATTAGTAAATAATAATTCAATTATTATTATTCGCTGCACAAAGTGCTTATTTTTTTTTATTTTTAGTAGTGAACAAAAATTTAATTTAAAGTTAAAACTTTAAACTATAATATTCATGAATTGTTTATTTGTAAAATTTGCTGAGTACAAAAAGGAAACCTTTTGAAAAACTAAAAAAACTCACAAGTTATATATATAAAAACAAAATCTACTAAAATGAAATTTATGAAAAAAAAATATTTTGCTATAAACGTTGCAGTTTATAATGTGTGTATAAACACAAATCTCTTTCATAAATAAATGATTAAAAAGGTTTGAATAATTGAATAATAATTAAGTGTCCACGCTTAGTTTTAATAAGAATGCGAAGGTATTATTTTAGTTCTTTACAATTATGTATTTGTATTCTTTTTTTTTGGTACTTGAATACAAGATCGTATTTTAATAACTAATCTGATTTCTTGAGCCCTGAAAAGCCCATACATTTTGTACAGATTATTCAAGTTTTAGTATTAACCCGCGACAGCATTTTTAGGCGTTTACTATATAAGTATTAGCTATTAAATAGAACTCACCATTTCGAAAAAAATAATTTTTTAGTAATTTTCCAAAATATTTTGCTTATCACAATTATAGTACCTGAAAACGTATCTTTATTTGAATAATACCAATGCCTATTTACTAGCTACGTGACTTACCTTTATTTTTTATAATAATTACCCAATGTATAAAGTTGTAATATGGTATTTTGTTTTAATTTTCAGGTCAACTATTTGCCACTATTGCCTGATTTAATTACTACCTACATTAAATTTGCTAAAGTTACTACCATTAGTCGTCGACGATTCAGCTAAGGTTGTTTTTTTAAATTAAAGTTTCGCTGACACGCAACTCTGAGGGGTTTTATTGAAACATCACTGTCATGCTGTTGACAATTCGGCGGTGGAATATAATATTAAATATACAAAATCACGTTCGCATCGCGCATTATAATCGCTGTAAACAGAGTTTCCATTAACCGTGACAATATTGTTTATGGATGTAGGGATAGTATTTTATTCGTTCATTTCATTGCAACTGTCGAGGGTGGCAAAAATAATCTTCACTTTCCACCGGATTATATTTTCGTATACACAAGGTAATTCGGTAAATGGATGTACTGCACAAAAGGCAATCATTTAAAATAATGGTGAAAGTACGAAATGTACTAAAAAGTCGACGGCAAGTTTTTATAAAGAATAGAGCACATTTTTTTGGCTGACCTATTGTGCTCAAGATAATATTTTTACAGTGCACACATGTGTAATTAATATTATATAGCCGTGCTATGGACTTTATCCTCGAGGTAGCGTTTTTAGTTTTTTGATAACTTAGCACAATCAAAATTATTTATTCGTGAAGATTAATTTATTTTCCTTTTCCATTTGCTTATAAAAAAATATCAAGTATAGATATCAAAATAACAAAAAAAGGTTCCCCATAGATAAAGTTCTTCTCTATACATTGTGAAAATTTGATAAATCAGTTTTGACGGGGAAAAAATTGTAATTTATCCTATATAAATAAATGTGATAGTCTGACAAAATAAAAAAATGGGCATCAATAAAGTAACGTTATTACTATTAATATTAATAAGTATTCACTATAGTTCAAACTCTTAATTAAGATTTTGTAAAAAATTGCCGATACTATACTCCTTAAAAATGGTCGGAGTGGCATCTTCTTAATATTTTGTAGATTTTCAACTTTTCATTTTTCAGAATACAAAAGATATAACAAATTGATGATAACAAGATAATCAAAAAAATAAACACTGAAAGAATATTGCAAATAAAAAAAAAAAGCAAATAATTGTAAATACTTCTCAGTTTCACATATAAAATACTAGACATAAGATCAAATACCGACTTCAGTGTACTAATTAATTAAATTATATTATTAAAAGGATATAGAGTACACGTTGTTCTTATAAAACTACGATACGAAATATACGTACCGAGATCAATGAGAATTTTCAATTAGATTAGAAAGCCAAGGTTCGTTTCGTAATTAAAATCAACTATATAATTATATACGTACAATACATATGTAGGTACTGTGTAAAAACGATCGTTAAAACACATCCTAATAGAAAACCCTTTGCCTTTTATCTCGTTGACCACGCGCTCGCCGGCCCTTGTATGGGGATTTATATATTTTACTCTCTATAAACAGATCTCGTGTAATCTGATCGTTATAGAGAAAAAATAAATTCCACGTAGTAAACAAAAACAAAAAAGTCGAAGCCGCAATGGAACATCTATATTATATTTTTTTATTTTATACAACAATAGAAACCAATAAGTAATAACATATGAAATGGATATAAGGAACCGTTCCGTGATTGCAGATATTGAAAGCCTAACTTCAATATTATGTCTGTTTAGCTATATAATGATGATACAATACAATTAATGTATAGTTAGCTTTGATGAGGAATTGTAAAAACAATATTTTTTGAGGTGTTTTGTTTGTTATTTTTTTTTATGCATGTGGCCTACGATACGGGTCAACCATATCAAAAGCATATTACTGTGTGCACAATGATTTTTATCGACATTTAACACTTATGCCATCTACAGATTCGCGTGGAAGCGTTCTATTTGAGAGTGATTCTATCGCGTCCAGACCTATACTGTCCTGTGACTACACCGATCCCACCATGCTCCGTCTCCATACTATGATGCTGGATTTGAATTTTCTACAAACAGACGCGCATTTCGATTTAATCTACCCTGTTGCACTGTCACCGGCGGCCACGGAAATAATATACAAATAATAACGTTATAAAGCCGTCGAGGTTACCGCACACGATTAACCGACAACCAATGGGCAGCACCGCGATCCTGTCGGTGCCCGGTGGCCGCTATAGAAGTACAAAGACGCATGGCTAGGTAACTCATACAGCCGGGCCCGACCGCACAGTGTCCTTTATCCAGTCAGTCGACTTCGGATCACGCTCTCGTGAACACATACCGTCGACCTTTGCCGCCGTTACACATCCAACGACGTCGTGCAATCAATGTGGAAATTCGAGGTTATAAAATTTCGCGGTGTTCTACCAACAGGTAAACATTTGTACTTGAATGTACTTAGGTTATTTGTTTTAAGGGATTGCATGCGGTCTGTTTTTTTTTCACGTTTTAGACTAAAAAGCCAGAAAAAATTTCGATTACTTAGGATGGTCCAATTTCAATTCTGTAAATGTGTACCAGTGGCGACTTTACTTGTAGATTATGTAGGTAACAGATATTTTGCTTTTTTTTTTTTGCGTAAAAAAATCGAGTTTTTATGTTGAAAATATTGTAAATTGTATTAATTAAATACAAGAAACTAATTTATTTTATGAAAACCATAATATAGTAAAGTAGCCAAACAACTCGAATATCTTTGTAGGATTGAAATAGAGCCATCTTGTGTAATCGAAATTTTGTCTGGATTTTGGGTCTAAAAAAACCTAAATGACTTTTACTCATAGAAAAAAATGATTTAAAATAAAAATAATACCTTGAAGCTTACACAAACGAACCGGTAAATTAATTGACATAATGGAAATTTATTAAAACCACTTTTTTCTTAAATATTGCCTATACAAAACTCCTTAAAAACCGACCCCAAATTCCCTTAAAGCGATATTTTTCAAATTTTAATTTAAACTTGATTGTTTTTTTCGCGACAAATACGGCGTTTAAATAAGTATTATAAAGGGCACGGATGGGGCGAAATTTTCAACAAAGAAACACTAAAACGTGAACTTGCTTTCTAAAATGTCCGGTTTCAGATTGTTCGTTGTTGTTGTCCAGGCTGACCTTGATTAACCGTACCTCTACACTCTACAGTGGTAAAAGGCCCTTTTTTTAATTCAAAAATTGAGTTATAGTGTTTTATGTTTTTACTTATCTATAGCTTGTATCTCGTTGAAGTGAAAAGTATACGTGATTCTTATAAATTTATACAGAAAGCAAATGAAAAATTATATATCTGAATCGATTAATTTGCTAGAATTCGATGAAGTGCTAGAAATTCTATATTTACGAGTTTTAGTAATGAGACAAAGACCGTTAAACCATAAATCGATGCTCTAAGGAAATGTTAAAAAGAAATCATAATATTAAACTCATTTTCGTTAAAATTTGGACTAAGGCCCTTTTGCATTAATCGATACTTCTAATGCGATAAAATTGTTTTTCCTTTAATATTTAACAGAAAATTGATAAAAAAATAGTATAATTAATTCAGAAAAAAAAGTTAGTATTGAAAAATACTGTAAGCTCAAAACTTGTGTTTGAATAAAATGTCACATGGGGTTCTCAGCACTTCTATTATGACTAACAAAATTAATTTTCTATAAAAATTGGCCTCTTAACTCTCGTATGGAAAATCGTAAGCTTTTCAATTTTAAAAAAATTAATCCGTTTAATAAATGCGTTAAAAATTAACTTCTGCGAAAGTATTTTATTATCGCAGTATTTTAAACATTCGCTATAATCAAATCAACAAAAAAAAATAATATATTACGCATAAATTAATATAATTTGTCATCAAATAAATCAGCATTGTTGTGTGGATAATATTTTTGCTGTATGAAATTCACTTCAATATTTTATAGGAAGGACAAACATTACCAATATATGCAAGCGAAAAATAACATATGCAATAAATATGGATTAAATAATACATGTACGAGAGGCTATTTTACAATAGTGAGCATTCATAGTAGAATTTGCTGACAATACTGTTTGAATAGTATACCTACATGAGCTTTAAAGTGTAATAACTTATTCAAAACACGCAAAAGCACTTCTTGATTGTACTTTAGGGTTTAGTAAACATATTATTCTTCGGCATTGTTATACAGAAGCAAAAATATTCATGTCATATCCCAAGAAGAAATTTTACTTATGTTGGCTATTTTTTGTCTGTAGGTTTAGTTATATATTATATATGTATGTTATATGTTATAACTTATATATTATTATATATATATATATATATATATATATGTGTGTGTGTGTTTTTAAACGACATCTTAATACTTAATAAGTGATATTTGTTTTCGGGTTTTTCATAGGTTTGTGAATTGGTGTTGCTAAAATGATTGCTATAAATATGTCTAAGGAAAATGTTCATCGTCGTTTAATTGATGTTTTATACAACCGGTACTTATATAAAGGTTTCAGGAACTGTTAAACATAACTATAACTAGTTTGAACATACTATCCACAGATTCGCATCGAAGCGTTTATTTAAAAGTGATTTTATCACTTTCAGTTATAATAAAATCTGTAGACCCGTGACATCTCCGTCCCCACAATGGCCCGACCCCACTGTACTGGCTTTTATTCTAATATTCACAAGTTCACCGAAATTCTGGAGATTCTGCACTAGTACTTCAAGCGTATGCATCCTAGACCTTTGTCTACAATGATATTTTTTGTAATGTTGTGTGATAACGCTTATGCTGTGACTTGCAGAGCTGACAATCGAAATTGGCGGCTAAGGGTAATATTAGGAATAAAAAAAAATATTTACACATTTCTCAATTTGTTTAATAACAGCTGTGCCTGACAGATTAGTAACTATTTTTTCTTATTAATCCAGCTTAATATTATGTTCTATACAATATACAAAAAGGGGAAGTATAATCGCTTAAAATACGTTCGAGCGTTCATAAGCACCCGGGCAATCGTAAATATCTCCATTGGATAGAACTGCGGAATCTTGCCGATTGTTCATTCAAACTGCCTCTATAAATAAACAACAATGGCTCCGAGCAGCGCAATGAATTCGGTAATGTAGTCCCTTTTGACCAGAATCATCAATCGTATCAAACGGCGACGACCGTTCTTGGAAGTAAATCTACTAGTACCTATTCAACCGGAATTTTAATTATCCATTCCAGTAGTAATTTTAAGTGCCTTAGAACTCGAAATCGTAAGCCTTGAATAAAGTCACTTGTTTGTCCGATTCTCTTTGTGCGTACCCGTGTTTTTTTCGCTTAAGACCAAGATTTATCCAGATTCTAAATCACTTACTCCGTCTTATGAATTTCATTCGTGGCACATGCGTTTCCTTTCGGGTTTTGTCCAATGGAAAGGAAGCAGTATTATCGAGTAGTCCAACTGTGTTTTATATGGGAAAAATTTTTTATTTTTCCTACGTGTGTGAGTGTGTATAAGTCTATGGATTTTACCGTGCCTAAAACGTACAAACGGTCGATACTATTCGGCGAGCGTGAAAAATAGTAGAAGCAAACAAACTGACAAAAAAAAAAAATCAATTTGTGGACATCTCCGACTCGGCGGGCTATGTAGAATAACAAGTAGTCGAGTCGTGGCAAGTATATAATACATGCAGTCAAACCGAACGCGAATAATATAAGTAGGTTCAGCTGACGAAATGGTTCATTTTCGCGTTTGAGCTGAGGAACATAATTAATTATAAGTTATCCGCGCAGACGTTATGAAGAGACGGCGGGCTTTTTATCTTTAAAGAGTATTATTATTATTATTATTATTATTGTATAGGGGACTATTCTGTTGTAAATGCAGGCTTAGGTCTGATTGGATTATTTTTGTGCTCAGCCAACTTTCTAACCAGATTTGTAATACCTTTCTTGCCCGCGCCCCCATCGTTTGCACAACAAAGCATTATATTCCCTCGGGCTAGGGAATAGCACTTTTTTTTCTTCCTCTTTTTATTTGTCTTGGCCCGCCGTATCCTCGCATCCCGCGCGCACTATCTAAATAAAAACATCCGCCATTCCAGAAACGGCTCGTGCCTCCTGTACGCTTGCTTTTACCCGGTTTGCATACGAAATCCGTTTCTCGGCTGCAGTCTACTGGGAAGAATCCTAGTACTTATGCTTCGTCTGCGACCCCCTCCGTCGGTTTTCTTTTCATTTTCTCGTTAACGTCTTCGATTCCAGAGCTTATAAACTAAGCTTGACGCATTGCATTGGCGGGCGCTCGTGGCTTTTCCGACGAAAAAATAAAATATATTGCGAAACCGTCTACGTTCGACGGTCACAAAATTGAATTTCGACTTAATCGTATGTATTTTATTATTCTCGCACACACATACGATGGCGGTGTACAAGGGTACAAGTATCGCCAGGGCCGGGGTTACGATAAATAAACCGATACGCGGCACCGAACATATTATTATTATATGGAAAGGTTAACTCGAAACGCTGCGTCTCGTATTGTGGTTTCTTATAAACGTAACTTAGAAGAAAAACTCGAGTATCGCGTTTTGTTGTTGTTGTCGTATAATATAGTTTCTGTGCGGGTATAAACTATTTGAGTTTTGAATTTTAGAATGGAAAAAAAAAACACGCGTCCAAACGAACTGGAAAATTTACCGAGCTCGTTACAGAGTAAACTATTTGAAGAAAAAGAACGGTATGGCTCTCAGCGGGGGATTTTATTATGGGATTTTTGTTTTTTTATGTCTAGCGTCACATAAAAACTAACTGTATATATTATTATTAAAAAGCGCGAGGCTCTCCCGAGACGGTTACCTTTTATAATATTATGTTATTTTGGTATTGATTTATCATCGTACGGTTCAATATTTGGGCGTTGGGAGATCTAACAAGGAGGAGATTATTTTTGCTATAATTTATGGCTCGTTGTTTTTTGTATTATATATTTTTTGTCGTTATTTACCGGACTGATAACTGTGTGTCGGGAGTGTCGAGAAAAGATCAAATCGTTTAGCGAAAGGTCGTCTACATTTGTCGTTAGACCGTGGGCAGATTTCTATCTAATGGCCGACGAAAAAGCGTTTCTCGAAAACGACTCGATAACGCGCCAAACGAATCTTATCCGTTACCACCGACCGGCCAAGTCGTTAGAAGCATACCTAAAGGCGTTTTCGCCGAAGCTACCGCTCTCGCCAAAACACTACACAATGTATAGATACACAAAACAAACACACGTTCATACATACATATATATAAATCAGATAACAAGAGCGAAAAAACGGTTGTTTGTGGGCGGATAAAACCACAGTGCCCTCCGACTTGTTTATACAAAGTTTTTACATTTCACTCGAAATCATTGTGTCCGAAATTCGTTTTTGCTCGCGAAAACGTTTTGGTTTAACGTAACATAATAATACCACACACACCGCACACGACACAATAGCAGCTGTTTTTTTGTGGGATTTTAATGCCATCAGCGCAAATGATCCGGTTACTTAATGATACTTGGTGATCTTAACAACGTTTTATTATGTACTAGTTACTACAACCCAGGCATATACGCAAGGGCGCAATCCCAGTTTTGAAATTATTACTCATGGAGGTTTAGAATAAATTTGTTTTAGAAACTCCTAATAAACAGCGATTAGTTTTGTTGTGTCAGGGTTTTTAGTATGTTTGGGCACTGATACAGTATTTTACTCTATAATGCTGTATAATAAGAACATAGATTTCGTCTTATTTTTGTTAAAAAAAAGTAACCCTTTTTTTAAATACATTATGCTCGGTTTGTCGCCGAATTGCTCACTTTTTTTTTATATACTTGGAGGGTCTGATATCTTTGACGCCTTTTCAGGAATTTGATGATTATGCAACCGCATGACACGCGTGACCCGTAGATACGCCTATGGTACCAACTATATAGTGGTTGATTTATGAAATATTTAGTTTTTCAAGAAAATGTTATTTTCAAGAGGCGTAGTTTACATATTTTGTTTGAGAATATCATAAAGATTTAAATAACCATCTAAAGTCGATACCCTTTTTCGTTCTTATGACATGAATACGGTCATGGGGCTGTCGAAAATTTGCTTGTCGACACTCTAGAGCCGAAGGCGCCATAACACATGTCAATGGTCCAATGTCGCGTTTCTTCGAGGGAAAGACGGTAGGTTATTGTTGGACTGGGTCGTCCGTGTGCATATACCTTCTACTAATGTGCGCCAGGTTAAATTATATTTTAATTTCTAACGAGCGCCGTTCACATTTTGAAAAGTCCATCGATACCTAGAGTAGCGACCATATTATTATTATTATTATTATTGTTCCAGTAATACCACAATGATTTATGGGCCGCCCTGGGAAATTTTTAACGAGTCGTTCCGGCAGATTTTATATTTGCGTCCCCGTGTGCGACAGCGACATGACCGTTCACGTCAGCAGCGGATGGCAGGTCTCTGCTCGGTATACATAAATCACCGGATTATATGAGCCGGTGTATATATGTGTGTATGAGTGTGTGTGTACATTGTCGGCGATCGGGGTCGGAGGGCGGCCGGTCTGGAGAGGATTTAAGCGTTACCGGGTAACTCAAAGTTTGAATTTACATTTTCAGCCGAACGCGCGCATCAGTCACCTTATACCTCCCCGAGCGACGGTTATATGCAAAAACTTTGGCCAAAAGAAAAGTTGTGCCCGCAATCTGTCATTCACGTCAGACGTTGGGCGCGTGGGCCGCGCGCATCGCCCCATCCGTTCGACCAAGAATATATTATTATTATTATTGGTATTATTACGTTGTGAATATCAATAAGATTTCGTATGGATAGTGGGCGAGGGCGGAGATCGTGTAAATATCGTCGGTGAAACGGCGATTCAATTAATTCGGCTCTTGGTTTCCCTCCGAATCCGGAAAAACGGTACCGCATCTCATATTATGATTTCGACTCGACATGCAAATCCAAAACACCGTTTTTCGCGTACCCGCTTATGAATTATACATGCATTTTTCGGTATTAATCGTTTACCCACAAAGTTACATGCGAATTTTGGTTAGTTTGGCGGATCCAGTATCGTGGAGTTTAAAATGTGGTCCGACTAAAATGTTCAACAAGCCGTTCGAACGTATAATTAACACCTTATCTACCTCGTTTTGGTGTTTATCTTAATGTATTTTTATCGTAGAAATTGATTCAAAACAACTTTTTTTTTTGTTCAAGTTAAAAATATTATTTCAAAGTTACATCCGAAAATAACTCAACAAGTAGGCAGTAACCATATTTGAATATTTATACTCAATACCATATTTGAATGTTTTATTCAAATATGGTTAATCGATTAGTCATATTATTTTCATAACACCATCCGATGCTTTTAAAAGTAAAATCAAAAAATATTATTTAGGTTGTTATTTTACTTTTAAAAGTTACCATTTAAAACTACCCTTTAAAATTATGTTTTTAGTTTGAACATTAAAAGCTAATTTTGATAATTTAATAAAATTAATTTTTTTATTTAAAACTTTTTTTTCGCTAAAACAATTTCACCGTCGGATGATATAACTAATTAAGACTCGATAGAGCAAAATTGGGGTTTTAACTTTTGCATCAGTTTCCCTGATTTAAAACCGTCAAAATCTCACTTAAGTGGATCCTTAACGGTTACAACTGGATTTCACTGATTATGACCAACCACCCAAAAATAATTTCATAGAAAACATTCTTTATAAGAGGTGTACTTGTTTCTTAATATATTTTAAAGACATTAATAATTAATAATATCTGTCTTCCTTGAATATTTAACTTAAAGCAGCAAGTTGTAAGGATTTTGAGCAAATGTGTTAGTTGGTCTCGTTGACGAAAACACACAGTCAAAGAATAATGTAAACGATTTGGTCACAACATTTGTTTATTAATCTGACTTCATAACATTATCTAAATATATTTGAATGAATTTGTAAGTATACTTTTAAAAGAACTTTTTCTATTTTATTTTTAATGGTCCCTTTTCCTTGGACTTTTTTTACTGTTTACCATAAATCTTTGAGACACTCCTTATATTATATTTAAGTACCTACTCTTAGTCGACTAAAAAGTATTCGATAATACTTTGTTTTTGTGTTTTATATTGTCCGTGTTTAGGTAAATAAACAAAAGTTATTGGACAAGTTTGCCAAGCGGTTTCCCCAAGCCATAAAAAGTTTGAAAATATCCATACATTATTTGCCTAAGCCGCACGTTTTACTCAGCTATTTGGATAGGTTGTAATATCGACGTTAAAAAGCAATCCAGTAACGCTCGATTGTTGTTTAAAACTCGGTTTTGTTAATCTCGATATCCGCAGATGCTTTCAAATGGTATATCAAATGTGTTTAAAATAATATATCTTTTTTTTCTTTTTCGGTATAGTACGCTTCTTTGAAAACCGATCACGTACTTTTATTGCCAATAACGTATTGATCGCGTCGACCCACGAGTAATATACCGGACGTACCTATAAATGCTATTATTGTGGTTTATGAGTCGAAAAAGTTTTGAAAATGAAAAATAAACTAAAATCCAGCAAATACCTAATAAAAGTAATATAATTATACGAAGGACCGCGCTGTTGTTTTGTGGGTAATAATTTTTCACCCTAAAAATCTGGATTATAAAGGGCTTTACAGTTCCAAGTATTAAAAACGTCACCCTTAACCAAAATTACCCACTTCATTGTTAAAGCAGGTATGCAGTGTAATTCCACCCAGGCCCTATAGATAAAAATGAATAATTATCTATTGTTTTACATCCGGTCGAAAACTTTGGGTACACAGTGTGTTTTGTTACGACGTGTAAACTCTTTATTATTGTTATAACTCTGATGTTATGGCGGTGGGACAATAGCGTAAATACCTGATGTTTTCTCAATGATTTAGCTTCAATGTTTCAAAACGAAAACATTATAACAATAGGACGGAAATTAGTTTTTGCAAGTTTATTAATTCCAGTCGTTATGTCATTTACATGGTGCGTGGTCGTGTCTCGGTACTCACGCGCATGTCATTTGCCGACCACTTGGGACGAAAGGTAAATTTTTGACATGTGTCATATTAGGCGCGTAAATTACATTAGGGTTGATTCAAGGAAAAATCATGTTTGTAAAAAAAAAAAAAAATTAATCTGTCATCACCACGGACGCGCTTGTTTTGGGTTTTCCTGGGGCTTTTTGTTGTATATGTATATATATTTTTTTGAATGTAATTATTTTTTAATTGAATCTCACGGTGTGGCGCTCATTGCGCCTGCATGAAAAACCTGCAGTAGCTAATAATTTTCGTTATTTGTTTGTTTGCAGAAACTTATCATGAACAAATGCCGATCGAACACCGCAGTCTCGTGGCATAGATCCGTTCCTTTTACCGTTGGCAATATGACGGCCTTAAAGTCGTGAGTCTGGATCAACGATGTTAGCGATCAAGTATGCGGTCGTCGTCTCGTGGATGTCGGTGGTCGCATCTAAAATCCAAGAGGATTGCGTCTTAGTGACATCGTCGAACGTCTTGTTGCACGATGTGTACTGCGAAGTCATACCGTACGAAATCGACATCGGTCGCATGGACAACACGACCAGACTAGACTTATCGGGAAACCGCATCAGAACGTTATGTGTGACCAGCAATAGAAACTCGTCTCTGGGCGAACTCGATTTGTCCCATAACGACATTTCGGGCCCTTGTTCGGTGCAGATAAACGAATTGGTGCGAATCGATTCCATAGTTTTGTCGTACAATCGAGTGAAAAATTTCTCCATGTGTTCGGCGATGAGGAACATGACCATCAGCTGGAATCACATCCAATCTTTAAGCAAAGCCGACATGGTAAACGCTACGTCCTTGGAGGCACTGGACCTGGGCCACAACGTCATTTTGTGGATAGAAAACGACACGTTCGCCGGCCTTCCGGATCTTCAGTGGTTGAACTTGCGGGGAAACATGTTAAGTAGAATATCGGAAAAGACTCTTCCCAGTGTCACGTTGCGACACCTCGACTTGTCGGAAAATTACCTTCTCGATCCGTCGACGGCGTTTCAACCGTTCGAGTCTTTGGTCGAGTTGAACATAGCGCAAAACGTGCACTTGGCTCCGGCCATTTTGGGTTCGGGCCTGAGACTCCAAGCCTTGGACGTTTCTCGCACCAACCTCACTGAAGTACCGGCCACGCCAGCACCGTTGTTGGGTTCGCTTTCCCTCGGTGGTAACGCGATCCAGACAATCCGCAGCGGTGATTTAGACGGGTTTCCACTGCTTCGGACGCTTAACATCAGCAGCAATCGTATTAGCTCGGTGGAAGAAGACGCTTTCGGTCGGTTAGATTTACTAACCGTGCTCGACCTGAGCGGTAATCTATTGGACGCGGTACCGAAGAGTTTGCCCGGTGGACTGGAAATCCTAGACCTCAGCGTTAACCGAATCCATAATTTGACAGCCGAAGACTTTCTCGGTTGTGGACGGCTTAAGGTGTTGAACGTCCGAAATAATGGGTTGAAGCATGTACAGGATTTTTCGTTGACTCCGCTGAAGTTCCTCGACGTCTTGGACTTGTCGGATAACCCGATTGAATTCATCACCAGAGAGATGCTGACGGGCCCGGTTAGGTTGAAAGAGCTTAACATGAAAGGAATGGACGCTTTGGAAACTCCGGCTTTTCCGTTCACGGACACCCAATACCTGAACAAGCTTCGACTCTCAAACAGCACACACCTCGCCGCGATTTTGTTCAACGACAGCGCCGTGTTGTCTTCGATGTTTCAGTTGGAATACTTGGACGTGACGGATTGCGGCGTCAAGACGTTGCCGGACCGGCTACCTTACTACATGCCGAAAATGATAAGTTTGATTACGAACGACCTCGAGTGCACTGGCCCGTGGTTGAAAGAATGGCTGTGCGAAATACACTCATCTTGGGACAATCAAAATCCAAGGTCGGATACAACTGAAGTCAGACTCAGGAGCTTTTTGCCTACGCCGAAAAAGTCACCGTCGGAACAGTTGCAATGTACAGGTGCCGACGGTCAGTTGCGAGGCATATACGACCCAGAGTACTGCGCCAATCAGATGACGACAACTTCGATGACACCGGCTGTGGATACGTTCACGACGGAGCAGTTTGCCGTTTTCGAACGATTGAGAGCTAAAAACGAACCAAAAGCGCCAGACGAGGCACACGAGGCTACTCATCCCGGGGTGGTAGTGTTCTTTTTTGTTGTGCTACTGTTGATACTTTTAGCACTGGGCACAGTTTGGATCGGCGTGCAAGGCGTTCCTCTCAAGAGAATGCGTTGGAAGCAGAGTCCGATTGACGTGGACTACCAGTCCATAGAAATTAAAAGCTTGGAGAGTTTAAATCACGTGGAACGCTGGTAAAATAAGTGTAAAATTTTACACGTGTGTGTGTTTAACCCAACTTACATCGTGGTTTTTTGCTTGTCACCGTTTCGACATTATGTCGAGCCGAAAAGAACCAATAGGGTACGAGTGACGTTTGTTTTCAAAAATATGTTTTCGATCTTACAGTATTTGTCAATAAAACTTTTTTCTATTTGTATTTCTCAATTTTCAAAAGAGAATGTGAAAGACAATAATTAACGTCGCCCATAGAACACGTTGAAATTATAATTTTCATTTTGCTCTCTTGAAATATTTGATAAAACTCGCTTATACCCTTTTGGTTCTCACACTTGAAAAGGAAACATTTAACTATTATGAATATCATTAATACTAAACCAGCCTAAACGAAAATCATTCTTAACGAAAATGATTTTGTCTTAATATTTTCTACATGCCGTTTTAATATCGTTTACAAAAGTATAGCAGAACAAAAAGAGCCGCTTCATTTACCATATTGTAAATATAACTTAATTTTGTTTTTGTATAACGCAAATTACTTGTCTTACTTTAAATTTAATTTGATACGTCTTGTAAAAATATAAAAATAATGTTACATATATATTACCATTAAAATAAATAATAGTTAATACTCTTGTGTTACAAACTTGACGTGTAAATATAATATAATTTCGAATAGAATAAACTAAGCAAAATTATTTTTTATTCAACCATTATTATATGTTCACATTTGTCAGGGTAACTTGATGATTTATATTAAATTGGTCAGAGCCTTTATTGTTCGACGAATATTTTAGATGTGATTTTTTTTCTCTCGTGCCCTCTTGCTGAACAGTTAATGATAAAAAAGTGTTTCACTGCTGTTTCCTCTGTGCTGAGTAATTGATGACAACTACCGGGCCAGTTGGCGTTGATTTATGGAACTTTTCCAGGGTCTGATTATTTCATGTCTCCTGCCGTTCTTTTTCCAACGGCAAGCATTATATTATATATATATATATATATAAAATAAATATATATATATACACAACAATAATACGCAAGCTAGTACAATGCAACATCTCATCCAGGTCACGTAGACAGTGAAATTGTCGAGTTTGGCTTTAGTTGCAGATAGAAAACCTATTTCCTTTTTTTTGTATCTCAGACCCCATCAACCATTTTTTTTTGTTGTTGCCTTTATTCGACGAACAAAATATTAATCATAATATATATATATTTTTTTTAATTGGAAAACATTGCGCTAACTCTCTTTAAGTGGGATTTTGGCAAAACATTGTCATTTAGGCTTACTGAATGATATATTATACATTATTATATCATTATTAAAAACTAAGACGAGTACAATACGATCGAGAAGTTGCAATATGAATTATTTATAATGAAAAGATTCACTTTCTGTTGGTCGTTTACATGGTGCCTCATGCAGTGCTAAGGTTTTTGGCAGTATGAAATATGTGCTTGTGGACATTTTTAATTAAGCTAAAGCTGCATTTTTTTTTATAGTTATATAATATATTATTTGACTAAATTTCAATGATCGCTATCTACTTGCCGTGTTGTAGCTAATGCGAATAAGAAAATACATATATATATATATATATATATATAAAAAAAAAGAAGAGTATAAATGGAACAAGTACGAAAGACGTAAGAAAAGTGTTATATTTCGTGTTAATAATGCATTTAGTTTAAATCATATTTGGACAGTAGTAAGAAAATATATTAGTTTTTTCGTTTTAACACAAAGCTAATTTAAAAGGAAACTGCTTGCGTTAACAGGTTGACAGTTGCAAGTAAACGTTGTATTATTATTTAATTTCGTCAGAAATAAACAAATTCTAGTTAAAATTATTAATATTACTGTAAATGGGTTCTTAAATGTTAATAGTTGGTTAATAAACACATGTTCCGTTAAGTCCTACCAAGCCACACAAACCTTTTAGAATATTCTATTTATTTAGGTTTTTTTTTATTATTATTTCTTTTCTCCTCTTCCTTTGTTCCCTCTCTCTTAAATTAGATATATTGCTTATAATATTGAATAACATTTAATATTTATGGTACAACGCAGTGGTTCGTTTCATACAAAATTATTCGTTGTATAATTTATTAGTTATTTCCTTTGATGCGGCGCTGAGATGGTATTTTACAACGACTTATTTTATTTTTAATATTTTTTTATCTTATATTTTTTGTGTCATCTGTGATCATGCTGATCTAAATGTATAGTAAATTTAAATTTAACTTTTTTATAATGCATTGATGTATTTCATTTCCAAAAAAATGATAGGTCTCAAGCCTTTGGAGAAATAATTAAAATGTAAAAAAAAAACGACTCAAATATTGTCAGAAACCATCTTTTGCCGTTGTAAAAAGAATTCTATAATTAACTTGTCAAAAAAAAAAAAAAAAGAGACAATCAAGGTAAAACTTTTGAACAGCCATTTTGCTTAAGTTACAATTAATGTCTTTTACTTATAGCAACTAATTGACATTCCCTGTTCATCTGCTTCTTTTTCAATATAAATTGGATTGACAATTTTTTTTATGCTAATGAAAAATGGTTGTAAAAAAAAAAATATTAATTAAAAAAACTTTGTAAAAATACATTATAAAAAATGACAACCAGTATACAAACAAAGAAAACATTGTGAATGTACCTATACTACGGATATAATTAGTTTTCAAGAACAATATTTACCCCCTGTGGTATCGTTATTTAAATATAGCATGATTTCAAAGAAAAAGGATGTATCCGTAGATCATTAATACTCTTTTAGGTGACATAAATAACAATATGGATACAGGATACTAAGTATAACAATACTCGTGTAATAAAAAATAAATATTTCATTAAATTATATACAATTTCGCATTGGATATATTATTATAATATAATATGTACTTATAAATGTGCAAGGTGATTACGGATTATATTGTATCGCCAACACTTATCAAGTAAGACATCACTATCCTCAAAAAGAGATGAGTAAATGAAAAATATGATTGTTAACTACATATCATATCAAAGTTATAATTATTTTTAAAAAAAAGTTATTATATTATCTGTGAATGCTAGACATTGGCTGGGAAATCTAAATATTTCTGTTGATTTTTATTGCTTAGCAGTGTTGGGCAGTCATAGCCGTCTTGCAAAAAGTTACCGAGTGTTGTTATTACATTTTTATTAAACCCTATTTTAATAATATTAAGAGGACGTCACAAACCCGTTATTTTCTTCAAAAAACACGCCTTGCGCGGATTAATTTTACAAGGCTATAATCAAAACTAAGAAACCAAATTTTTATATAATATAAACAACAACATTGTCTGTGTTTTATCATCGCCCATTTTTAAATATTTCAACCAGTTAATGAATAATTAATTAAGAAAGGACTTTTTAAAAAATGATATAGCTTTAATTGTATTAGGTATATCGAAAAAATATGGATGATGGAACACAGATATTTTTGTCATTAATAATACGTATGAATTTCTTTCCTTAACTATATATGAAGCCTAAGAAAAATTAATTCGCACAAAGCAGTTTTGAAGGGAAAAAATTGTAATTTATCCTATAGAAATGACTGTGATAGTCTGACAAAAAAAATGGCAATCAACAAAGTATCCTCATTACTGTATTAATAAGTATGCATTATAGTTCAAACTCTAAATTAAGATTTTTCGAAAAATTGCTTATACTTTACTCTTAGAAATGGTCGGTGTGGCGTCCTCTGAAGTATAAAAAAAAGCTAAGATAAATAAAAATCCCTTTTAAAACTGAAAATACATTTTAAATGTTTACTCGTCTACTTTGTAACTTGCCATTTTACACTTGGTCGCTTTTTTGTAAATCATTAAAATTATTTTATAAAAATTGCTGTTAAGGTAAAATGAATTAAATTTTCATGGTTGGAAATGTAGTTATAATTTATGAGCATGACAACTTAATATTAACTCATATTATAAATATTACCTCATTAACATAAATATTACATATTATTATTATTTCTTTCCAAGCAGCAATTTCGAAATATTAATATTTTCTTAAACGTTTTTCTAGAAAATATTGTATATAACATTTATTTTGGACTTAGAAAATAATTCATGTGTAATTTTCAAATTTAGCTATTAATATTTAGGATATTTTATTAAAATATCCATTTGGTCATGATATTTGATTACTTGTCAACAAATGGTCCATAAACACTGGCTAATATTATTGATGTAGTATACAAATATGAAGTATACAATTGCCTGATTAAGACGGATTATTTGCCTGGCATTACGGATTCAACGTGTATAGTTTAATGAATTTTTATAATTGCTGAGCTTATACATATATATTATTATATTATACATATTTTATATCTATATACACAAGTGATTATAATATAATATTTGTAAACTTTAATCATGGATATTCTTGTCCAACTTCTTAACGGAACATGAACAGTTTCGTGGGTCGTTTTATCTTCTTTTTTAGAAACTGCTTAATACGGAGATTTGGAAAACATAATTCCATAATATAATATTAATACATAATAAAATATATTATTATATTCCACTCGTCCTACCGTTTCTGCATTTTTTTCATTTGTGATTAATGCGTTTTTCCGACGTCATTTAAATATTTCCCCTCCGCCGTCGTTCCGGAGAATTTATAGTATATTATGTACATATTTTATGGTCGACACCTATACCAGCTATTGAAAATTATTTAAAAAAAAAAAAAATAATAAAAACGTTAACTATGTTTTAACACCGGCGTCCTAAGCTTAAACTAAATATTGCTGCACCCGACTCATTAAACACTCGACACTGTCCGCCCGGTGATTTATGCGAACTTCAAATGTTTATTTCCTCCCTAAAAACGTATCACGGAACGCTAAAAAAAATGTGAAAAGCTATAAATATATTACATAAAAATATGTATCAAGAGATAGGTTTATTTTTCTAGTGCGGAAACGGCTACTTGGATTAGACTTATTTTATAACCGAATGAATACAAAGATATTCCTTGCAGTAAATAATAATTATTTTTTTAAATACCCGTAAAAAAGGATAATATAATCTTTGGCCAATTATATGTACGTCACGTACCGTCGAGAAATATTATTTATTACTTCCACTTTGTTACCCCGTCGAGACGATTATTTTGTAATTTAATAATATTATATCGTTTCGATATTGTTAAGGGGATTGAAGGCGGTGTGTTTTAGACCAACCCTCGACAGCCTGACAAAATTATGCCTACTCAGATCATAGTGTTCAAGTATATATAGAGCTGTAACATGATATTGTTATAATGCCCTGCACTGTGCAACGATGTGTTCAAGAAGGCGATCTACAGCGTGACCTCTTTGAATAAAACTAAATGGATGATTTACAAGTTATTAAAAACTGCACAGTATATCAACGACTATGCAGATTAATAAATAAAATCAGGCTCTGGACCTTCTGTAAATGAAAAACAATTGATTATAACCTCTTTTTTCCTTAAATATTGCCTCTATAAAACTGTTTAAAAGCCAACCGCATAATAATAATAGGTATATTATATTGTTATTATTGTAATACAACTATTGCGGCCGGGTTGAGGTGCCATGCCGGCCGCTTTGGTAGAAAAAGGG